GATCTGTAATATACAATGCAGCCGAACCGTGTATTACAATGCCGTTATGTGATGACTTTCAAAGAGAAAAGCAAGAGCGCTCGGAATTAAGTATTATTTTATTTTTTTTAAATGTTTTCCGGATTTCATATCATATAAACACCAAATCCCAGCATGCATTGCGGCTAAAACATCCAATAAGCGAGCTTAAAACCATAGCTGAGGATCTTGGGTAATCGCTCGAAATGCCTACGTCTGTTTCCGGTTATTTTTATTTTGAAATTCAGTTCCTGACGGACGCCAAAAAAGCCTGAGATTATGGAATTAAACCAATAAATAAAAGCAAGGATAATTGTGTGTTATTGGTGAGTAAATAACAGTGTGTTATTTTGAAAAGAATAACAAATTAGAAGGAAAAAAATATTTAAAAATACAGATTTCCATATCCTGAGGCTCTGAGCCCCATTTATTTTCCTCACAGACGGCAACAAAAGTCCAAAATTATACGATTTCAAATAAAAGCAATAACTGTGGCTTGATATTGAGTAAGAACATGTTTTTATGAACCACACAGCTTCCGGTCTTCCTCGACCCGACCGGAGAAAAAGACGTGCTGCAGGCAGTAGAAATACATTGCTTATAAAATCGTGCTGTGCAACACGAAAAAAAGTGGCAAATCGTGTTGGTGAACACGAATCAATAAATTAAAAATCGTGTTGGTGAACACGAAATGCCGTGAGACTGGGTTGGATATATCGTTTAAAGGCCTCAAGAAGGAGGCCAAAGACACCACTGAAAGGGTCCTTGAAGAACTGCAACTGTTTTATTCTAAATTAAAAAATGATGTTCTTTTTTTGTAGTCCGTAATTTTGATAATGAAATTAATTAGCCTTATCTCTTCCCAGCGGACCTTGTTTTTGCGTGTGTATTCTCTCTTAAAACTACTGACGGTTCTTTTCTTTGAATCTCCTCACTTCATCCTGCTCAACCATCTGCTCATGTATTGAACACAGCCTCTCACTGAACAGATTACTCAATGCGCTAATAGCAGCGCAACACCAGCATTAGCCTGGCTGCTCGTCTTAATGTTGCGCTTTGGGACCAGCTCCGGGGGCCATGTTGTGTATGCCCTGGGCCTCGCTACAAATCACGACATTTAAAGATCATTATGGGATTGTGACTAGAACCAGGAAGTCAGTTACAAAGCAGATGCCATTACTGGATGGTTTCATTCATTTCAGTGTGCTGCATTTTCATGGTGGTAAACTGACAAGTGAACTGTTGGAAAAGCAACAATTAGAAAATTGTTCAGTTAGGATAAATACTAAATACAAACATTGTCTCCTAGAAAACAAGAACATCTGACAAGCAAAGACATTATGACAGATGAAATGAACAAACACTGGAGGAAAACAGTGAAGTACCACAATGTATACATGATAAAAATCTATAAAAGACAATATTACAACTGTCTTTCACACCCCCACACACAGAGTCTCCCAGCCAAACATTGTGCTGTTCCTATTCTGGCTGGTATTGTGTTCTGCCAACAAACGTGGTCTGTTTTTTTTATGAAAACTGGAATGTAATTGAATTTTAATGATCTAAATTTGGATAATACCCACAATTAGTGTGGCAACAATCTAATTACACTATAAAGGAAACAAAGGGGGTTCTCTTGGTAGAGGCAAACCTGCTACGAGTCAACTCATTGCCCTATATGTAAAGCACTCAAAACACTCAGATTGGATACAAGGGGATTATAAGAAACACAATCAAAAGGATAGCTGCATTAAACAATGTTTTTACCTGTGAAGCAGCCTTCTGAAGGTGTCAGAAATGATGACTGAACTTCCCACAGGAAACTACCATCAGTTTTTGCACCAAATGATCTTGTTAGGTTCTCCTGGGCCTTTAGCCAATCCCAGCATGCAGCTCACTAGCACTCACATTGACAACAGACACTCTTCCCATTCACACTTATGGTTAATTTAGAGTTTAGATGGAGAGGGACATCATCATTATATTCATAACTTAAACAGATCCCAGTGAACAAAATGATTACTTTAGTGTGAAATGATCACAACACTTCAGTAACAAGCAGACATATACATGTTGTGTTTAGTTTTATTGACACCACTTTAGTAAGTAAGTTCAATTGTATTTGAGAACTTTAAAAGATAGCAAGGATCATAGTTTGCAATGTTTCTTATTGATAATAACATGATTTGAAAACTGACTCAGGGTATTTATTAAAGTTTAACTTGCAATAAGAACTGACCCCTATGTTTCTGAAACCCAACTTTGATTTGGAAGCCTGGGACATAAGAAACACATTTATCTCGATGTGAATGTATTGCTAGAATGTTCTCATGACTCATAGATCAGTTAACCACAAGACGTCACTTCTTAGCAAACAAAGGTTGTTTAAGGGGTACAAACCAACATTCAATGATGTTGTTTTTCTATTAAGGACAAATCAGCAAAAACATTTGCTTGTTGTTTATGTGTTTTCAGGGGATATTATAAAGGTGAAACCTAAAAGGCAGGCAGTTTGCACTCTAGCAATGAGACTTGTATTTCTCTGGGGTTTCGTTTGGTATTCATAAGGCTTTCTGTCTAGATTAAAGGCAAAAGTCAAACTGTATTTTTTAAACTTCTGTCTATTATTCAAATAGGAACATTGTTTTATTGCCTGAGTTCTTCTAAGATCCTGCACAAGTGGTAAATTGTAGCTCATCCCCAGACATTTATAATTTTTGAGTGGCAGAGTGAGTATAACCAGGTCAAAAGTGTAATCCCCTCTTTGTCAGAGAGCTCTTATAGCCGCATTATCTAATAGCACAGCCTCAGTGCTCTGATCCCTCGTGATGTGGAGACATGTTTCTCTGCCTCAGGGACATTTTCAAGAAATCAATAAGCATAAGAGATACAGCATCTGAGGTCCTTGTACAAACGTATATAAGTCATGCTGCATTTATAAACATACAAAAGAAAGAACGCAAAATAAAGTATACACTACATTGATTTTAAACCTACAGTACAGCTGCAGTATTGTTGCGATAGTTGCATAGAGTATCCTATTTGCATCTAATTTGAGAAAGATTTGATCCTTTATTAACTGATAAAACTTTGAATTGATCAACATGGTTATGAGAGTTACTGCACTGTGCCTTCTGTTGTGTAGCTCAAAGCAAAATAGATTGAGTTCGATACATATAAATGTAATGAACTTGTAACAAACCAAAATGAAAAGTTATGTTTATTTTGTTTCTCTGAGACTTTAACCATTTTGTTAATGCGCCTGTTTGATATCAGCCTCCTGCTTATTGGATTAATTATATAATACATTGCTTTTCCATCTGCTCTATGTACGACTTGATTGTATTTAGTTCTTCCAGATTGTTGTCCACGGTTTATTTTTGTCGCTGCTTCTCTGCCAGGTTTGACTTCATAAACAGCCTTGTGATCTGTACAGTCTGCAGACGGTGCAGAATTAAAAGTGTATACGTTGTTAAAATGCTGTTTAGCCCTGGTGTAGCGATTGTTCTGCACTCTCAGGTTCATGAGTTGGATCAGAACAGCCTTGTGTCATGTTGAAGTGTCCTCAAGCTATTCACCTGTTCATTCACTTTGTTATGGACGTGAGAGCTGAAGGCTAAAAATGTAAATGTAGCATTCGGCAGCTGTATTTTCTTTATCCTAGGGACCATTCACTTGTATGAACACACCAGAGGATTTGTTCCGCTCGAGAGGGATTTAGCTCTCCTTTTGTAGCTGTTCCATTATTGCATTTTCCCTATCGCTTCCCTGATAACACCATGCTAACGAGTATGGAACGCCCAGAGGAGAGCGCTCATTCGTAGCAACATTAAACCTAACCTGTGTGTCAGCAATAGGATGAGGAAACAGGCAGGAAACTTGCCTGCTGCGCCACGGCAACGCAGCGTTTTAGAGCTCAGATTACAAGATGTCTTCCAGCAGGTCTATCTCGACCTATTTATCTGTACCCGGCGGTATGCACAGGGGACCCTAGGTGCTTAAATGACTGAAGATTAACCACAACCACGAGAAACCTCGACTTGACCCTCTGTTCTGTGCAAACAAAAAGGGATTATCACACGCTGATAGCAGGTTCCAGTTAAAACAAAGGAGCTTCTGTCTTGAGGCCCGCCTGCTAGCTTTTAGCTTAACCCTGAAGGAGCTCTGTGTGTAGCACTTTCCTCACTAGAGAGAAATACATGTAATACATCCTCGTGGAGTCAACAATTCCTGTGCCGTTTACTTTCTTCTGTGGGGGAGTATGACCGACTCTTCTCCATATCTATAACACTGTGAGCCAGATGGTGAACATCAGTCGTAAACTGCATGTGATTATGAAGGTTTTCATCAGTTTTTATTGCCCTAGATTGCCCCTATATAATTACATTCTGTATTCAAGCAATACCCAGATGGCTGGTGTGCCGAACCTCCACAGTGATATTCATTAAATCTTTAAACATGGTTTATATCTCTGTATATATATTGTATGTATTACATGTCAGTTGAATCCAGACTGCCGGTACGTATATGAAAGTCATTTGGGCCTGTCTGATGTTTTACAGTTAGTTGCAAAAGTTGCAATGTATGCTATAATAACCGTATATGATGAAAGCAAGTAACACAATGCTAACTCACTTTCTGGACATATCAACATGTTCGCTTAATGTTTTGATTGTGAAATTGACATTGTTTTATCAGTAGTGACCACACATTAAGCCCATAACAACATTGGATCAATGCTTGTTAATAAAGCAGTATAATTAGTATTAATGAAAAAGAAATACTACGAGATGCTCTGAAATGACCAGAAATCTAATCCATGTACTCTATGGACAATTTTTAAGCCAAAGCGTCTGGGAGATTTACAGTAATCAATGTTTTTTTTTTGTTCGGCACCCTGAGATTTAGAAAAGGCATCTCGCCTGATATATTTCATAAACAGGTTTTACAGCCCCGCTGTGTGTGTTTTTGTTGTCTAGGTGTCCAGACAGCCCCCGCCCCACCACCGTGCGACCGTGTCAGCTGCCCTGCAAGAAAGACTGCATCATGACCCCTTTCAGTGACTGGACACTGTGTCCTTTCACTTGTGATGCAGGTACTATGACATCTTTCTCCTCATGCATGGAGAGAATACCTGTCTGATGTAAAAAGATACTGTTTTTTTCAGATAATTAAATGGGAATCAGGGAAAGAATCAATTATCAAAGAAAGGTGTACACAAATCCGGTATCTTGAATAGTGTACAGTGTGTCTTAAGATGTTTTACACTTTGTCATAAACTGTCCATTTCTTCATTTATTCACAAAATCATCTTCTCTCACCCTGAGTTGAAAGGTATTTATTTCCATAATATACATTTATAACGATTTTTAACAAATATTTTACTTGAGAGTCACATATCAGTCATTCATTATTCACAAAATCATTTTCATTGGAAAGGTACAACATTTGCATACCAGGTACTGCATATGCCAGAACACAGCTTCATTATAGCATACACATTTATTTATATGACTCTGTCGCAGCTCAGAAGAACTAAAAGTGGTTGTGTGAAAAAACGATTGACGCGAGAGCCTTTTTAGAGCCAATCAGATTAGTTACCACATAAACATCTTGCATTCAGATATCTTAACACGTAATTCATTTGACAGATTGGCATGTAAGACAACCTTTGACAACCTCTTTTAGTGCGACTGGCAAGCCGACTCTGCCAGTGGCTAAAAGTGTCAGCACCAGTTGTTGTTGTTTTTATGCTGTAAAAAAAGAGCAGAGGCAACTTCATTACATTGATTTACATCTGAAAATCATTACGGTCCATATTTTGATGACCTCTTCGTGTGACACTGTGGCATAAATCTCTTTCGCTCTGAGCATGCTGCACCGATGGCAGTGCATTTTAATTTGATGCTGTGGATATCTTCACCTTGTGCAGGGAATTTCACATCACCCCCATACAGTACGATCGTTTAAAGCAAGGTTCAGGAATATCCAGGGGCTCGTTGCGTCTTAATTAACTACTTGAGGTCATCTTCACACATGTAAACCCCATCAAGTTAATTTGAGTCAACTCCAAGGTCTAATGGGATTTTTTTCACAGCATTGTTGTTGGCTTGAAATTCAAAGTAGTCAGACGTGCGTGTTGTCTGCAATAGCTATCCATTCAGATATGGCAAAAGCACTCTCCATGTATATTCTTCAACAACTATTAACAGAGCAGCCTAGCTTATCATTTTGACATGTTTCTCATCACATTCCCCTCACGAAAATGATTGTTTTAATTAATTATTGTGCGTGTGTGTGTCCGTTCAGATGGTAACGCTGTGAAGACAAAGCAAACAAGGAAACGTCTTATCATCCAGCAGCCATCCAACGGAGGACAGGACTGTCCCGAGGTGCTGGAGGAGGAGAAGGACTGTGAGGTCCCCAAAATCTGTCCAGGATTCAGGTAAAAACACACAACAACAATCAGAAAGTGCAGATTTCAGATTTCCTGTTTTCTTACTTTAATTAACAGCTATCAGTAGGAGAGATCGATTTAAATGACATTGTAGCATAGCTGCAATTCCTGTATTGAAAAATAAAAAGCCATATAGGCACTGTAGGACATTTCATTTATGATCTTAAGCACTCTACATGTGTCCCAGTTTATTCCCTGTTGCAGGGAATATCATTTACTGTATATAAAACAGGTTTTCACACATTCAATGTCTGTAATGGTCAAAACGGTGACTCAAGTCATAAACCTATGAAAGTCAAAAAAAAATGTTGGCTGACTGGTCAGAAAGCAGGATCCTCATTAACTATATCCGTTAATGAAGTAAAAATATATTTTTGTAAAATATGGTTAATACTACAGTATGCATACTATAAACACAGGACTATAGTTTATTTTCTGCAAATAGTTTGGCACTATTCCCCAATCTTTTTCACATATTACAGTCTTACATGGTGCACTGTTGGTGTTACGGTGAATCCCATGGTCGTGTTGATATAGCTATTCTATCCTGATTTATTCCAGGTGGAAAACCCATAAATGGAGGAAGTGCCAGCTGGTCCCATGGTTTCTCAGACAGGAGCGTCCCGGTGCGCAGGAGACCTGTGGACCCGGGCTCCAAACAAGAGGTACAGAATCTCTTCATCTCCCCCACATCTCCACTGGACCGTCACTAATCACTGTTAATTAAATTTTTGCTCCTTTGGGTGCATCTGAAACCCGGCCACGAGGCAACAGATGGATGCACCAAGGTTTTGAGAAAAGGCCAATTGACTTATAGCAGATATCAAATCCTCCCACTTACTATACTGTACCTGATACTACTAAAAACATATTTTATTTCAATCTGAGTTGGGAAGAAACTGTGTTCCCAAGTGGTGATGGTCCTCCTGAGACCTACAGTATGCTATAGACTTGAAAATGGTGATTGTTACACTTGCTTTTTTTTTACCTCTTGTCATGCAATTTTAATCAAATGTTGTTGTTTTTTGTATTTAGTAGAAGATGCAGAACCTTGCTTATAGCTTGTGACAGCCCAAACCTTTGTTTATATGGGCTTCACGTACAAGTGAGAAGCACTGTAAAGGGGTTGTGGCTCTCTCACTTTAAAAGCATATTTCCTCTCGCCTTTTCATAGAGGATGGATGCACCATGTAGTCCTGGGAGGCTTTCATAAAAATTCAATTTCAGGGGGTCACGCAGAATGATCAATTTCATTATGTTCAAGCTCCTATAGAAGACCATTATTAGTGCTTATATTTCTGTTTCGTCTTCCCCAGCTTACATTAATGGATGGAAGAATCAATTTATTCATGAAAAATGCTATATGGTCCACTTCAGACATACTCACACCACACTATTCCGATTCTCTGCTGCTTTTCATTGATGTGATACCATGTGACACCTGATGTCCAGAGCCTTCTGCACATGTTTTCACTGCTCTGACACATTAAAGTGGCAGAAATAACTTTGTCATTGACTTAAATCAAATTAGACACACTGTCCTTGCTGGTATGTGTTTTTGTTTGATAGTGTATTATGTTGTTTACCTGGACAGAGACTTTCCTTAGAGGAAAAAAAGCACTGCAGTAGCACTATGAAACACCACATAGAACAACTGAGAGCATGTGCTTATCTTTGTCTCTCTTGTTGACACACACACACACACACACACACACACACACACACACACACACACACACACACACACACACACACACACACACACACACACACACACCACACACACACACACACACACACACACACACACACACACACTGGCTCAAATAAGACCTGACCTAAACACCAACAGACGGAGGATTTTCAAACCAATAGGAGTGCCCACGGGGGGTTCAGAAGTAATGTGCTTAGAGATTGATTTATCTATGAAGGTAAACCCCTGCCGAACGTCTGCATTAAAAGAAAATGAAATATTGCAGCAACTCAAGTAATAAACCCTTTATTGAAAGAACAAAGAATAGGATGATGCAAGAACACAATATTGACTTTGGGTTTCAAACCAATTAAGGTTTGTGTCAGTTCAGCTTATATTTGTTATTTAGCTTGGAGTGAGATGTAATTGGAATTATACAGTTGTATCTTGTTTTCATTGATTATTTTTTGCCCTCTGTAAATCTGTATTTGATGTTATTTTGCCCATCATTGGGGAAAGTACAAATTGGATCTCTTACTTTATTTTAAAGGGCATTACAGCGATTTTCACACTTCAAAGTGCCTTTACCAAAAGGAAATGTTTTGGAAACAAGAAAACCCTCTGCACCTAATTTGTCAAAAACCTCCTGAACAATGACACAATGATGGATCCCAACCAAGAGCAGCTTTTGATGTTTGATTGAAAATCCCCTAAAGGCAGAAAACAACATGCTACTGTACAATACTTGTACTACCATACTATATTTACTACTACAGTACTTAATCACTGGACTGTCACGGTAAAAGTAGAAATATGTATTAATACTCTACTGAAAAAAACACATGCATTAAAATGTTCTTATAATGATTTATTTAACTTATTAAAGAAATAGCTGGATACTTTGGGAAAAGCACTTTTTTTGTGATATTATTCTCATATCTGTCTATTGAATGTGTGGGGAAATACTGAATGTTCCTTCTATATCAGAGTACCACGTGATAAGAGAGGCCGTATGTAGCTGTGTACGTAGCCGGATGTATGACTACGTACATGGATGACGCGCATGAGACACTGTTGTAGTTATGATAGCTATGTTCCTAAGATTGGCCTGATGACACAGCCCCTAGAGAGAGATAGGCATATGACGGTCATGTTTATTGTTTACGCAGGCCTTAGCTAATCTTTATTAATGTCAGCATACTGCTTTGAACCAGTATTCTGACATCTTGTTGACTCTAACACCCTCTCTTGTAAGCATATCTACTCTAGGAACTATTTGTCCCACGCAGCCCTGTGTGTGATGACTACTTCCATTCTTGCAAGGATAATAAATACATGTATCCTGTTATTGAAGACCAAGCCGGTAACGAGTGAAATTTGTCTGAATGTAATATGCAAATCCAGAGAGCGATCGGTTAGACACAAGGAGAAACAGTTAGCCCGCCCGGCTCTGTCCAAAAGTAATAACATGTAGCTGTTCGCGCCTCCAAAGCTCAGTAATTAACGGGTGATATCCAGTTTGTGGTTTAATGAGATGTTATGTGCTGGATTATTAAATTAGTGAGCCTCTGATTTTCAGATATAAACTCCTGAATGCTGTGGCTTAACGCTTAAGCCTATTCATCTCTCGTGGATAAGAAAGTCTGCTAATTTACCTCTTGGTGAATTACCCAAAATGTCGAAAGAAAAATATATTAAACTGTCAAAACATAACATGGGAATATGGAAGTAAAGCATAAGTAGGTCAATGTTGTATTATGCCATGTACTCTAGTAGTTCACTCAGTTCCTTTTGTATTACCGTACATCATTATCTTGCATTTTTAAATACCTGCTGTGACAACCAATCAATCTGTTGAAACAATAAAAGATACACTTTATGGCCTTCCACGCATTCTAATGAAGCCTTTGTGACCCGTCTTCTCTGAATCCTTCTAGCTGTGTCGTGTCGCCAGCTGGACGGGACGCAGGCCGACATCAACGAGTGTCTGAAATTTGCCAAGGCCATGCCCGCCATCACTCAGCACTGCCAGCTCCCCTGCCAGGACGACTGCCAGCTAACCAACTGGTCCAAGTTCTCGTCCTGCACAGCTGACTGCGTGGGGGTCCGCACCAGAAAGAGGGCATTGATAGGTGAGAACAAAGAGTGGCACTGCACCAAATTAGCTTTTGTTCTGAACCCCTTTGGGCCGGGTTTATTACCTGCAATGTAGTTTAAGTGTTGGTGAGGTACCAGGTAGTAATGTTGGTGAGCAATTCCTCAAGAGACGAGCAGTAAAGTTAAACATAATGTCGTAAATCTTTTCTTGCCAGGTAATGCTCCAGTGGGATTGAAGCAACACATCTGAAATAACTCCTCAGCCTTTGCTTTCCATCAGGGCGTTCCCAGACAGTTGCCTTGTGCATCACAGTTATAAAGCAAAATGACAGGAGTGCAGCAAAGCATTAAGAGTTTACTGTGGGGGAGAAAGTCAAGTTTAAAATGGGGAAAAAGTGGATTTGGAAAGCTTTTATTTCCCCCTGATTTGATGCATTATTTTGACCCATTCTACCAAGTATAAAAGAGCAAAGAGGTCATGGCATGCATTGAAGGACTCTTTGAAGAGATTGTATCATTGTTCTTCGCTTTGAACCGGGGAGAGGATGTGGATTTTAAGGATCAATTCAGAGTCCTACAGCTTTGGGGAATGAGTCTTTTTAAAGGTGGCGTATGTGGTTTACTCTTTCAAAGCAGAGCAATAATTCCCTTCCCTTTCTCAAGTTACTCTTTTACTCCTAAATGTGTAACTTTAATCTCAGAGAATATTTGACTTTTCTTCCCGTAAATATGAAAGTCCAAAAACAGTAAATATTGTTTTTATACCTCCAATGGACCTTAAAATATGTTGTATTATTCTCTTTTACACACATACAGTCCCCCCAAAATAAAAAGTAAATGTGGATCATTTTGAGTAAAGTATACTGTATACTTGTATGCTGCCTGTTGCTCACGAGGAGCTTTACAGCCAGATTAAAGCATGATTCACAGCAGTTTGCAGCTTGGATGCAATAACCAACAACCAGCTGTGGTCCGCAGGATAAACTTAGCAAACCTTGGCTCTGATTTTATTAATGCAAAAAAAAAGCATTACAGTCAAACTTAAAGCCCCCTGTATTCACTGGCAAATGTTAAGGATACTTTAGCCCTATCTTCCTATTTGCATGTGAAACTACTTGTTTTGCTTGTTCTATGATTAATAATGCTTGACATGTTGTTAAAAATATTCAAGTTGTCTCAGTAAAAGAGCACTCTGCTTGAAACTATTTTGCCAGTGTAATCTATCATCAGGAGTTGCTGTCTCACTGTTGATGTATCCCACACGAATGAGGGGACAGCAACTCCTGTGTCACCCAGCCTTTTTTCAGTGACTACACTATCCAAACTTTCCCACAGGCTTTAAAAAGTACCCTTAAATATGGTGAGACTCAAAGTCATTTCGACCAAAAAGAGACAGAAATCCAACAACACCAGCAGACGTGTGGAGTCACCTCTCCCAAAGCGATTCCTTCATCTCTGTCATCTCTGTCCTCAGGGAGGAGCAAGAAGAAAGACAAGTGCAAAAACACGCAAATGTACCCTTTGAGTGAGACCCAGTACTGTCCGTGTGACAAGTACAATGCCCAGCCGGTGGGGAACTGGTCCGACTGCATCCTGCCCGAGGGGGGGAGAGTGGAGAGCCTCCTGGGGATGAAGGTGCAGGGAGACATCAAGGAGTGTGGGCAGGGGTACCGCTACCAGGCCATGGTGTGCTACGACCAGGACAACCGGCTGGTGGAGACCCTGCGCTGCAACAGTCACGGTCAGTATTTAAACCTATAAGTATGTGTGTGGGTATTTGTTTCAGGTAACATCACAGAGTTAGTTGTTTTTTAATGTGGCCATGCTGATTGTTTTGGTTTCATGTGTTTTAGAGCAATCTACCTCTAGCACCTACTTCCACCCACTTGCATGGAGGTTAAAACCCAAAACCTCTAAGGATGATCTGAACTTAGAAGATCTTCAATAGAAGGCCTGACAATAAAGTTAATTTGTTCAGGTTTTTACAAACTGTCGCTCTGAGCCTACTCTATACCATGTGGACAAATTGATGGTTTGTGGCTCTCGGAGCATAGAAGAATTTGGTCTGTTTTTTTTTTTTAAAAGGAAAATGCATTTTTAAACATCTTTGATTACAAAAATTTGAATAAGCCAGAAAGGAATATTTTACATGTGATGATGAACACACTTTTTCTCTTATCTAAACACTTTCATTATGAAGCAGAAAATAAAGGAAATGTACTGTAGAGCATCTGCATTAATCCACACCACTCATACACAGCTGAAAGTGAACATGAAAATAAAGTAAAGATAAAACCGTAAAGTACAAACAGGGAATGAATGAGAGAAATGGCTATATTTCACTAGAAGTCGGCATCACAGAGAATGTCAAACATTTTACCGTATGGCATGTGACCCTAAATGATGGAAGCAGATCTTAGAGGAAACTGCCTTTTAAGCACACAAGTATACAAAAGCTACTAAATTGTGTTTTCCCTCTCCAGCATTGACTACTTGGTTCCAGCTGAGAAATATTCTGTAGAGCAACAGATGCAAGAATAACTGTTTATTCAGATAAACATTTATCTGAGGTGAAGGATTTTGTCTGTGCACATACTGTATGCAGTCCCCCTCCTATGGAGGTTAGGGTCCTATTTCAGATACAGGATTTCACATTAGGAGGATTTTCTCTGGCACACTCCTGTCAGAATCATTTGTCTCTTCGTTTTTTAAGGTCTTATCTAAGATCCAAAATACTTCAAGCGAAGAATCCTGGCTCAGAAACTCGTTGTGAAATTGCTGTGAAATAGAATGCGGGAGATGTTCAAATGAATACATCAGTGTTGTGCATATACAAACAAGGTTTTAGTTTCTTGTGTGAGTCACAGATTCAGATATGCGACGGTTAATCTGGGTGTGGGTGTGACAAGGGCATGTCGTAAGGATGGGGTGTGTGTGTGTGGTGGTGTGTGTGTTTTGCAGCCACTGAGTATTTTTTCACCTATGTGAATGTTTGTGTGTGTTTGTGTGCATCCATGCGTTCATCTTGAACCACCAATGAGCTTAGAACAAAATCCATGTTCCTTGAGGTGGACAGAAAAGCAAAAACACATTCATGAGGCTTGGCGTAGCTACATGTGAATCTCAAAGATATCATGAAATCTCTCCTTTATCCGTCTCATGCAGTCGCTCTTCCTCCATTCTCTCTGCCACTCCTTCCTTTATTTTCTGTGTCATCCTCTCTCAGCCATCATCACTTTTAATCTTGATAGGGGAAGAGACGTGGTCTTTCCAAGACTCTGTTGCTGACACAATGCCCTCGGCTGTGATGTTGAGCAGGCTAACTGTGCCACTGTTATCTCTGTATTCCACAGACCAACATATCACCAGGAAACGGGGGTTTTCCTGGTGGGGATTATCATTAAAAGTGAACGTTGATCAAAGCTTTGTGGTATTTCTAACTTCCCAGATTGCCTGGTTCCTCTATTTAAAGGAGCCGATATTATAAGTAAAGATCACACTGCATGCTGTTCAGAACAATTCTCAAGACATTAGTTCTCTTACTCAGCGTTTGTGCAGTTTACTAGAAACAATTTAAAACACTATAGATATTACTGTACTGTAAACGTTTATAGTCAAGCTTGACCGCAGATACACGATAATAAGCAACACAAGAAGGCTGTAACATCCAAAAGACAAATTCCTGATTATCTGAGTCCCCAGTAATAATTACAATCAGCCACAAGAAGATCTAATTAGTGTGTTGTCATGTTCAATATAATCAAGCGATATGGGGGTGGGGGGCTTTTAATAAAGGCTACTTTATTAAATAATTATAGGCCCATCTCTAAATTGTCAGTTCTGGCCAAGGTTCTTGAAAGCCTAGTGAGTGAGCAGGTAAAGGTGTTTGTAAGTAACAATGACCTACTATGTCAACATCAGTCAGGTTTCAGAAAGCAACAAAGCACCATCACTGCGACAATGAAAGTGGTGAATGATATTGTAGGTATCTTAGACAAAAAGCAGAGTTGTGCAGCTCTGTTTATTGATCTTTCCAAAGCTTTCGATACCGTCGATCATCAAATCCTGAAGCAGAGGCTGGCCAGTATTGGCATGTCCAGCCATGCAGTGGGGTGGTTTGTGAACTACCTCTCTGAAGGTCCCAATGTGTTCACTTTGATGGGCTGTCTTCTGAGTGGTTAAACATTACAAATGGTGTACCACAAGGTTCTGTTTTAGGTCCATTATTATTCTCCAGCTATATCAACAGTTTAGGTCAAAATGTGGATGGAGCAACTTTACATTTGTATGCGGACGATGCAGTGATGTATTGTGCAGGTCCCTCCATTAAGGAGGCTGTTGTTAAATTACAGGCTGTTTTTAATATTATCCAGACTCAGCTCTCTGAGCTTAAGGCTTAAGCTTAATAAAACTAAGGTAATGCTATTTTCAAAAGCCAAAAAGACACCGGAGACCACTTTGGATATTGTTACTACGCAAGGAAAAATACTTGAAGTGGTTGCCTGTTATAAATACCTTGGTATCTTGCTTGACGATTGTCTCTCTTTTAAACCTCAGGTCAATAATCTGCTTAGAAAGCTAATAGTGTCCTGTTTCTCGCTTGAGGCCAGGAAAAGGCTAGTTTCTGTGACCTTTTTTTAACAAGTAAAGCAACAGACTTACAAGCATTTCCTTTGAAAAAGAAAAAACACTTTAAAAAGATGATTCTATCAAAACCTTTTTTTATACTTCATAAGTCTGAAGTCATAAACACAGGAAGCATTATAGATTAGAAAATGGATCATCAGTATATATATATTTCAAATGTTTTACCCACCCTTCAGGGCTTCCGTAGAAATGTCATGGTGTAGTTGGGGAAGACCTTAGAAAAGGTCTCCTTCTATGTCCTATATTTGACATTACTCATAAAGTTCCTTTAATGATGACTCTAAGTTACCTGTAATCTTTTACCTTTACCATGACTCTATATTACAGGATGGCTCAGAGGCCTTGGTCTCAGGCTAGCAGGTTGGGGTAGAGGAGGAGGGGTGCACGGTGCAGTCACTCTGGAGAGTCACAGAGGGTAAAGCTTAAGGGCAAGCATCTTGCTGAGGACCTGTGAACTTGAACAGAATTGCAGAGAACAGATTTGCTGGTGCATGACGACCTGTATTTGTCACGAGAGGAGAAACACACTGAGAGCCAGTGCCATATAATTGAGCTTATGCTATTTGAGTGTTACAGCATATAGGCAGTGTGCTGTGAAGCTCTAAGATAAGCTCAGTGTGTGTTATGGTTAGTGATGTTAGTAATGTACATCAAAGGGTCCTTTGGGGCCTATGGGGATTCCTTCTTATTCCTCTACGCTCCATGTTGAGCTTCTATAGCTATTTTCCGAACGCCCAGGGATTAGGCTACCCATGTTGCCTTGGAGATGATTGTGATGCAGGGGGTGTAACGGGTCAAAAATCAGTTACCTTGGATGATTCCTGGAGCCAAAAAGGTTTGAGTAAAGCTTCTCCGACCACCCACCCATAGAGTGGATAACATTTGGTTTCAGAGGCCAACACTGGTGACTTTATTTCTGGCTGGATGGCTAGCAATAACTGGTGGCTGGATATACCCTCAGGGGGTCCTCAGTGATACCCTGGGGCCCAGGAGGCTAGTTGATCCTTACAAATGAAATAACAGAGAGAAACAAAAAGGGATTTTCCAACCAATATTATCTACTGTACAGTAGGTACAAACATCATTTCAGCTGATTACATGTATAACCTCATGTACATTTATATTGGTTCAAAACCTAAGAAGTATGTTGATCTAATTGATATTGGTATGTATTATTTTATTAGTTGTTTAAATTACTGTTGGAAAATGTAGTTTGTTTGTTTATTTCAGTTTTTATTTTATTTTGTCTTTGTGTTCGTTTCTATGCCTGCGTTGGACTGTTGTATTTTGTGTTTTTATTTCCTAAAGCCCTAACCAGAGACTCATTCAGCCTAGTAGATAAATAAGGTCAATATTTTTCACAAGCATTAAAGAAACTGTAGCATTACAGTTCACACGTGATCTATTATAGGTTACAGACAAAAATGCATAGCAAGGTAAGATAACCTTTATTGGTCCCCCCAATTCAGTCAAATGTAAACAAACCATGTCAAAAGAAAACACAAACAACTGCTACAAACCTGAAAGTATTTTTCTTTTATTGAAACGCTGTGTTTGAAATGCATGCGATTCAAGAAGTTATTAATCTTCAGGAATTTTAGCAAATAAGTCAGTGTGCAGGTGATAATTAGTTTGAAGGTGCAAGAAATGCCAGGGTTCCTGTATGTGCAAAAAGAAACAAAGCATTGCCTTGCTTTAAATAAAGCCAGGTAAAGTTCAAATAAAGCCATTGTTTGTATGTTTGGTTATGTTCCAGCTAAATGTTAATAGCTCTCAGCTATTGTAAGAAAGCCTCTCTTCCTCCAGAGGTATTTCAGTTTATATCCTACACTCTAAAAACGAATTCAGGCGACCTTTCACCTCCACTTAATTAAATGCATGGTTGCAAGATAAAAAATGTGAGTTAATTGATTTAGATAAACATTTTAAGTTGCAAACATTAATTTATAAGTTGTGTTGACGTAATAATGTTGGTAATTACATCAACTTAATATTGTGTGTAATTTGATCTGATTTCTGCGTTAATTGACTTCAAACTAAATTCAAGTTGTAGTAAGTAATGCATTTGGCTTGATAACTTAATTGTTCTACACCTTGAGTTAAGGATTTCAAGTCCACTCCCACTTAACATGCCTGGACAAGTTCCGACAGTTAAGACAAATAGAAATATGCAAAGGACATTTTAAGGTGAGTGTCGTCTTTTGTCATTCAAATACAGTAGATAGCCTTGTAGTTGCTCTGTATAGGCAAATTGCTGTTTGACCAAAATTAGCAGCCTTTGAACTGTGAATAGTTATGTGAGAGGATACAAAGTAGTAGAGGCTACTGTGAGCGTAAACATACTTTGGTTACTATTGTGATATCTCTTTTTATTAAAAATGAATCTCGTGAAGCAGATCAAGGACATGCTTCTTGAGGTAGGATCCTTATTTAGAGTTGTCATTGAAATGCAAGTTGTTGGCAGTCTCCCATTCAGAATATATTCATTTAGGTCATTTCTCTTTTTTTCCTTTTTCAAAAATAGCACAATACAATTGAAGTACGCAGATAACTATAGCCATCCGCTGCCTTGTCGTGTACCTTGGAGAAAAGGAAGAGGACCCTTTCAAGGAGTTTAGCGACGTAATTACAAATCTTGAAATAACATAAAATCCACGGGCACAGTGGACACACAGGACAAAAGCACTGCTCTCTGTCAAAAGCACTGCTCTCTGTCAGTTACATTTTGAAGCATATTGCACTTTTGGCCACACCCCAATCAATAATATCTTAGCAACGTTCAGCATGTATAGGTGTTGACAGCAATGGCATGGGAAAAGGATTGTGTACAATTTTGAAAAGTGGCTTCTGCTCTTCTGCTCCAGTTCAAATATTGTATGGAACCTGCAAAAAAGATGAGAAGATACACTAAAACTTGCACGGTTGTGATTGACAAAATCTGTCCACATGCATTTAAACACTAGGCAAAGTACTCAAAAGCACCTCTGTGTGTCTTCAGGACCACATTGCCATGACGACACACACATGCAGACTCAATAGGTGAAAACAATACCAGCGTTGCTTTAGCAGCTGGTAATAATGGCTCTGAATTCGCTAAGAGTGACAGTTTGAAAAGTAAGCAATTACCTAATTCATTATCTCTTATGCGCTAGGCTAACCTATTGTTTAATGTGCTTCAAAAGGACATGAATATCGCCTTCATCAGTGACCGGTCCACCCCAGGATCTGACCATACGATGGCAACCATCGTGGTCGAGGGAAACAAATGAATGAGCAAGCATTCTGCGTTAAATGTGTTCATACTGTTTGAAATAATGACTGTCGGCAGTGTAAACATCTTTGTTACATCATTGGTGGCCATTGAGAGTTTGTTTCTGTAGTTTTACAAAAACTTTACAGATTTGACATATTTGGCACTGGTTTTAAATATGCAAAGGCCTCTAACTTCGTTGTGATGGCAGCATGTATTTGCTGTGTCCCCATGTCCCATGGTAATATGGCTAATGTGTTTATTTATTATTTGTGGGGCAATTTAAATTTGTGTTATTTATCTTTTTTTCAAGATTGAAATGAAGCTCAGCGCAAGTTCTTTCAGGAAGACTGGGTGTATATACATTCACTCCACAGCTGCATACAATCAGCTCATCACAGGCGTTCTCTTTAACCTATTACATTTCACCTCATTCTCCAGCAGCCAATCAACGTGCTGCAGCCAAACTATAAAATGGTTCTCCTCTCTCCTGCAGTCAGCTGTGATTTCAGGTGTTCATGCACCTTATCATATGGCATGTGTCAATAAATGTTCAAACTAAATGAATTCTCTCCTGATTGAGACATCATGTGTTGAGATAAACAACTGCAGTTCAAAATAAAAAGTGAATTGCCTAATATTTTTGTTGTGGAATCAATTAATTTCTTTCTTTAAAGGCAAAAACATGAAAAAGCTAAGAAAAAAAACTATTGAATACAATATATTTGGAGCAACTTAATTTATAAATGGTTGTCAACTTAAAAACGTGTGTTCACAAGGATGGTAATTAAGTACATACAACTTAAAATTCCTTTTAAATCATGCGGTAAAACTAGTCGGAACAACTTCATATTTTGAGTAATCAACTTCAAAACTTGTGTTTATGCAAACAATTATTAAGTAAGTGATAATTAAAAACACCTCTGATTGTAGAGGAAAAGCCTTCTCCCCTAACTCAAATAACTTTGTTGCTTTAAGACAATTTCATTAGAAGTTGTCTTAACTCAATAAAGATTGATGCAAACTGTTGCGTTGATTTTCTTTGTTGAGCCAAGGCTTGTTTTTAGAGTGTAATTATCTCTGGGAGGTGCTGGGAAACTGTTAACATTTCAGGTGTCAGCAGTTACAACTGCTTTGGGGATAACAACAAGAGCTTGTGCCAGGTTGACTTCTAAAGGTGAAAAGAGGTGATCTCCTACCTGGACTCAACCCAAAAGCCCCAGTGAGAGCTTGGCAAGACCTCTAACAAGTTTATATCTGTTGAAGGTTGAGGTGGGTAGCACTTTATAGTACTTAAAAGTGACGGTGTCAGTGATTTACGATGACTGAACATGACTTGAAGACTTACAGTGAGAGGTCAAAGGTCATGAAGCTTATTTCGGAGGCCAGGCTGTAGTCAGCAAGGTGTTGATGTGGAGACACTGATCGGGCGCAGCAGAGCGTAAGGAGGTCAGGCAGAAGTGTGTGTGCATGTGAATGGACGGATGTGATCATTATGTCGCTGCACATTTAGTTTGTGTGAAAGTGCTGCCAGGACTTTACTGGATTAATTTTGTATTTTTTAATCATATTAGCTTTAAAAAATTGTACTGCTCATTTTTTGGTCAGCATCACCCTGCAACTGTCCTCTTTAGATGAGCCGAATTCCATCCGTGTTTTTAAGCTCTGCTCAACCAGAAGCACCTCCTCTAGCAGCACAGGGAAACAGGAAGAAAAACAGAACACTTATAAGAGTTTGCTCAAATGTACCCACACTCATTAATGCTAAGGTTTCTTACATAACTGCATTTTAATAGTACATCTTAATTAACCTAATTTATTATTTAACTTATTTTCCTTTATCAAAAAGTTATAAGGGCTTTTGTTATCAGACTATAATTAAAACTTTTGGCTGTTACTCAAATCAACTTTCTGACACCTTCTCAACAGTAGCTTTAATAACACTCCCACACCAACACAGCCAAATGTGTTTATGTATTTATCTATATATACATCTATTTGAATGCAGTGTTATTTTCCATCTGAACATTGCCTGACATGTTTTCTAGGTTGAACAAGTGAAAAACATTTCTCACATATTAGGGATGTGTTTTTTACAGGCCTTCATTTTCCGCTTACTAACAAGAAGAACAAATATGACTTCTAATGCTAGTGTTTTTTGGTATGTGACCCTTTCAAATATAATTATTACAGGAAATGTCATTTGTTTTATATCTTCATTCAGAAATAGAATGATTTTGGCTTTCTGTGGGGTGAGTCTGGTTAGTCTGTGAGACCCGCGGCGAGAAAACCTGCTCAGCTGGTGCCGAGGAACAGAGAGATAGCATCTCGCTAGAGTGGCCAGCCTCAGGAAGTGCATCTGATTACATTTCCACCAGTCAAGAGGATTAGTATTCAATCAGAGGGGATTTCCATAGGTGCCCACCACTGCCTCTGGGTCAATAACTTGTTAAGGGCAACATTTATGGCATAGCAGTGACAGTGTTATACGACTCCAGCCTCAGCAGCAGGCACCGCTCATCACCTCGCCCCATAGTGTTTTATAGTTACTTTTTATTTATTACTATCTAAAAAAAATATTAATTGGTCCATATTTTCATTGTAGGTTCAAGGTCATTCTGTTAAATATTATCCATATTGTATATACATTGACAAAATAGATTTGTAAGGATTTACAAGCTTCTTTTGGATTCGTTTTAACTTTATATTTAATATCGTCGTGGCAGGTGTGTGTTCTTAGCAGAGCGATCAGTCAAGGTGGCACCACATTTCTCTCTTAAGAGCAAAGCAGTCTGAGAGCCAACATTAGAAAGAATCGTATTCCCTTCATGGATTTTCTCATCAAATGCTAAACTTATTTACAAGCCAGTGCTGTCTGTTTACTAAAGTGACTTTTACCCAGCAATTGCAAAAACCATTTCATAAGACGGAAAATGTTTTTATGGACTCAACCAGAGTTCATGTACATGATCTTTTAAACATATTTAACTGAACCTTGGCCTGTGTGCAGTGGGGAAGGGAGAAATCAATAGATGGTGAGACATGAGTAACAGGCGGAGGGAGATTCTTAAAACAGGCCCTGCTGACATGTCCTGACCCTGTGAGCTGAGGGAATATAGATTGAAATAATGAAGCTCACTGACAGGCCCAAGCTCTCGCCCAAGATATTTAGGCTTTTATATAACGGCCAATATATTTGCTCCTCTGAATGTGGACCCTGTTTTCATTCCACCGGGCTCAAAATCAATAAGTGCATTTAGATTGTATTATTGTTTGCTCTTACAGCTGGGTGTTTTCCCCATCTAGCATTTCAAGAGTTTTTGGGACTTGTTAGTTGGATTGAAAAGAAAAACAGATCTTTGGGAATTAGGATGAATGTTGTTTTATACTGGATAATGAACACAAATGTCTCCTTTCTCCAGGAGGCTGAGATTCTGCTTGTGTGATACAGAGAGAACAAAGGTTTTATTTCAAAGTGTTCCTTCTTACGGTTCATTTTCTGGTGAATGCGTTTCGTCTCTGAAATGATTAATTACAGACTACAGGACCATGTCTAGTCATTCATTAAAAAAGACTGCAAAGCTGTTATTTTATCCTTCAGTTTTTCTCTTGTGTTTAACAATCACCCATTTTACTCTCCAGGTCACACCACATGCATATTCAGTTATTGCTAAACACTTCCTGTTTTTGTATTTGTTCAGGTTATATCGAGGAAGCGTGCATCATCCCCTGTCCCTCAGACTGTAAACTCAGCGAATGGTCCAACTGGTCAAGATGCAGCAAGTCCTGTGGCAGCGGGGTCAAAGTTCGCTCCAAATGGCTTCGAGAGAAACCTTACAACGGGGGCCGGCCGTGTCCCAAACTGGACCACATCAACCAGGTACTGAAACTCCAGCTCAGTTTTGTAATCGGAATTGGTGGCTGAGCAGGAGAATGAGATATAACCCCAATCTTTAATATTTATGAACTCTGCTACAATATATTTTCACCTATAACAAGTGGGTTACACATTATCCGAAACCCACACCGGAGAGAAAGAGGGAGAAAGAAATGAATTATTAATGAATAACACGCTTGAGTCCTTTACCTTCCCCTTATTATCGCTGCACTCATTTTTTGCCGAGCAGCAACAGTGCAAAATGGATGCTATAAATTGATCCTATCCACCGTATTATTGCTCAAATGTGTGCAAGTGGATTCCTTAAGGTTTCCGTGATTTGCAACTCTGAAATGCTTTCCAGATCTGTGAGTATCAGCAGATGCAGATTAAGGTTGTGTTGTTTCTGTGTGTATGTGTGAGTAGTGTGTATCTGCTAAATTCAAACAGGTTTTTTCCTGCAAAGGCTTACATAATGTAACCATTTTGTAAAGTTATCATATTCTCTGCACTATATGAACAGTTGGCATTTGCTCATTAATCCATCTATCTCCTTTTAATCCATCCTAATGCTCGCTGGATTTGACTCACTGCTACAGGCCCAGGTAAGAGCTGCTTTCCTCAGCTATCTGTAAATGTAGTCACAGATGTTAAATGTCACTGATGTCGCTGGGTCACTGACAGATGGTTGTAAACAGTCGCAATATCCTCACTGTAAGTAAACAAGGAACTATCAGATTAGAGTTTTATGTATTCAGACATTTGCCTGAGGCCAAGCTGCTCCGGGGGCAGAAATAATCTTGTTGGAGTTAAACCTTGGATAGCCAAGCCAAATAATTACTGTATATAAGGCAAAACTCAAGTGACACACTTACAGGGCTAAGAGGAAATATTTATAGAAATAATCATCACTTGGCTAAACCAAGAAGTAGAACTATTATTCTGACATATTTGACTTGCTGCTCTGTCTACTTGAAGTCATATTAAGCACATGTTAAGCACATGTTAAGCACATGTTAAGCACATGTTAAGCACCTAATTCTGTCCCCAGGTGTACGAGGTGGTGCCGTGCCAGAGCGACTGTAATCAGTATGTGTGGGTGGCTGAGCCATGGAGCGTGTGGAAGGTCAGCAACGTGGACTTAAAAGAGAACTGCGGCGAGGGCGTCCAGACCAGAAAAGTCAGGTATCTATCGAGCTGCATGTCCTGCTACATGTATGCATTGTTTATATAATAGATACATAACCACTATATGTACTGTGTTTCAGTGCTGCTAACTATTAGCTGATTTGCTGGTTCAGTCATCTAAAAAAATCAACAAAATGCTCTAAAGTATTGCTTTTTTAGAATTAAAAAAAAAACGTTCTAGAATAATTAGCATGTCAAATGTAAAGCAGGGCTTGGGCATTGATCAGTCAAAATAAGCAATATGAAGACACTACCTTGGGCTGTCGGAAAATTCAATTAGCACTTTTAAGTACACTTTTTAATATTTAATCAGACAAGCGTAATTTGTAGATTAATATACAAGCAGTTGCTAACTGTCAAATTAAAACAACTATTTTGTGTTTTGGAAAAAAACATTTATTTTCTAAATTGGACAAGAGGGGTCAACAACCGACATCCTGCCAAATCCTTTCGAGTTGAACACAAACCTTTTGGATGTTATGCTGCACATGCCAAATCATGCACTGTAATTAGACTATATTAGACTGACAGGGCTGTAATTAGATGGTCTGTGGGGCTGACAGACCAAACAAAGTGGTTCTGTAAAAGTAGACGGTTAAAAAGACAAATGCACCATATCATCAACATCCATACGCCTTTTTTATTATCAAGACTCATTTCTTTTTATGATTTTTGGTGGCTGATACATGTTCACAGTAAGTATAATGTGACATTTTCAGTGAATAAACTGGCACTCTTAGTCTGTATTCAGTTTGTCTGCTGGATAATAAAGTCTGTAATATAGATATAGATTTTTTATTAAATGTGGCTGAGGCAGTAAAGGAAAACTAGGTTTCGGATGCAAATAAAATGACCATTTTTGTACTGCATCCATCTCATCGATCTCAATCTATGCGTATTTTCTGTGTTTACATTGATCCTCTTCACCCAGTAGAGTCTGTGTTGCTGTGACAGATGTTATTTGTGTTTGTGAAATCGACCTCCGTCACCGTGAGCGACGAACCCCAGTACTTCCTCTACTTGCCATTTCTATGTCCAGTTAAAACATAACGTCTAACTAGTTTGTTCTGTGGAGCCATCAGTATCTAAAATTCAGTGTTTTTCCTCCAATCCCACAGGTGCATGCTCAACACAATAGACGGGCCGTCGGAGTCGGTGGAGGACTACCTGTGTGACCCTGAAGAGATGCCCCTGGGGGCCCGGGAGAGCCGGCTGCCCTGCCCAGAGGACTGCGTGCTGAATGACTGGGGCAGCTGGAGCCGCTGCAGCCTGGTGAGAGCTGAACTCAGATCAGAGAGCAGCAGCTCAGCTGTCTGCCACAGATATGGGAACGTCAGTGTTCTGTGAAGCCCACTGAGATTTATCTTGGTATCTATTTTTGTCAGAAATATTCTCTCTAAGGCTCAAGGAATTCAAAGCGTACCAGCACTGTATCATTTTGAGCAGTGTGTGAATCTAAGTCAACAGGTTATTTATCGTCCACCAAGAGAGGAATAAAAGAGATTTATGAACTGGGAAGCAGGAGAAAAATGGCTTATGTATCACCTACACTGTGCTCACTGTGCATTCAGCAGGGGAGGAATATGATTTATGATAAAGACTCCTGTGCAGGTTTTCAGATTTACATTTTGTGACACAGGCACTATCCTCTTTACATTAGCAGTGATGAAGTGGCAAAACAAAAAGCTGGCTAAAATATTCCAGCTAGCTCGGATCGTTATTTGGCAGACAACCACAAACAGTGAAGTTATATATATTCAGAAAACTACTAGATATTCAGGTCGTACACTTTCATTTTAGACAAAAGGTTGACAGACTAAATGAGTACAGTATCAGAATGTATCTCCTTTTTAATCAAAAACTAAGAGTCCCTTTCCAACTTGCTGTAAAATATGAAGACTTTGCTAATTGAGTCTTCCATATTCCTCCTACAGACTACAGCATGTAAGCAATCTTTGCTTTTCCTTTCACAAAAACATGTTAGGCGTCAAAACATCCTTTTCAGCTCCTCTGCTTGAGACAACTCCGATTCTTGGTAAAAAGAAAACCATTTAAATGCTCCTGTGTCTCCTGCTGTTCTCTCAGCAGCACCTTGGCCATTGTTAATCACACCCCATTTGTTTCTAAAGTACTTCCCACAATTCCATCCTCGTACTGGAGTCTCCAGTGGCCCCAGCAGGGACCCTTACATGTTTTATTCATCGTGCCTGCGATGAAGTTATTCAAAAGGCTGTCATTTTCGCCTCCAACTGTCTTCCTGCAAGCAATGACCGTGTAGAAACTGGTTTATGATTCCAGCGCAGTATCGGTTTCGGCTCTGCTGTCCTTTCCTGCTGGAGAGACATTGAATTCCTTATTCTGGGAATGCCAGGAGAGAGAAGGACCTTCATTTATATTTAGAAATACAAAGAGAAACATCCCTTCAGGGTCAAAGCCTATGCCGACAGTTTATTTCAAATACAAATGAAAAATAATCTAGCAATGGGCAAATTCACACAGTTATCTCCTTTTATGTGCCTTTGATATAAACATCAGTGTAGCAAGATCTCTGCTTAGTTCCAATTCAAAGATGTTTCTATATTCCTTGCAACGTTGACTGCTCAGAAATGTCTGCATTTTATGAAACAGTTTTTAATGTGAGGTCTCTGTTGCAGCCATGCACCAGAACCAACAGTCGAGTGCGGGTGGCATACACGCTCCGTTCTCCCAGTGTGGGGAGGGAGTGTCCCGACACGAGTGACAATGAGCCCTGCAACCTGAACCTCAACTGTTTCAACTACTTCTACAACATCACAGGTACGGGACATGTAAAATGACTGCTCTGTGCTCATAAAGGTGCAGTCGGCAGTATTCATTTCTCTCTGTAGGGTCATCAAACCTGTTTTGTTTGTGGCAGACGAGCTACTATACGTGCTCTGTATGTTTTCAATGGAGTATGTTTTAGGGCTGCTGCCATGGGATTGCAAGGATGTATGTATTGGTACTCGGTGAGCATCACTGCAAACATGGACTCTGTTTCAGAATGAGTTCCTCTTCTGTTTAAGAGGCCGCAGATAAATGAGTGAAGCTGCAGATTAGATCATTTGCTGTAGGGTCATCGCAGGTGTTTACTATCACATTGTTTCCATATTGCCTTTTCAGACGCTTTAACAAAAAGGAAATGTTGTATTCTTTGGACAGAAAGAACTACTCAGAGATTTGAGTTGGCAGCCTTCCCGAGATGATCTGCAGGATATCACACCTCCATATCACAGAGGCTGTTCTTTCATATTTCATGCTTGAAACTGTTCCTCACGTTATTTCAATACAAAATAAAAAGGAGAGGTTGGCAACAATCCTCTAGTTCTTTTGGATTTAGTTATGATGCCTCCATTTTCCGCTGCTCCACATTTTTAACCAGCACACCCTCCTCTTCCCTTTGTGCTATTACACTGGGACACATATCTTATAATCCCTACTGCTAGGTTCACAGTGGCATCCCAGGGTATATGTACATAATATACGAGAAGAGATTATTATTGGTTGAAGCTTTCTTTTTCTTCTCTGTTAGTGCTGAGAAGGTCCAAGCTGCTTCTTTCCTCCCATCAGTTTTCCTCCCTTTCTGGCTGTTTCCCTCTCAGTCTCTTACAGTCGCTCTTTTCTTGTTGCCGTGTCCCTATTTTCAGTCCCCAGAGTGCCACAAAGCTTCTCAGCAAAAGGAGACACAGTTCCCTGAGTCGAGCTTGCAAACGAGCTCGCTGCAGCTAAAAACAGACACTCGTCTTTGTCAGCGGATGGCATACTTTATGAGTGATACCTCTGCCTCCCTGTTGTTGCCGGCTTTGCACCCAAAGCCTGGAATCAAATGTTGTATTTCCACTTCACAGACATTATTTTTTTAGGGGACCCAGAGTTCTGCCTCACTTCCGCTCTGTATTGTTCTGGTGAGGTTTATTCAGGGGAAACTTGTGTTGCTTTTAAATCCTCAATATTAAACTTGAATCTGACGTCTGGCCACACAGCTTGCTTATGATGCTGGCATTAAAGAACACTGATGGCAGCCAGAGTTATTGGATTTAATAGAGCTGTTATAAACCTTCAATGACCTCTTTGCTGACAAAATAATCATCTGTTGTCAACATTGATATGTGCCAGCCAAAAGCTATTTAGAGACTGACTCAAAACTAAACAAACACACACCATTTTGAAGGTGCACTGAATATTTAGTGGAATATAGGGAAGAGGTTTTAACCAATTAAATACCCCTACATTTAACCATCTCTTTACAAGCATGCAGAGAACATAAGGTGGCTTATAAGTAAAATAAAAATGTGAAAGGCCAAAGGAAGAGGAACCACTCCCTATATAGATATGAAGGGCTCATTCTAAGCTTAAGAAAACACAACGATTATAAAGTAGAGGTGATTATTCCCTGTTAAAGTCATAGTTATGTTTTCATATTCAATTTCTGCTAATACATCCATCTAAATATACCCACTGGTCCTCAAGGCTTTATGTGTTTCTTGAGTTGTGTGGCAGAAGGGAAGGAAGGCAGAGGAAGATGAAGTGTGCAACAAAGGCAATGAGCTGATGTCAAAGTTACAATATGGGAAGCACAAGGCATTCTTGCAAATCTGCTGAGTCATCTGGGAGCCCATGGTGGTTCATTTATATTCATGGCACTCCCATCCTAAAATATATATCCCCAGTGCAGACAAGACATGTGAATTTTAGTTTAAGTCATCAATGTGGATGTTGATTAGTTTAACATTGTAGTACTCTGTCAAAACACCATGTCAAATGTCTACAAACTAATTGAAATGTATACAAATTCTATCTATATATCTGCCTCCAACCAACCTTAGATTAGCATAAACAGCTTTCAAATTAACATAAGGCAACAAGGGGAGAAAGCACATTGCTGTTTTCACATTTAATAGATACACCATGTTTGTTCCTCAATATCTGCGATGTATTCATTCTAAAGTGTAAACCATTTGTGACAGCTAACACATTTAAACACTTTTAAATATTGTCTCGATGTGTTTTGTCTCGCAACAACATTCTGCTTCAACTGAAAAAGCATCCAACCAGAAAAGTGAAATGCAGCTTCCTTGTGACTTGAACAAATGCTCCTCTCATTTTGCTTCCTGCTCCTATCTAAACCATACCTCCCTCTCACCTGCCTTTTTTTCTCTGCTGGCACCCAGGGTGGTAAAATCAGCAGCAGCCACCTACTGATCGCTGGTAATTATTAGCTATAGGCGGTAAAGTTGAGAGCTGTAGTGAATGATAACAATAATTGTGTTCTTTCCACTGTGAAATGTGATTGGAGGAGCAAGGAAGGTACATGAGTGCGAGAGACAGAACAATAAGAGGGTATATCCAACCATTCTTGTCTGTTTTGGAAGTGCCTGCACATTTGGCCAGCAATGTTTGACTGAATAATACATGTTTAAAGCTGCCATTATCTTTTTCAATCAGCGAAAACTAAATGTCTGCTTTCAGTGATGAACCAACAGAGAATTATCACCAAACGCTGCTGATCCCCTCAATTACGAAAAAGCTTTTCAGTGGCTTTAAGTATATTTGGGGGGGGGGTTCAGCCTGCAGCTTTACTGTTTTAAATGTTCACTCTCACCAATCTCAACAGCTGTTCTGAGTGAAGTCAATATAAACCCTCTCTACACTACCTGCCCAGAACCAAATAGCAGATAGGAAAGTTAGCGACTACTCTGAATATTGTGGAATATGTATCAGCTAAAAAGTCCAATACTTCAGTTGTTGGAGAGCTAAACCAAGACAATGAGGAATGCATTTTAGACTTACCTTGTTGAGGTAGCCAAAACACAATTTCAAATAAATGCAAATTGTTTGATGATAAATGTCTCTTGTCAACTTTAAAGATGATGCGGATTCAATGTTGTGTTTTCTGCTTTTTTACGATAGGGTTAGGGTTACATAAATGTATACATAAAACAAGTTAATGCAGATTTAAATTCAGACTTGTTCAAAATTCACAATATGTTAATGTCATATGTACAGTATATCACAGGCATGTCACTGCTTTGACTGCACTGAGTCGTGTCTCACTTTGAGAATTTTAAGTAAAACTTTCTAGTTCTAGTAAAATTTAAAACAAAAATAAGACACTTTCATACGGACACATATTAACTGAATTTGCTTAAGAGGATTTGATCCTTGTTGTCTCTTAAAGGACTTAGATTTGACTTGTACTTCAAAAAACTAAAAGGCTATAATGTTAGCATTTTTGAAAATGTGCTTTTCCTATACTTGCACTTACTTTGTTAAAAGAACATATATTATGACTCAGGGTGTTGTATTCTTTAGTGTCTTTTAGATTAATCATTAATGTCTGGATGAGAGCTTTTGGTATACAGTTACACAGCAGTTTAGGCACTTGGCTGCATTAGAGTTAGGTCAACAAAACAATACACTTCCAAGTACAATCAACACGAATTCTTGCAACATTAAGAAACAAATACAGAAAAGTCAACTCTGTGATGCTCAGCAGCAAGAGGATTGTAGTTGTACCGTAGACAAATCTACTGTATACTGGTGCAACGTTTCAGGAGTTGTCTCTTTTAATAAACGTATATTGCCAGTTTTACAGCCAAAATAATAAATATGAGAATATGTTGTTTTTCAGACTGGAGTACCTGTCAGCTGAGTCCTAACGCTGTGTGTGGGAGCGGCATCAAGACCCGGATGCTCGACTGTGTTCGCAGCGACGGAAAATCAGTCAATATGAAGTTCTGTGAGGAGGTGAGACGTGCACAAACTCCTCCAGCTACTCCCTTTGTTACTTTGACTTTTGTTTTTTTGGCGAGTTTAGTTTTCACTATTCTTTTTCTGGACACACTCATTTTTCTTAATGACTTTATCACATCACTCATGCATTATATTACCGTCACCTTACAGTACTTTGGCCCCTCAGCAGCACCATTTCTCAGTAGTATTCCCATGCAGAGATTGTTGTCATTGCTTCGGGCTGAGCCTTTTATTCGTTCATAATGTGTCGGGGCTGGCTGTAATTGTAGCCGGCGGGCTGTGGCAGAGCCGTCCCCACAGCTAGTTAACCCTTGGCCCACTTCATCATCTGGCTCATTCACAAAAACACATTGTGTCAGAATGGCTTTCACAGCAGCTTTGATAGTGCAACCTTGCTGGCCTGATGCTGCCCAGCATAGTGTGTCCCCTGCCAGAACAAAGGCTTCTGGGAATTGTAATGCAGAGAGGTCAAGCTGCTGTCAGGCCGTAACAGATTGACTTGGCTGTCACACAACTTTTGGTTTGATGATTTGTCATGAATTAACCTCTTTGTTTCATACATGTTGCAGTTGAATTTGGAGAAGAAGTGGCAGATGAACATCTCCTGTGTGGTCGAGTGTCCCGTCAACTGTCAGCTGTCAGAGTGGTCCGCATGGTCAGCCTGTTCACAGACATGCGGACTTGAAGGTAAGACTCGAAGATCAACCTTTAATTTGACATAGTTGTTGACATTGAGCTGATATTTTAACCTTGAGTAATTTCCAGTGTGATCAAAGAACTGGCAGCAAGAATAGAAATCTGTAACCTTTTACTATCAACACATCATGTCACACACAAGGTCAGCTTCTTATCATATGTAAAGCTTGATCTTACAATGATCAATGCACTGATATATATCTATATAATACTTTCTATGTGTAATAGTTTGATATAATCAAAGTAAAAGCAAATACCAGAGCAACCAAATCCAGGAGAACAGCACCTTAACTGTTGTTAAATAAAAAATATACATAATAATAATGACAATAATAGTAATACAATAGGTTTCCAAATGTAATTGGGTGACCCAATACAATTCTAAGCGTGGGAAAAATTGCTGCGCTACGAGAGATTATAAACTCTTACCTTCAAAGCCTGACATTTGTGAAAGTTAAAAGGACACTAGGTATCAATGTGGATGGTGTGATCTCATCCAATTAAAAATATAAAATAAAAATGTGCGAAACAAGTTATCATTGAAGAGGTCCAACAGCAAGGGTCACATCTATCCCTGGTGATTGAGATTAACGTAACACTGTCATCAGGTAGATGACAATAACAGCGTTAATGTAGTGTGGTAATGTGAAGGGGCGGATCTGAGGTTAATTATCATGACTCTCATTAAGATCCAGCAGATATTCTCTTCTAATTATTCCTTGTGTGAGAGTTGATGCAGCTCAGAAAGCCTTGAACATTTGGTTTGGTGACAAAAAGCTTGTAACGGTATCTTCCTGACTGCATCTTTATATGTGTAATTATCCTGTATTTCATGTTTGTTGAACAAAAGGAGGTACAGCTGAAAAAACAGGCGTTACCTTTGGTTGACAGCCCCTTTGCTGTTTGTAACAGGACAAAATCTCAGCACTAGACGCCCCAAGATGTTAATGTAACATGGATGAATGTAAAGCAGGAACATGCAAGTAAAACAATTGGTTTCAAGAAGCCTGAATACATTAAGCTTTAAAAATCATGTGTGTGAGTAAAACATGAATGCTCAATGCACAATAGCAAAAGAGAGGAAATGTTTATTTAAGGGTCTTTCCAAATGGCTGGGGAAAATGTGTCCTCTTGTTGCCTGGTCGTTGTTTCTTGCGGTTCAAACAATGGATTCTGTCCCATTACAGCTTCCTGCTCCTCAGGGCTGTGGGGAGCGCTTTGAAGAAGAGCCACTACAGCAATAGTTGCTAAATCATACGTTCGAGAAAGGCTGTAGGAGCAAAAGGGGACCTTATTTGATGTGGTTTTGTGTGTAATGTGTGTGGGATGTTTTCTAGTTGGAACAGGATGTGAGGTTGTACAGTTTGTGTAAATGTGTGGGAAGGCTGAATAGTGTTTTCTAAGAGGTGTCGTAGGTTGGTATCGGTGTGATCTGATGTGAGCAGATTGCTGGCAAGGCAGGGTGAAAAACGAGAATGAGATATGCAACATATGAAGGGTTACCTGGGCGGTTTAAAACAGGAAGATAGAAAGGTTGCTTGTGAGCAGAAAGTGTTTAGTTTTCCAACTAATTCATAGCTTCAATTCTGCACTTAAATCAAAGTCTCCAAGGTGTTAGCGGCAAACTCTCAAGATTTATCTTGAGAGTTTGCTGATTGATGAAGATGAAAGCCATTTTACTCAAGTGGACCAAGACCCAATCAAGATGGCAGAGAACAAGTGCTGTGTTTCAGACCATTTAGAAAAGCCTGCTCTGTTAAGTGAAGTGCTCTTTTCCAGGGCAACATAAATTGAATGCATTCAAAAGAAACGCATTCATTTTAAATAAGCTGTTTACAGAATGAATGGATGACTGCAGTGCAAACCACAGTGGTCACTTTATATGCCAAAATCAGTATGCATTTGTTTATTGTGCATTTAAAACACAGCCACTTTTCAGTCCATATTATTGTATTACTAAGAAAATGATCTATAATGTCGGTAGAAAAACTAAACTCAAGTTTTAATACTGGCACACTAGTAGAACTTTAAAATAGACTCACTGGTGTTCTGTTTATACAGTCTATGGTTTACCCCAATCATCTTGCTTTCTGTCATTTTTGCTTTCTATTTCTGTTGGATTCATTCAGTGCCTGTTGCTAAATGTAAATGTATCTTTTTAAATATAAATCGGAACATACACAAACATTAAAGATACAATTCTAGGGCTTTAACAAAGTGTTCAAAGCTTTATTCGTGACTTTGCCATTCAAATCTGTATTCAAATGTATTTGTCTTTGTATTTATATTCATCTATTTTTTTATTTCAAAGATGTATCACTTCAAATTGAGGATTTAAAAAAAAGTATGTACATTAAGTTTGACGACAGACATTTGAAGTCTTATTAGAAAACCTTAATAGAAGCCTTGTATAGTATGTAGAACAAAAGACAATTGGTACAGATCTGTATAGTACATAAAACACTGAAGATGTCCTGTGTGTTTTCTCCAGGTAAGATGTGGCGGCAGCGGGCGGTGGTCCAGGCCTCGCAGGGCGACGGCCGGCCCTGCCCCCCCCAGATGGAGCAGTGGAAGCCCTGCCCCGTGCGGCCCTGCTACCGCTGGCAGTACAGCCCCTGGTCCGAGTGTCGGGTGGAGGTACGCCAATAAATAATGAAATTATACCATAATCCAGGAGCATTACATTTTAATGATCACATCGACCTCTGTCAGCTACATGAAATGCAGTTTTGACAGGTCCCTGGCACTGCTGAGATCAACACGCACATGAATTTGAGCCAGAAAGTGGATTTTAGAAGACAGAAATATTAGAACCTGAAAAAAAATGATGGAGTCTTTAGTATTGATGAAAAACCCCATCAAATCCATGTGCATACAGTTGGGATGGACAGTCAAAATCAATCTAATGCACCTTTAACGCTGATGGATTACTGTATTTCAATACCTTTGCCAATAAATGTGGCAGCCTTTCCACTTCATCTTGAGTTGTGTGACACCGGGCCGGATCATTAAAAGAGTCTGCTGCATCGCTTTATAAGACATAAGAGAAAACTTTGTAAGCAGGGGTTAGTTTTATGGGACTATAGGGAGACATGATGCCTCTTATAATTAATTTAGGTCACTTCCTTCCAATTAACTCTTTCAAGTGCCAAAAAATCAATGAAGACTTGTGAAGCAGCAAGTGAAGTGGACTCAAAGCCTTGAGGTATCTTCAGCCTAGATTTATTTTAAGTCCACCAAAAAGATGTCAACATGTTCTTTTTTGTTGATGAACTGAATACAAATATGACAAGGTAAGTGTTTGAATACTGAGCATCTCTGTGCAGACTTTAATTACATGTCTGAGTGATTTCTGCTTTTATTTCCCAATCTTGACTGAAAACTTTTGTCTGTTCGGAAAGATTTTAAATATTATTCACAGTGACTGGTATTAATTTTATAATGGAACTCAATAGAAGATTAATTAAAAAAAATGTCCATTATATTTCAGTGTTGAAAGGCTTATCAGTCACGAATTTCAATCATTTCATATGTGAAAAGTATTTCATACAGTTGAATACAACATGAATACTGTATATACTTCAACATAAGATCAAGCAATCGGTATATTGTAATAAGGACAAGCCCGTCTTTGTATGTCCAAATGACTTTAGTTGTCACCATTGTTTGACTCAAATAAAATCACTGATGGACAAAATCTGCACCCATAGATATAATAAACCCATGTTGGTTCCTGTAACTCCCCTCTCTCACTGCCGTAACTCTACATCCTCCTTCTTCTTCTGTGGTGTTCCTGTCCTGTCAGAATGTGGTGTGTGGACACGGTACACGCTACAGGAACCTGACCTGCTACGTGTCGGACGGCTCCAGAGAAGGAGAAGGCAGTTTGGTGGACGAGGAGCTGTGCAACAGCCTGAAGCTGGCCGTGGACGGAGACACTGAGATCCTCCTGAAAGAGGCCTGCACCCTGCCCTGCCCAGGTAATGACACTGACTCTGTAGACTCTTTTAAATGTCATCTAAAGACATTCCTGTTTGGGTAACTTGTGTGCTTTTATTCTATTTTGTTCTATATTTTTTATTGTGTTTTTATTGTGTGTTGTGTTTTTCACAATGTATTGTGTTTTTATTGTGTGTTGTGTTTTTCACAATGTATTGTGTTTTTATTGTGTGTTGTGTTTTTCACAATGTAATGTGTTTTTAGCCCTTCTTAAAGATCAAATGCAAAGCTTTTTGTATAATTGCCAGTACAATCGAAATCATATAGCTACAACACTATCTAAGATATTGCAGTATTAAAATCGGAGATAATATGAGTCTGGCAATGCGCAATATTAATTTTGTTCAACCCCCAACACCAAGTCCGACGATTTATTTTCTCCGCCGCTCCTCCGCAAGATGGCGGCGCGTGACGTCAGATGTGCCAAACATATTTCCACCTGGCTTATCAATCACAGCGGCTTCCGCCGATAGTACAACTAGTTTCGTCTATCATGTCTGATTCTGAGTAGACTATAGACTAAAAGCTTTAGGAATCCAAACTATAACATATAATAAGTACCCTGTATCAAGATTGATGCAAAACAAGTGAAATTTGACCTTTTTAGAGAGGTTTAGAAAAATAAAGTCCAGGCGGACTCACCTCACAAGGACGAGGTGGATGGGAATTTGTTCAATGCCTAATGTAAGAGAATATTTTAATCTGATCTGTTTATAGAGTCTCTTATTATTCCTTAGAGTCTGTGATACTTTAAACATCTGCTTGTAGTCACTCAAAGACTCCTCTGTGGGTTGAGGTCACAGGTCAAACGCTTCTCCTATATCCGTGGGGGATGTTGAGGCTTGTCTGGATCTCTTTGAGACAAGTAGACCATTGTCTCGCATCGGTTATTGATTAGGTAAACGCGGGCTTTCTATGGGCCGGCCTCTCCTCGTGTTGGTTAGATGTTTTGGTGTATTTTGGTTCAGAGATCGCTGGTGGAGCACGGGACATGTGTGAAACTAAGATGATCTCCCGGCCGTATTGTCTGTACTTTCTCCAATAAAACTCTCAGTGCTTTTTGGCTAACAACGGTTCCAGACTCCTTCATTCTACCTCAACATTGCAACAACAGAAGTTTACCTTCACACCTAACATATTTCCACCCGGCTTATCATGTCTGATTCTGAGTCGGAGGCCACCCAATATCTGGAGTATGTTGTCGACATCCAACCCTATCTCTACGAGCCTCTGATGTCGAAGAGGAAATACAATAATCACTCCTAGTTCCCTTATTACTTATCCTAGCTCCACATCCAACACATTGTTTATGATCGTAAAGACACATAATCTAACGGTGCCCACCTCTATAAGCAATAAAACTTAATAAAACTGCAATTCCGTTATCTGCGTTATCTGCTGTGCTCCGTGCGCTTTGAAATCTAATCAAAAGTTGTTTACCTCAATTCTTTGTCGTTTCTCCATCGCCCGGCTCTTTCGTTCTTTCAGTGGTTTCTTGTGCTGAAATATGGAGGGGACGGCTCCGGGTTTCAGCCTCCGACATACTATTAATGCTTCTGCACCAACAGACTTGATGATAGCAGGATCAACCTCGTATGCATCACACGCGAAGTGATCAGAACACAACCTGCTCCATTTTGTCGGTTGCCAGCCAACACGATTCACTAACTAAATCCATTTTTTGCGGATGATTTGGTCTTTGGGAAATACATGAAAAACTCTCCCAGATCCCACACCGTTCGTACAACAAAAAGCACAACAATAACCCATGTTAATTCAGTTTTCTTGTCGAAAAACTTGTGACCGAGACTGCCGAGTCGGGATGTTTGGTCCAGACTGTTTGGCATGTATGACGTCACGCGCGCGGAGGCTGCTGGGAAGGTCATGTCAGAAATTCAGACGGCTTTGGGTCAAGTTTTGTATCAATACAAAGCTTTTTTTCGGGTGTATTATCTCGATTTAAAATTTTTTTTAAATACAGGCAGTCTTAAAAACAACATTTCTATAAAAATGTAGCATATTTGGAAGCTTTGCATTTGATCTTTAACACATGGCTTGTGTGGTCATTTCATCTTTTATGATTCGTATGATGTTTTGCTTTGTCAAGCACTTTGTAACTATGTCTGGGAAAAGCGCTTTATAAATAAACTTGACTTACTTACTTACTTAATGATACTTTCAAAATGTGGTCGGTTTGAGCTTGTTGTGCTGCACGAGGCACCTTGTAAAGTCTTCACCAAACCCAGCATAGATTAGAAGCACTATTACCTTACTACGAGTATTTTCAAAACCCCTTTCATTGATTTCAATTTAGAGCTGCACGATTATGGCCAAAATGTAAATTACAATTATTTTCATGAATGTTGCGATCACCACTATTCATGAGAGAGGGTTAATGAGGCCAAACAAATAATACATCCCCTCAGCCCAGTCAAATCTTTGACAGCAGTTGTTCAGAGCTCTTTACAAAGGTCTAGGTGATATATAAATCAAGATGATTGATTTATTGATTAGTGAAATATTCCATTATAACTCTGCTTTGCATTGCAGATCTGCTCTCAGTATAAACCAGAAGACAGTCAACACTAGTCAGCAGTTTGAATTATATCAAAAAGCAACCACTAAAAATACTTTGGTTACAGGGTAGAGTTTATTATCTCTAACCAATAGCACTCAGTATGTATTCATGACCTTTAAAGTGAGTGGAAGGAGAATACCTGGGACAGAATAAATGGACTACATTATACAGCTGCAGATGCTTTGAATGCCATTTTATGCAAGTTCAATTTAATGGTAGGTACAGCATTTCATTTCCTGTCTCTCTTTTGCAAGGAAGTAAGTCTTCATTCATACTCGACAAGAAGATTTGGGTCTCATATTGACTTCCATTTTTACCTATTTTCTCCCAGTTAACTTGATGTCTTTCCTTACTTTTTACCATTAAGGATCTGAAATATATATCAACATCCACTTTTTTTCATCTAACACTTAGAAGTCTCTCTTGAAGATTGCAAAACACTAGTGCATTTGTCCTTTACAGGCCCTCTATAAGTGAATGTTGTTAGTGGTGTTTGTCGAAGCGCCAGAGGCACCATTGCTCTTAGGTTTTTTTCATTTTTATGTGAAAAGCACAAACTACTTGGACCACCTGGTCTTTAAATGAAATAGACCGAAAAGCGAAATTCAATTTATTTCGTTTTTACAGTTTAGAAACATTGTAGCAAAGTGATTTAAACACACACACGCACGCACGCACACACTCACACAGATACAGATAAAATAACACAGAAAAAAGGGGTGCAATCAATAATCTGTGTGGGCGAGATAACAAAAACCCTAAGGGCTGATACAAAGAAAAGATGGCAAGCTGAGCAACAGCCTTTCTGAATAACAATCTGATGTGCTGTAAATGACAATAAAGTGCAAATGTTATGCATTTATTCATCTCACATCTGAAAGATGATGTTGATTGCAAGAAAAACAGATTGAAGAAGTGTTTTTAACGTCAATTATAGGGCATGGCTTATACGAATTGGCTTATACGAATTGAGGTGCTGATACATACTTGTTTTACTGGCAATTCAAAGGGATTTCAATATTATATCAAAGCCTTAAAATAAGAAATACAATGCACTTATACAGAGCTGCTCACAGGTTAAACCAGCAGAAACCAGAAGACACTTTGTGATGCATGACACAGTCAACACAACAGGGAAGTCTTTGTGGATAAGGGCTAGGGCCGGCTGGAGTGTAAACCAACCCAAATTCGATTAGGAGATTAGCTAAGGTTATTTTGAGCTGTCTACGACCTTGTCCACACTTTAGTCCAATACTACACTGGGTTTGGTTTTGGAAAGGTGTTTTCAAAGGAACTGCCATCTAAACATCTGAGATACTGAGTATGGCCCCATGCACTCTGCTTCAACATGTATAACGTATACATATCTTAATAATGACTTGACATGAACTGTTCAGGAGAAGGGTTGAACTAACAATAGATGGTACTTCCTGGTTTTGCATAGTTTCGTGTACACAATTTGTAAAGCCTTGTTTGATATATGCCTTTTTAAACTATATGTGCCTTGTTGTTCAGTAGACTCGGGTGTAGAAATCAAACAGTATAACAAGAAGGATGTCATGTACCATTTGGTTGATTCTACCACCCAACGCTTGTTAGTTAGCCATGTGTGCACACATTTTCCGCATGGGTAGCCCCAGCGGGTAACAAACCCTCAAACCTGGCACTGCTGGTTTTTCATGTCAGTGAGTGAAGAGCACTGTCTCTGAGATGGACATCTGTTGGGATTAACCTGATACAAAGCAAAAATAAATGTCAAATATTAAACAATACACTGATGCATAGTTACATTTGATAATTGAATGTCCTATAGTGGTTTATTGCTGAGGTTTGAAAACAAACCAACCCGTCTGGCATTTTGAGTCTGATATTACTTTGCCAAGCTTTTGCTGCTCTGTGTCCCTAATGTGTCCTGATTCAACTAACAAAGAATCATTTATTTATTTCAATGGAAGAGTTGTTTTATTTTAAATAGCAGAAACAAGTAGGGTATTAAGGAAAAGCCTATTCTATGTAAGGCAAATGGCATTAAATGGCCTATTGATCCCTCTTTGATTGGCAGGTAATGTCTGAGCTCTGCAGTGCAAGAGCAACACAATATCAGCTTAGCGCCAAGGATGTCAACCCTTGAAAAACTAGAGGGAGAATCTCACAGATGGGATTATCACTTCAAAGGTTGCGTCTGATGACTTGTTGTCAGGTTTTGTGATGGAGGCTTGTCAGGTGCTGGGTTTTATGTAGCTCTGCAGCCTCAGAGACAGACAGGTGAGCTCTGCCCAGCTCCTGACAGACAGAGTCCAGCCTGTCTGCAGCTCCAAAGCTTCACTGCTCCTCCAACAACCACAGCACTGCTTTCATATTCTCAAGATGCAACCTCGACATTGTGTGACACACAGAAAATTGAACATCAGTATTTTCTTTTGGTAAATAGGGTAAATGTACAAATGATTTCAATAAGAAAAGATGGGATGCTGAACTCCCAATGATTCAGCCTGATAAGAAGGGTTTCCCACATTGCAGCTTAAATATAAATCAGCGGTCCCTGAAGGCAGATTTTTTGTTACTTGCTTCTGCCAAAACACAAAAACAGGAATAAATATTCTAATTTTCAACTCAACTCAAAAAGTGCTACGGTCTATATTCATTTCATATGTTGAGAGTGGGGCATGTGTTTCCACTCATGGGTTTTGGAAAGGGAGAAAAAGCTCATCAGATGTCTGCTGGTCCCCAAGATGGAAAACACTGAGAAACGCTGCCCTACATAACGAGTCAGTCCAGCCCTTTTTGCCAAACTGCAGGAGCACTGAAGTATCAAACAGCAATCAAAAGCACAGACTGTTTTCTGCGCAGGGACATACTGTAGTTTGATTTGGGAGGAAATTCAAGTTTGTGCAGAACCGGGGACAGCTTGGAAATCCTGGCATACACACACACACACATACACACACTCTTAAATGCACAGCCACCCTTGACCCATGTTGTATTTCCCCTGCTGTTTGATGAGCTGCACTTGTCAGCTTGGATTAAAACCAATCCGCCCTCGCACTAACACCTCCCTCCTTCTGAAACTCTTCAAAGCATCTCAACCATCATGATTTAATATGTAAATAGATATTCTGTATCACTACTGCAAGACTTAACGTCTCATTAAAAAACAGATTAAACTGTTCGCATACATAGATTAATAGTTAAATATTGCCTAAGCACTGCCAAAGGTATAAGATCTATTTCCACCAGAACACCCACACTAATGCTGCAGTGCAGATATTTCTTCATATCTTAAACAGCTTTCTAAAAGTCTAAAAAGAGCTATGAAAATCAGTCAAAAACAAGAAAATACAACAACAGATTGAGGACACATAAAATTGAATATTGGACATGAAGTAAAAGGCATCTTTTAAAGCTAGATGTGAATTCTGATTCTGTCAGCTAACCTCCGTAGGCAGGTCTTTCCAAATAATTGGGGCCCTGATGGAAAAAACCTGATCACATTTTAGTTTTAGTAGAAGGGCCACCCTGCCGGGGGATCTGAGGCTGCACACTGGCTTTCAGGAAATTAAAAGATTGAAGATATTGCTCAAAGCCAGACTGAGACATTTTATTTGACAGGTCAGACAGTCATTTAAAATGTTCCAGACTGACCAGATAAAAGTGAACAGAGTGACGCAGTTTAAATTGTTTTAGGTGAACCTGTTTTATCTTGGCCAAGCTGATTGTATTGTTGTCCTACTAATTGAACTAATTATGTGCATAGTAACAAACAGGCAATTAGCCAAAGAGTATTTTCATAATCAATTAAGGAAAGCAGTAAATCCTCACACTGTGGACACTTGAACCAGAGGCACATTTAGTTTTAATTATTTCTGCTCTCCCTCACAATATCAGTCCCAGCAATGATGTATTCTGTCTGTTTGCCCCCTGCAGGTGAATGCTACCTGATGGAGTGGTCAGACTGGAGCTCCTGTGTTAGTATCTGCGCCAAAGGGGCCGGTGTGGACTTCGGTTCTGTTCAGGTTCGCTCTCGGGCCGTGTTGGCCCAGGAGCCGGAGAACCTGCAGCTCTGCCCCGACCAGGCCTGGGAGTCTCAGCCCTGCACAGGTGAGAACTCTTTTAATTTTTAATTTATTACACTCTTTTTCATCAATCAATAATAATAACAATAAGAAGAAGAAGAAGAATATAGTTGAAATAAAATAAATTGTAATTGTGGTTAAATAACATTGTCTGCTGCATTTATTTGGTCAATTTAAATGGTAAGTAACGTTATTATGTCAGGTGCGCGTGACCAGTGCCGCTGCGCGTTCGTCATCTGCAAGGTGCTTACAAAGCAGTCAATGATGGACATCAGAAAATGGTTAAAACAACCAGCCCTTATCGCCAGCAGTAACACTGCATCTACTGCAGGTAATACCAGTTCAGATCATGGGGACATTATGTTACCCCCGGCCACTGTCGTGGACACTAACGCCCGCCTCGCCCACGGAGGCGGAGCAGCCGCAGCCGTCTTCGTTGCCCCAAACACCCCCACCCCTCGGCGGCCCGCAAGTGCCAGAGGACCTCGGCAAAACAGAGCCTGCCCAGGTATATTAAAAAAAGTACCCAACTCGCTCATTTTGCAGCTCATGGTTTCAAAACAGAGATTGGCTGGAATATTCCTGTAAAAAAGATGCCATCTTCTGCTACAGTATGCATGTAGACATTTCGGTCTTGAAAGGGGAGTGATTTGTAAAATATCCATAAAGAAAAAGTAAATCTGTTTACAGTTCTGTTTAATATGGGTGTTGAGAGGTGTATCCATAGATCTCTTCATTTTGCTCTCAAAGTGCACCAGATTGATGCTTTTAACTTCAATATTTAAAAAAAAAATGCCCCCGGACCCCACTAGAGGAGGTGAGGACCCCCCTAGAGGGTGTTACGGTAGGTCTACTCCCCACTTATAAAAATAGCACTTTACCACTGCACCCTCTCTAATCTTAGATGCACCCAGAGTCATTTTGTTCTGGAACCGGGCCTGAGCCACTCCCCACGCCCCTCTGCGAGATATTTGGTTAAAAAGAACACAATGGTGCTCTAGGAGGAGATTCAGGTGATAAGGTGGGAGGGGGGGTTACCTTGGTTGGCGATTTACACAAGCCAAAACATCGTTATGACATCATAAAGTGGCCAAAATCTGATCAGCTCATTTTCAGAAAGGTTTTATATAAATGGATCAGGACAAAAAGTGAGAGAATCTTTTTTCCTGAAACTTTCAGAATCTCTTTCTAGAGGGGACACATGTTAATGTTTAAAAGACATGAAAAAGTGGATTTTGCATAATAGGTGACATTTAATAAGAGCAAGGTATTTTAATTACATGCCAAAAAAGCCAGCAGGCCCGAACCATGATTTATTCATTAGCTTTATTTTGCCTACATGTTCTTTATTGTACGATCATGGAGAAGTGAAGTCTGTCTCAGCTTTGGTTGAAGGCAGGAAACCCGGATGGGGTTCTTGTCAGTGCATCAGCGGGATAACACAGAGAGACACTTGCACTCAGGGTCATACCTGCAGGCTTTTTAGTCCTCCATCCATCTGAACTATGTGTTGGACTGTGAAAGGAAACTGGGACACCAGAAAAAACCCCACATAGAACTAGGGCTGGTGTAATAGCTTATAAATAATCTCTTGATATGTTTAGGCGTGGCCAGTATACAGTATATCATGCGATTTTCTTAAATAACATTAGTGTATGGTTTAACTGCATTCTTGTAAATACATCTGAATTTTAAAGGGAACACAGCTCGTTTACAATGTTTTTAGCAGGCTTTTATTATGAAATTCAGAATGACCTGGTATTTTACGAGTGACACTCGCATGGTTTGCTATTATCTTGAAGTTAGACTGTGCAAACAGGAATGTTCTGAATGATATTCTGAGGTGCATTTCTGTCATTGTAAAGTAAGATTAGTCTTTGCAAATGGATTCTTTACAGTTAAGTTTGACTAATTATTCACATATTTGAAAATAATTTTTAAATCATCATTTATCATATTAATATATAGTTATATTTTTATATTCAACACGTTCATTGGAAGGTCTTCATCATTTATTTCAAGTTTGTACAGCAATGCATGGCACAAACATGTACAACAATCACTTGGGGGCTAGTTTGATGGCCCTTTTGGAGGAGGCTGGCATCTTTCATTACAGTTTTCGAATTTGATGTGTTTAAACTTGTTCTGGCGCTTCACTTCTGTCGTTCTCACTTTCCCCGATCCCTTATTCTCTCCAGATACAAAAACACAAAGCTTAAACGTCAAGCACACTCGCCCAGGAGTGTGTGTCTCTGAGAGGGAGAAAGAAACAAAGCTAATTTCCTGCCGGGGGCTTTAAGAAATTGTGACAATTTGTACTCTATGTTTTAAGATATAGTCATTTTCTACATCCCACGAGAAAAAGCCACAATACAATGAGTATATCCGATATACCGCCCACACTTAAAGAGAACCCAGTTAGTGAAGAAGGTATTTGCAGCTGGAATCAGATGAAGGTTTTTCTTCCTGGCAGGTGACAGTGTTACCACTGAGCCACCTTGGTACAAGGCTGAAAAAGCTAAATCACTATCTACTGCCATCTCTTTGTTTTTCCTCTGTACACTCGGGTCAATAGTCGCCCTCCCTTTCTCCAGTCAGATCTCAAAACGGAGGAAACCCCCGCACTCATTTACTGTTGATCATTGCGGTTCCCCGGGCGCGTTAATCACCCATTAGGTGCAGCGTGGGCTGTAAATCACCAGCACCACCAAAGCTCAGTAGCCATGGGCTCATTCTGTAGAGCGGCCGCCCCCCCTCTTCGTCTCCTCCCGCTCTTCCTCTTCTTCCTCCCTGGCTACTGTACACATCCCCACAGCAGTCTTCAGCAGCCTGACCTGGTTTCACAGCACCACTGAAGGCTCAGGGGGAGGAGTGGCCCAATAGAACCAGTAAAGGCAGGGGAGGAAGAGGGAGAGGAGCGAGGGGAAGAAGAAAGGCGGTGACGGAGAAAGGGAGATCAAATAGTAACATTAAAAAGGAATCTTGTGGGGGCGCCAATGGTTAAGATGGAAACCACACAACCGCTGTGATTCCTGGGCTGACTCTCTCCCGTGTTTCCTGTCTCTGTTCTTTACTTCTTTCTGCTCTATTGGTCATAAAGGTTTGTTTTGCAACAAGTACAGAACAGCAGTCCTGCTATAAGAGCACATCGAACTAGCAGCTTAAAAGGACTATATCTACTTTCTGCGTAGATGTGTGTGAGGTTATTAGTTATCGACTGGTTGAATAACAAAAACAAGACAATCCACGCACTGAATCACTGCCTCAGTTATTATTAGTCATCGCTGTCACTGAAAAATAACTATTAGTTCATATCGAGGACAAGAGAGCTTAGGGAGGGGCAGATGAGGAGGAAAAAAATGAATTTAATAAAAACCTTTTTTTTCTGTGGTAAGAGATAAATACTGTATTTCTCAATCCAAAGTGAGTGCGGGGAAAATGTGAATATCTCTTTGGAAGGCTCTACAGCCACACTAGCGGCTGTACTTTGGCACAGTGCTGCTTTGAGCTAAATGCTAAACAGCTAACAATGACAATTTAATTGTGCTGATATCATAATTAGCAGGTATATTGTTTTTTTTAATCGTACACTGCAGAACATGTTTTGGCAATCCACCTCTAGATGTTGAAGTATTCCCCTGGATAATAAGTAATCGTTGAGCTGCTGGTGGTGCTGGCTTGGCTAAAGGGTGAATAATAAAGTTAAACCCCTCTCCATCCATTTTTGAACAGTCCCTCACCACATATACTGAATAGCAAATGTGTTTTCACTGATTAGTGACCGTGGACTCAGGGATAATGGAAGGTAAAGCCAACACAAATCTGCTGTTGGTTTATAGACTTAAAAATAGCCATCTATTCTTTAACAGAGGCTTTCATTAAAAAAAACCCTGTGATTTTAAAGGGGGCTAACTACTGACATTATCTCTGCTTCCAGAGCGTCTGGTCTTCTGAGAAATATTTCAATAATAGTAAAACTCTATTCTGCTCGTAAAGATGGTGGGAAGTGCTGGCTGAAGTGAGTGATTCAATGATACGTTAACTTATTGGAGAAATTGCCTTTGCACAAAAAGGCAGAGAAATGAGAAAAGTGAAGAACATAAAGGGTGAAGTTGTCGCAGCGGCAGACAAATCGTCCTGTGAAAGCTGCAGATAGAGCCGAGCCATCGACTGGAGCTGTGATACTGTACCCAAGTCGATGGAGAATAGATATTTCCTTTGTTCAAGGTTAAATTGTTCATTTACCAAGCCAAAAGGCCTGGACAGATGATTGGTTACACAGGACTCCATAGGGAAATATGGTCATTTACTGCACTGATGGAGGTATTGATAAAGTCGTAATAGCATTGATAGAAAGTCATTAAGCAAAAGCTCTTACTGAAGATTAAAACATTGAACTGGACCTCTCTGTGAGGACACGCTGATAGTGATATTATATGACAGCAGCCTATTATAGAACCATAACTTAGCAGCTGCTTTATTAATCCGTCACTCTTCTGATTAATGGTCTTCACGGCAGACTCCCACTATACAGTCTCTATAGATGTTGATTGCTTTTTATTTCCCTCTCAGGGGGCCAATGTTACGAGTACAAATGGTTCAGCGGCGGCCGTCAAAACTCCACTCGCCCCTCTATCTGGTGCCAGCGCTCCGATGGACTCAATGTCACCGGTAAGGAACTCTGAGTGTTACAATGGAGCTTGTATTATAGTACATTAAACACGTTTTAAGTTTTTTTAAGTTACTGGTTCTGCACGACTGACTTAAATAAACCTGGTGCATTTAAATATGATTATATGATTAACAAGATAGGAGAGTAAAGAAAACGTGTTTCTTCCCACAAGAGCAGGTTTGATCAGACCTTACTCTAATGTTTGCACTTTATTCTTTTCAATTGCTTTATTATTTTACCTTTTCGGATGATACTTACTCTCTGAAAAAGAAGCCTAAAGCCCAAACCCAAAGACCTTAAATGTGCTTTTTTTGTCAGAGCAACAGTAACCAACAACCCCAGATATTCAGTCAAATATCTTTTTCATAGAAGACTTTAGAAACTAGCAAATATAAAAAGTACTTAAAGTAGTTAATAAATTGTTCTCTGTGTCGATTGACTAACCAATGTATTGTTTCAGCTCTGAAAAGTATTCCAAAGAAAAGCTAAATAAATATGGGTTGTATGGTTTATATTAAACTGGATAGAGTCTTCAGACACATGACTAGACATGAGGGGCTGTAAGGAGATCTTTGTTTATTTAGAGAGAGTGAAATGATTTTGCAAACATCAACCGATAATATTAGGAGCCGATGAGTTTAAATGTATCTGAAAGTGAAACACTGACATGCTGCAGCAGTCTGCAGCTCATCAGTTTGTCCCCATCAGTAAGTGGCAGGTTTATGTAGAAGGAAGAATTGACACATGTCAGAAATATAACACTGTTTGGAAAGAAAACAAGGGGCCTATTTCTATATGGAGCGAAGGTGGTGGGCGATGTCTGCCTGTACAGCCTGTCATCTCTGCACACACAAACATGTGGTTTCCTACTTACAATAGTTTCAAAAAGAAACCTGGCAACATCAACCTACATTTATATCCAAACATACGCTGTGTTTAAAATGAAAAATAAAATGGTATTACTTGAGGTCACACAGGATTGGACATCTAGCAGGACACACAGATAATGTTGATGTTGTGTTCCTCTCAAACAACATTTACTCTGTTTGATTTGATTGTGTTCTTACCCACAGGAGGTTGCCCTCCCATGAACCCTCCAGTGGATAACAGCTCCTGTGACCCTCTCTGCCTCATGCCCAAGTCTTTCTGCAGTGAGGTGAGCAGCTCTTTGTTCTCATATCGGCAGTTTTAACTGCATATAGAAAAAAAAGAAAATCTCGTAGAGAAAAATGTGGTTTACAGACAAAAATGCACAGTAAAAAACAGTGTAAACTGAATAAAAACAATAAGAAAGACGTATATGTGAAAGCACAGGTTCTCTGGATGAATGGCAGTGTCTCGACTCGCTCTGACACTCTGCTGCCAGAATTGAATTTGAATGCAGCAGGGAATAAAATGATGGCAGCATGAAGATGTAAAACCCATTTTCCCATAGTGTCACTCAGCTCCGCTGCATAGAAATCAGGACAATACGTTTTAGATTCTCCAGATTCAGCAGATGGCATGTCTCAAAGTTTAACCTTTTGTATATCTTTTTCAAACTGATTTGGACCTTGTGTTGTTATCAGCCGACAGACCTTGTCACTACATAATAAGTAGGTACAAATCATCTGATGAGAAGCACACTTAGGACCAGCCTGATCTTCCCTACACAGTTAACAGTTAAATAAACGGAAACACATGCAGCCTAATACAACAGTCCTGCAAAGGATATATTTTTTTATATTTACTGTTTAAGAGAGACATGTATCAACTATATGGTAATGAAGGAGTATGTATACAAGTTTCTAGGAACTATAATTGATGATTTCTGAGGTTTTTTCTTTTAGAAACATATCTTGCTTTCCTTTAAGACCTAAGGGGGATTTGTTGCATCCATCTTTATTTCGGCGCTGGACAATGGCCAATTTGTATACATGCAGGCCTAGATCCCCTAGATACTGTCTTCAATGGAGCACTGAGATGTATTACAAAACTCAGAGTCCGATCTCGTCAGTGCTCTTTTATAATCAGGTTTGATGGTCTGTCTTTTACGCCCCCGTAGACTTAACTATTTGCATATTTTTATAAGGCTGTTCTTGGACTGCTCTAAATATCTAATATAAAACAAAAATAAGCTTTTTTCTTCGCTCTCAGGACACTTCCTACTAACAGCCAGGAAAGTCTGTACTGAAATGGGAAAAGCACATTTAATTATATGGCTCCTCCAGCTTGTAATCGATTCCATAATCACCTGAATCCTCTGGAGCTGGTCTCTCTGGATGCATTTAAAGTGATTCTTAATGACTGGTTTTGAATGTTGTCCAATGTTTTTTTATGTTTTTATTATTCTTTAAATAGATTTTATTTATTTTAAAGTCATGTTTATGTCACTAACGGTGTCGTTGACTTTCTTAGTCAGGACACTATTGAAGAAACGTATTTTGAATCTCAGTGACTCTTTTAAAGCTGGGTAAAACATGTTAAATACAAATAAGAATAGCAGGAGTTATACTGAAATACATTTCTAAAAGAAAATTGTTCACCACATTTATAGCAGTCTGAAAGACAGAAACAGGTATACTTATAATAAATACTGTCCCCAGACTTGCTCTTTCTTGAAGCTAATGCTCAGTAAACAATATTAATTAACCTTTCTATACCAAAGTCCAAGGCATCTTCGAAAAATATAAAAAAGCACCCCTCGATTCATTCACTTCCATCCTGACAAGCCCCTTCATGATTCGATGTACTGTAACAACATGATGCTGCGCTGCCCCCTGCAGGCTGCTGTGTGCATGTGTGAGGAGGGCTTCACAGAGGTGCTGTCCCCCGTGGGGCAGCTGGATCAGTGCGCCCCAATCCCCATCCTGGAGATCCCCACAGCGGGGGACAAGAAAGGGGACGTGAAGACCAGTCGTGCCATTAACCCCACGTTGCCCAGCACCCTCCAGCCCGGACGCAGCGGGCGGACCTGGTACCTGCAGCCCTACGGACCAGGTCAGACCTTTAGTCTAGATGAACTCACTTTATTCTGTTGCTGTCAAGTGAAAACCTTTTATCTCTTACAGTAACTGTCATGTTTTGGGGAGCAAACCCTGCCTGAATGTACTCTTCAAAGGCTCTTATTTTCTGCCGGTTGTCCAGAGATAGCACGAGTACACACATCCTTTACTCAAGTAGAAGTACAGATACTCGTGTTTTAAAAAGTACTGACTAAACTTCTTTACTCAAGTAAAAGTAAAGAAGTATGAGCTTAGAAATGTACCTAAGACAATACTGTATTGTCAGAGTAAAATATTTTGGACTCTTTTTTTGTTGGTGGTTTCAGTAATTAGGATTTGAAAACCGACAGAAAATAAGAGCCTTTGAATAGTACATTAAGACAAGGTTCATTCCCCAAATAAATCAATCTTACAACAACCACAAAATGATGAAAATCACATTTAGCTAATGGCTATAAATCAGCCTATATTGGCAACAAATGTGCAACAACTTGCACAACGACTGTCACCCTGCCAAGATAAATGTGAGTAAATAATCACACATCATTTCTTAATCCCCCACTTGAAATCCTGACTTGAATCACTGTTTATGAAGTTTTAGTTCAGGAACTTGCAGTGGATAAGAAAAACAAGTGCCTTTTTTAAGTTTATCTGAAGGGAAAAGGTTTAAGGAAGCCACATTTCTCCAACCTGCAGAGCACTGTGTAATCCATGAAGTGAAGTTAAGTCATAAAGCTGAGAGGTTTTCATGAGACGGCAACAGAATGCACTTTACTTCCAGTTTATGTTCGGCAGACTTAGTGTCGACAGATCTAATTAACATCAGGTTTAACATATTTGGTCTTGCATGACATAAAACTGACTCATTAAAACAAAAGGTGCTTCAGACATGTTTCCCGTCTGTTCTGATGAATGTTTGAACCTCTGAACTGCTGCTACATTAACATTTGAGAGCTGCATCTGCACACACTGTTGTGACTGATGGTGCATGACAGCAACATAAACACTAAGGATGCAAAAGTGCACAACAGATTCAATTATCGTCTGCCAGGAGCAGGAACCTCAGACGCCATCTCATACGGTAACCTTTGTATCGCTTGTCTTCCAAATGCTTGTTTTACTTAATAACGGTGAGCTTTGAGAGAAGAAAAAGTTAGACTTCATTTTTACAATGTCATTTTCTTGTATGCATCAGGTACCTATAACATATGTACTGGTTCCAACTTGTGCATTACTGTTGGTACATCTGAGCAAAACAAGATAACTATTTACAAATTTGCATTTTGGAGAAAATAAGAAATAAAGAGTTCTTATTTTAAGCAGCAATAAGAAATAAGTTGAAAAAAGTCGTGTTTAGAGGAGAACCCTGATCAGAGTTATGGTACCTGACAGGGTTGGTAGAAGAATTATAATAATATATTGATGCATTTATGTGTACACCACTTTAAGAGCTGGTCAATATGGAGTTCATTTTAACTACTTTATATAGTCACTATCTAAATCTATACAAATACATCATCATGTATAAATGTATTTATTAACTTACAACATGAAAACAAGTGTGGGTGAACAAAAGTAAAAGTACAAGGTAGCACTTGGATTTACTCACGCAAAGTTTGAGTTCATCTAAGTTATACTTAAGCTTAGTGCGTGACTACATGTAATTGGTTACATGTCAACAGTGGTACATTGTAGTTACACAAAAACTTCCTTATCTTTTTCCAGTAACTGCTCACTGTAGCTATATTTAAGTACTAGTAATTATTTTGTTTTCGACCTGAATCCTACAATGAAATTTCACTGTAAATTGCGGGTTGTATTTTTAAAGACTGTTTCTGAGAAATAGCAGCACCAGTGTACAAAATGAATGAGTTGTTGCAGCCTTTAATGGCTGTGAGTGCACCCAGACAGAAGAACTGACGCGCCTCCTTCTCCACAGATGGGAAGCTGAAGATGTGGGTGTATGGTGTAGCAGCCGGAGCCTTTGTGCTCCTCATATTCATAGTGTCTATGATATACCTAGCTTGGTGAGTTGACGAGTTTATTTACCCCTATTGTCATCATCCTCATCATGAAACCAAAGTCTTTACCCTCATCCACTTTGAGTCAAAGCTCCCCTTCCCTTCCTGTCGTCCAGCCACCATCACATCACCGTTTTTTGTTTGTCTTATTATTATTTCCGTTTTTTGCTTCCTTCATGCCACCCTCTGTGTGAGAGCAGCAGCTCCTGTGCCAAGGTGCATCGCTCTCTTAAGGCCCAAGAGTCTGACGCCAATGGGACGGCACTCTGGATGGGCCAAAATGCACATGAGATGATTTACACCTGTCCCGATTGCCAAGAGCACGCTCAAAGCAGCTAATGGAAGGATGTGAAGGGTTCACCCCCCCTCAAAACACCCTCCAGTATAAGTACCTGCTGTCCTTGACCTTTCCCCGTGACCTCTGTCTAAAGTGTCACATGTCCTGCCTGACTAGCTGAGTGAAGGTGCTGGTGCAGGTGAGGACAAACCATCCAGAAATATCTCCTTTAGTCCATGTTTAGAGCGTGTAGACCACAAACCTGGTGCCTACCTGTTCATTATACTTCTCTTTATACCTGCTTTTAAAGTGACCCACCTCAGATTCATATGTTTACATCTCAACCTTTATTTTTCCTTTAAAAATACGCACACACAAGGTAAGCCCACGCAGCTCTGTCTAGATGCAAACCAGGTAGGAATACCAATTGGTTTCTGTAGAATATAATAAGGAGTTTATTAAAACGTCTATTGAGTACAAGGTGCTTTACACCAAAGACATAAAGTACAACACATACACAAAATGCTTAAATCATCAGACTACATTAATAGTAAAACAATCAAAGCAATGAATGATAACACTTTACTTTATTCAACAAAAAACTAAATGAACCTTAATAATATATGGATATTAAGAAGGCCTTCAAAAATGAGATGTACTGATGAAAGGCCGGCATTTTTTACGGTTGCTTACCTAATAATGTAGAATCTCGCAAACATGCAAAAAAACAACATAGTATAGTATTTGGAATATATGCAAAAAAAGACATACTGTAGTATAGCATGTCCAAACTTCGCAAAAAAAACAGCATAATGTAGTACGCCGAATACAGGCAAAAAAACACTAAATAGTTTAGTCTGTCAGAAATATGAAAAACAACATACAACATTTGTATGTCCAAAAAATCCAAAGAAAACGACATAGATGTATGTTGAAAATATGTAAAGACAAAACAAAACAAAAAGATGTTTGGTACATTCTTTGATAAAATATTTCCTTGATTGATTGAAAAGTTTATTAACAGCTTGTATATTGGGTACAGTACAGTACAGCTCAAAACATACAATTGTTAAGGGGATGCAGACCAGAGAAAGACTTTCGTCTTGTTTACATCAGGGTCCCCCATTTCCAATTCATCATATCATTTAAGACATATAAGACATATTTGACATACAGATGGCTTATTTACAATTTACATACAGGTGGTTTTTTTCATACAGATTGCTTGTTTACAATTTGCATTTTAGATTTCGTTCTAATACATCCTAACCGGACATTTAAGACATACCAAGTCTACAGATATACAGTTAGTAACAGAGTCTAAAATGCGAGTATATACATAGATGGGGGGGGGGGGGGGAAGCTGTCCATTGAACGACAGGTTGAGATTTGTACCATTACCGGATCAGAATCATAACGCTGGACTGAGTTTGATTAAGGGGAGGTTATTTATCGTTTAACTTAAATGTGGGGTAATTTGAGAAATTTTGAGAAACGGGCTCGAGATACACTTTTTGTTATATTCCATGGAATGCTCTTAACATCCCGATAGCAATGATTGAGCATTGCTATCGGGATTGACAAAAAATCCATCAAAAAACGTCATCTGTGGAAGCCGTAGTACTGTAAAAAGCACGACCAATCATTTTAGCCGACCCGGCTAAAGTAACTGGATGGCCTACCTGCCTGTCAGCCTTCCATCTGTGCACAAACTTATCTCGTGCCCTCATTGGTCATGTGCGCGTTCGTGTGTGTTGGAGGAGGGGCTCTGAGGAAGTGGCAGATTTTTTCCTTCAAAATTACCTATCCCACCTTTAAGTAAATAAGTTCTAAACAAAGTTTCTTTATAAGATGTGATGAATATGATCTGAAAATATCTAAAAGGGAAATGTGTCTCGTAAGCAAAGCAATCAGTGTTGGGTCCCTTTAACCAGGAGGTGTAAACCGAATATAGCATAGTGTAGTATCAACAGTGAATCACATTGTGTATTCATACAAGTAAGTAATGACGTGGTGTGGGTCCAAAAATAATCACTTGCACTTTCATTATGTTGCTACATTCCCACATGTATGTTGATGTGTTTGTGGAGCTTAAACAGCTTGTCATTGGTTAATAACGCTGTAGTTCGAAGAGCAGATCTCCTGACAGATGAATACAGATGAATACAGATGAAGAAGCTATGATGTTACTGCAGGCAGGAACTTGTTTCTATACAACAAATCAGATTTAGATCTACAATCACTGTTGTCTCCTCTGTTGTCTCTGTAGCATGGAGTCCTGTTGCCCTCTGGTGGCTGACAGAGGAAGTGCAGAATGCATTTCCTTTTATTTCCCTCTCATTTGTTTACCTGCCAAATCCAGAACTCGAAACACATTAAACATAATAATGTCGATATTCAGCGTGAGAAAAACATAGTGTACAACATGTTATTTAACACAACCTATTATCTTATTTCTGTAGGAATATTTGTTGTTGATCAACTTTCATTATCAACTATTTTTTACCAGCTTAAATGCCTGCCAAAGAGGATTTGCAGTCTTCCTTTGGTTGGTTTTGAACTAGGGTATTTGGACTGTTGGTAAAACAAGCTGTATAGTATTTCACATTTGAAGCTCAGGGAAATTGCAAAAGGCGTTTTAAACTATTTTCTGAAATGCTATAAACAAAAATGTTTAATCGAGAGAGAAGCCTGTGAGTAATTGGTAATAAATCATTACTCCTAGAAGTCCAGTCAGTGTTGGTGGACTTTTCCAAACCCTCTGAGAAAATGTTGTGGCCGTTTGTCTGACTGAATGCTGACGTTACGTGTTTACTCTGTAGGGTTTTGTCAGCACTTCATATCAGAAACAATTCAGAGATAATTCCCCCGGGGCTTTTCTGATCGTCTCTACCACCTTTCCAGAATATTCTGTTTTGAAGTTTCTCCAGAGACCCTGTGTGTCTCTAAGTTTTGGGGGAAAGTTCTCGATGTTTGAACTGATGATTAGACTGTCCTGCATCGACAGCTAAACCTTTAGACACAACATTGGAATAACAAATGACCCAAAATCAATACAGCATTGTAAACTCGACAAGTAGGGCAAATCTTTTTTTAACAGTATTTTAGTGTAAATTGTATTTGTTATTGAAAATTCACAGTTTATTTTATTGAAAGGTCTATTTTTAGCAGCATTAGTAACACCCGCCTCCTTTTATGGGATTTGAGTGTTTTTTGCATTTCCTATTCATATTTGTATGAAAATCCTGCTGTTTTTATCGGAAAATCTTGGGTCTTTTCAATAGCTTTCATATCATTCAACCCAATGACTCCAAAGAATCTGCTATTTGTATAAGAATAGGCAGAAAAAGGAGGACAAAATCTGCCATTTTTTTTTGTGCTGAAAACTTTTGAGTCGTCTGCCTCTAGCCAAATCTGGACTTTGTTTGTTTGGCTTCTCTACGTACTAAACAGTATGTACAATATATTAAAACGTCAAACATCCTATACCCTTTTACTATGGGAGATAAGAAGCAATCTTGTTTTCAAGGCAGTGCTGACAGCTCAAAGAATTAAACAGATAGAAAGTATTCTGTCTTCGCCTAAAGGTGTTTTCCTTTCTTCCCTGGAGGCACAGTGGCATGATTTTGCATGAATATTAACCGACTAATATATTTCTAATGCTTTCAATCTAAACATATAAACGTTTAGATATTTTTCTTCCAAACTCTTACTTTGGCAGCTCTCCTAACATTTGTAAACATGTGTTTCCTATTATAGAATCTACTCAGAATTGCTCTTAAGAAGATTGAACCATCTCGCACAGCTAGAGCGTTAAGATTGTGTTAGGAAAATAATGAATGTACTCTTCTAATATCAGAGTAGCACATGATAACAAAGGCCCTACGTAGCTGTGTGCGCAACAGGATGTATGATTACCTAGAAGAGCGTCAGGACTGTTTTAGGAATATGATAGCTATGTGACAACGATTAAGATGATTCAGCCACTATGGAGACAGATATAATGACTCATGTTTATGGCTTACGCAGGCCTTAGCTAATCTGAACTAAGCAAAGAATACTGCTTTGAACCGGTATTCTTCTTCCATTTTCCCAACAGATTGTAAAACTATCACACATCAAATTGTTTAAAAAAGCTTTCTACAAACCCCTCATCCCAAAATAGTTTCATATGATATATATATATCCCCAATTAGTTGGGAACCAAAAAATACGTTACATTTTTTAAATTTCAAACCATTGAATTATACAGTGTTTCAGAAATGGCAACCATATTCACCTCAATTAAACAAACATTACATTACATGTAATTTGTTTGACGCTTTTATCCAAAGCGACTAACATACTGTGGGCGATCCCTACAGGAGCAATTTGGGGTGAAGTGTCTTGCCCAGGGACACAACGACATGCAGTGGGACTCGAACTTGCTACCCCCTGATTCGAAGTCCATCACACGACCCACTGAGCCACAGCCTCCAAACATGTTATAATATCACCAGCCTTATCCTAAAAGTACTGTATTTCTATATATAATCTGAAAAATGGGTAATTTCATCACGAAAATAGCCTTTAACGTTAACAAACTTAAGTGTATTTCACACTCGTCATAGCAAATGTCTATTTCTCTATATATGTAACTATGGTGAATTATTTATAAACGCAGTGAGGATATGGGAGAGTAGGACACTTTCTAGACCACAGCAGTTCAGGTGCCGTACCAGTGAGACAGTCCTTTCTGCAGTTAGCTTTTGGGAATTATTTCCAGTGCCACTCTGACTTTGTTTTAATCTCTCCTCACAGCAAAAAGCCAAAGAGACCTCAGAGACAGAGGCAACAAAACAACCGACTAAAACCTCTGACTCTCGCCTACGACGGAGACACGGACATGTAGTCCCTCGGAGACGCTTCACCACGCACTTCGCCTGTCATAGAGACACCTCTTCATCACGCCATTACAGTGAGGGACACGGATGTTTGCAGCATGAATGGACGCGTCACACAGCGAGAAATCACAGAAAATCCTCTTAGCAGAGACACTGGTTGTGTTTAACCGTTTCAAGTACGGCTCCATTCACTCTCCCTTTTTGTTTTTTAGTGTTGTTTCTTTTGCAAGAGCCTTCATGACCTCCACCCTGTTCAATGAAATGCCTTTTTTTGCCCCCCCTACGTGTCCCTATGTCTCTAAAGGCTGAGAGTCTGGGTGCAGAAGACAGAGCTCTCAGAACATGGCAGCACAAGCTCAAACTCTTCCCCCGCGCTTTTCCGCTTGTCCCTAAAAATGCTGAGTAGCTGGAGGCTTAGGATGCTCTGACGGTTCATACGTTGCCAAAAGTCACCGCAGGGGAGAGGAGGAGGGAGAGGAAAATCTCCATAAAAAGGTTTGGATTCCTTTTTCTCAATCCTCAACTGGGTTTTGACTCAAATCTCTTTTGCAGTCTTGAACAAAAGGGAGGCATTTCTTCTCTTCTTCATTTGGAGGCCTGTGTTTGTGGGATAAACAGATCCGTACGATGCTGACGGAGCCTGCATCAGTTGTTCATGAAAACGGCCGCCTGCCTCCGTCCTTCCTTTGTTTCAGGCTCTACATTGCACTATATTAGTGCAGCATGATATGCACTTGTGACTTCTACCTTCGATTGCCATAAAACACTGCCTCTTCCACAGAACAACCCATAGAGCAGAGCAACACGAAAACATTCAAGAGAAACATGTTCTGCCAAACAGATGTGAATCTCAAGTAAATATATGTATAGATTTGATTTCTCACCGCTGATTTCTTTTTGGTTGAAGTAAAGTACCTTTTGTGGTTTGTAGATTTCGTCCTGTGTTATCACTTTTTTTTCTGCCCAGATGTAATTAAAGATTTAAAGATGACATCAGAAGGTGACTTTTTTTAAAAGAATCACCTGCTTTAAAGTTATTTTTAACCTTAAAGAATCTGATCAAATTCAATATTTTTACATGTATTTACCTAAAGTGGTACATTGTGTACAAGATAAAACCTTTGCAGTGAATACAAAAAAAAGAAGGAACAATAAATGAAACCATGCAAATGTCATTTCTGCCTTACAACTAAATACTAACAGTCCTGTAAAAGAGTTTTTAATACTTGAATGGGGCAACTTATAAAATACATTACATAAAAGCGTAGAGAAAACGACATTTTCTTTTTCAAAGCAAAGCCTCCTTCAGAGTTTTTAAACGTTTTCATGTAGCTATCCGTATCATAGGTGCTCTATCGTTTTTCAGTCACAATTCATTAAGGAAGTTTAAAAAACAATGGGTACCACTTTACAATAAGACTACCCTTATAAAGGATTCATAAAGGGATTATAATTAGGTTATGAATTAGGTTGTAAACACTTTATTAATCATTAAGAACCATTTATAAACCAGTTCCAACAGTTTCATACATCAACATAGGCTCACTATTTGGCAAGATGACTAAGCCTTACATTGGCTACTTAGCGAGAATCAACAACAGATACCAAGGATGCTGGCTGATGAAGAAGACGAAGTAAGCTAAGTAGCCAATATAAGGCTTAGCAGTACAGATAAATGTGGGCTCACTATTTGGCAAGCAACCGGTCACAGTTGCCCTGTTCATCTCATGTCTTATAAAAGCTTATTAATGATTTATAAAGTGTTCACAACCTAATTAATACATGAATTACAAACTATTCGTAAACTCTTTATAAGGGTAGTCTTATTGTAAAGTGCTACCAAACAATCTGTACAAAGAAATAACATGTTAATAATTATAATATAATAATGGGAGAACACACTTCTGCTGAGTTCAACGTAAAAGCAAACTGGTGTGGAGAATGTTTACTTGTTTGTTTTGGGATTTGTAAATAACAGCAATTTTTTATTTTTTTGGAGAAAAAATGATCAAATTATGTGTACATTTATTTTGTATTGCACAGAAATGTTTAGTTTGAATATTGCAAAGTGGGTGTGTGATATGTTGCTGATTGTTGTAATCATGATGCAAGTTGGATGTTATGAGACAAAAAAACGAGAAAAAAATAAGCAGAAGAAAAAAATAAGTAAAAAGGCTCAGCCGTTTTGTACAGGATGTTTATATGTGTGCAAAGAATTACGAAAAAATAAATAAGGACACGGTTGTTAACACAAGAAGAAGGTTATTGAGCCGTTTTTGTAATTTTCTTTATATATATATATATACACACACAAGGAAGCAGAACCCCTTAATAAAATGTTTAAATGGCTTTGAAGGATATCAGGCTGGTGTTTTCTTACATTGTTTCTTTCTGTCAACAAATCCCATAAAAACAATTTGTTTACAGCCTGACAGATACTGGCGTTTTGAGGATACTATTATTATTTGTTTGTTCCTCTTTTGGCCAATAGTTATCACTTTAAACAAATAAAATAAACAAACAATGCTATTTTATTATTTAACCTCATTTAAGAATCCCATCCAACTTACGTATACATGGGACATTTTAAATTAAAACATCCTTTTATCAGATTTGTTGACAAAAAAAATAAAGACTACCACTTCACCTATCCTTGAAAATGGAAAAATCATGTCACAAAGAAGTAAAACGCGTAAAGAAAGTTGAAATCCTTAAAATAAATTCCTTAATAATGTCCAGTCTGCTCTAACGGGGGGTTTTAACCTGAAACACATTATTCAAACTCACATTTAGTTTTGATTCAAAAGGTTCAAAAGAATGATTTTCTTACTCAATTAACTATTTCTTTAGTCGCTTATTCATGTATATCTACTTGAACAATCACTTCAGAGATATTCAGAGTATTAATTCAGATGTTTTAATTCAGATTTTTTGTTATTTTAATAACTAGAAAGCCCCTGAATTAGTAAATGTTCATATTTTGGGTATTCCTACATTTTCTTCAACTGATTCTACAAGTTAGTGTATATATATATATACACACACACACACACACATTGAGATTTACAAGCTACAATACTTTTGTTAGTAAGACTTTTCCACCTGGAAGGACTTTTGCAAACCTGCCTGGCACGTTGCATCAGCTCAAACAGTATATAGTGAAACACATTGGAGTTTGCAGACAGCCTCTTTTTTTCTATTTTATGAAACAACCTCTGGGGTAAGTTGTGTGTTTACTTCTACCTTTTTTTTTTTTCATCATTTGAAAACATTTTGTTTAAAGTTCTCTGGCTCATGAGGAGCGGTGTCGAGTCAGGACGAGTTGCTCACATCACATCAGGGCAGTGTTGTGGTGTTGAAGACTAAACATTGAACCAGAGAGTCTACGTAACAAACGGAAGGCTGGAGTTATTCAGATGTGGGTGTTAACCAGTCTATGGTGTTAACCAGTCTATGGTGTTAACCAGTCTATGGTGTTAACCAGTCTATGGTGTTAACCAGTCTATGGTGTTAACCAGTCTATGGTGTTAACTAGTCTATGGTGTTAACCAGATGCAACACAAGATGCTCTTGCTCTGCATTATGGGAAGTGTAGGATCCAGTCTTCTTAAAGTTGACCTTAAAAGACAAGAAGTCATTCTTCATTTTTTAGATTCTCTGTTGCAAGACCACTAACTGTTAATAAATAGGTAAAAAGGAGATAATAAATAGGTAGTCCTATTTAATAAAGATGTGTCTGATACTGACGGGTATAAAAACAGCTCTGATCACAAAAGCAGGGCATTGTTTTTTCATGCATTTCTATTTTTTTACTTTTTAAGTGGAAAACCTGATAAATCCAATTTTCTTTTCAGCTTTGTTATGATAATAATCTAACCTAAATAAATCACTCACTCACAGTATAAGGGATTAGAAAAATGAACAGAAGAAGTTGCAACATGTCAATATGACACCAAAATACTGCTTTGGGTCCCTTTGGTTCAACCTGTTCCTCCTCCTCATGATTCCAACATGGCAGCTTTATGTGTCTCCAGATGTTCACAGCATCTGGTGAGAGGGGCAGAGCCAGGGCAGCTGGCAGCCACTAGATGTCAGCCCCTGACGTTGTTTAAAGAAAAGTTCCTTCTCAAAAGTCTATAATGTGAACCTCCTTCTCTGCTCCCCCATTTCTCCTCCCTCCCTCCCCCACTCCGTTTGTCCCTCCATTCCCCCCCGAACCCTCTCTCTCTCTCTCTCTCTCCTCTCTCTCTCTCTCTCTCTCTCTGAAGCTCAAAGCGCACTATATAAAACATCCCTCCACACTGACACTCAGATGTACAAACACCTCGGCTCTCTCCCAGCCGTGCATCAAAAATCACGTCAGAGACGCTCGTAGCGTTTTAACGGAAGACTTCTGACCCCGCTGAATGAGCCTGAGAAGATCCATCACTGCCCCCCCCCCCCCCACTGCCTCAGGACCGCCTTCCTCACTCTGTGTTTCCCCTACAACTTGTGCAGCTCAGTCAAAGGGACATTTTTTTTTGCGGGCTGAGAAGATCAAGGACAGTTTGACATGAGGGGGGACGCTCCACGAAGAGGCATGAAGACCCCGTGTCTGTGGGCTCTGCTGCTGTCAGTCGTCTCTCTGGTGAGTTACATATCTCTTTACCTCTAATCACTTTATATCGCTACAGTTTCTGTGATTTATGTCTGCACCTATCTGGTAGAAGAAATATCGATGAATGTGCACAAACAGAGATTGTGATAAGTGACTTTCAGTGTAAAAACAAGCATGATTTGATTTCTGCTAGACGTCTGTTGCAGTCAGTTTATATAAAAGTCTAGAAAATATAAAGCAAAATATTGTTTTGTTGATTTCAGATTAATTTGACTTATGATATAGTTTACTAAAGGCATGTTTCTGAATAGTTTTCCTCACGTTCGACCCCTGTAACGACACATCCCACCTCCACAAACCTGTAACTGACTCATTAATATCTTCATGAACGAAACACAAGCTTCCCAAATCCAAAATCTGCATCTTGACAAATCCGCCCGCGCGCAATCCCGCTGGATGCCTCTCCCTCAGCACTATCCATTCATCCCTCCTTTGCATCTCCCCTCCTCTCTCCCATTTACAGACACACTTCAATAAGAATATATTTGACAGTGCGGTGGAGAACAGCCTGAGCCCATTATGACAAACACACCAGAATGCTCCTAACTCAGTGCTTTGGCAGTTTGTGACAACCCAATTCCTTTGATCCTCGGAAAGACAGTAACCCCTCACCCGCTGATAAATCTGTCAACAAAGCAATCAAAGCAGAACAGGAGCCACTCCTCTCTCCAAAAATTCCATAAACTTAATCCCCACAAACTTGACTGGCCTTAAAAAGCTCCCGTGGTGTTATCTGTGTTTAATTTGCATAGTGATGGAAAGAAGTCAATTACTATTAATTATTCTCTACAACTTAATACCCATTATCGAATTGAATTCACCGTCTTGAAAACCATAAACTCAATTTCACAGCTGACTAAGCGCACTAATCATTTCCTCCCCCCCACGCTTCTTTTTTCTTTTTTTTTACTTTACTCTAGGCTTGCTGCTTTGTAAGAACAACAAGGATTGTTCGATTTCAGAAGCAATAACATTAACTTACATGGATTCCCTTATTGTCTCAACATAAAGACAAACATCAATCATCAAGTGTGTGAGTTATATGTACCAAGGCATCATGGTAGTGCGAGTTGATCTCATAGCATCACTTGATGGGAGTGTTTTTTTCTCCCAGACGGAGCTGCCAAATTGCTTCGCTATGCTTTAATGGGATGATCATAATTGTTTCGTACTCGGTGCATCCTAAGCTTTCGCCTGCAGCTCCTTCAACAGATTGACAGACCCATGGGAACCTCACAAACTTATTTTGGCCGCCTTTGAACCAAGTCGTGTGTGAAATAATATGATTATGCATTTTTCCTCTGGGTAAGTTGAAAACCGGTGGCTACTTTTTTCTCTCTCTCTCCTCTCCCCCCTACCTCCTCCTCCCTCTTCGTCTTCAAACTGCCCCTGCTCTAATACCCTGCAGTCTGTCCGCGTATAGTATTTATCCTCCTCAGAAGTCATGGTAATAATTATGCCCCGACCGCTCAAAGCGCTGCTGCAGAGATGGGACTCGGCTCCATCCACAGCTGCCTGTGATGTCTTGACACACTTTGTGATTTGTCATCATGTCTGACCCCCCTCAGGTAACACTTTGATATCACTAGGAGAGTATAACCTAAACTCTTAGAGTAGTTAAATGCCCTTAGTTGATCTATCAGCTCAACCACGGGGGGACCTCACAAGGCGAGACAAGTTCAACTCCCTGTAAATGACTATGACCACAATCATATCCCGCAGTTGGAAAAATACTCCGCATCAAAACATCAAGGTCTCTTAAACCCTTCCTGTACAGAGGAACATTTCAAACAGACTCTAACTCAGCTGATATTCCACACACCAATATGTTTGCTTCTTGTGGATGAAGTCCTTGGGATTCATGCAAGCTGAAGGTCATACGTTATATTAAAATATGCCTTTACTGGGAGGTGGAGCGAGACTCCAGAGGGACTATCTGGTACCTGAAAGGTCACAGGTTTGATCCCACAAAAGCCTCATGTCCTTGAGCCAAACTCCAACCCTGCATAGCTCCTCAGACTTTAAGACTCTCTGGATTAGAGAGTTTAATACCATACATTTTAAAGAAGTTCTGAAGGCTTCTGCAGTGTGGTACTAATGCACATTAAAGAACAACATCTCTCTTAATCGCTGCATGTTGCAGCTCAACCCACACCATCCAATCAAGATTACAAAGTGGCAGCCCATATCTGCTCTCAGCCCAGTGCTCTGTTTAAACTACAACTGTCGCACTCTCAAATCCTCCCCGCACAGCAGCCGGAGCATTCAGGTAAATGAAAACTGACACACACTTTCATTCTTCCTCGCAAGGTTTTGTGTACAGCCCACCGCCGAGTCATCTGGCTCCTCCGACGGTTCTATTAAAGGTGGAATTTGTTGGCCGCTCCGGGGTCCAGCACATAGAAAATCCTCCGAGCTCCCGAGGGGAAGCCGGGGTTGTTTATCTTCCCGTTTCAAAGAGCGGACGCCTGCGCCTTATCACAGCCTCGCCAAGAGTAGATAGCATTTAGGTTTGTCCAACACCCGGCCTACATGCTGCATCTGGCAATCTGGAGAGTCGTTTCCTAAAAGACTTCTGCATACCCGTGCTGTTTGTGTTATCTTGTTGAGGGATTCTGCCTCATACACCCAACCCGGGAGTAATATTAATAGACAGTTACTGTAAATGGTTTTTTTGGGGGGAGGGGGGGGGAGAATCCAGCATGAGAAACTGCAGGCCCAAAAGTTGGAATAGCTCTGAGCCAGGAAAGGAAAGTCTCTGAAAAAAAATGATTGGGAGATACGTTTGAATATCTTTGAATGCAAACACTATATTTAATATGTATTGCAAATTGAATTTGTTTACACTGCTGCATTTGGACGATAGGACTTTCTGTAAGTGAGTGTAGTTTTTTGGAATAAAAGGGGCACTCCACAGATTTTAAAGACATGTACAAGCCAGCAAGTCCAAGATGTTTCTGTTATAATTCTGGGGAATTTAGGAGCTAGAAAGACACTACAGAGAAAATACATCTGGATATCTCAACATCTGCTGCTTTGATTTTCCTCATAGTTTTATCCGAGTCCTGTGTGTGTGTGTGTGTGTGTGTGTGTGTGTGTGTGTGTGTGTGTGTGTGTGTGTGTGTGTGTGTGTGTGTGTGTGTGTGTGTGTGTGTGTGTGTGTGTGTGTGTGTGTGTGTGTGTGTGTGTGTGTGTGTGTGTGTGTAAGGGTATTTCTGGAGTTCACCTTTATAGCTGAGGACAACTGATACTTTCATATCATGTGTCCCTGGGTGCCTGAAAGCCTGATGAAAGCCCTGAAAGCTAAGTTGAAAAAATCAAGCAGGCATATTTCCCCATAACATTAAGTATTATAAATAAATCTTGTGTGCAACAATTAAAGTTGAATTTTAAAACCAACATACTTTGTTTGTAAAAGCGTACCACTAAAGAAAAGAAAAAGGGTCGTGGTTTGATCAGACCAACAAAATGAGCAAAATCCAAAAACTGACACCATGTCTCTAAACTCAACCCTGCCAACCATAATCATGTGAGGTGATCTCAACAAATACAGGAAATCTCTCCTTAAAATAAACAAAACTGTTCAAAATTTAGAAGAAAATGTAAAGAACCCCATTTCTTAGCTGATTAAGAAAACATGTTTTCAAATCTTTAAAAATAAGAATGTAACTTCTGTGAAACACAAACTGATGAAATCACACCAACAGCTCTTTATAGGACGATGTTATGTGTAGCAATTTTTCCATATGTTCTTATTGTCAAAAAACACAAGACAAAAACCTAAGGGTTAGTCCATCTTGAAACCCTTACTCTGTAGCACACTGCCCAAAGCCCGTGCGTTACTACTTAACACTTACATTTTTATAAACAAAACCGGGCATTGCAGCTTTACCAAATGGAACTCAAACAGAAGTAAATGGTGAATTTGTTTTGAACAACGTTTAGTGATTTGTCCTCTCAGAGTGGATTGGCTGCATTAATAATGCAGGTCACAACCACCTGAGTGATGGCTGTGTTTATCTCTATTTAAGGCTTCCACTTGATTCTTTCATTATTGATGAATCTGCAATGGATCAATAGAACACCAGAAAATAGTCGTTTTGGTTTCTAAAAGCTCAAGTTGAAGTCTTTAAATTCATTTTGTCCAAACCACAGTGATATGTAAGATACTTTCACATGTTTTACTGTTCAAGCTATATTTATCCATGATGAAGGTCTAATTCAGATCATTGTTCAATTAAATACAGTATGCACAAAAGTATTCATGATTCAGAGTAAATCAGCCTGAAGCATGCGACACCACTGGGTCACAAGATACGTCTATTTCTAAAGGGTCAAACAGTGATTCATGGATTGGTGTATACATTTAGAATATTCAGCTCAATTTTTGTTGTTGTGAAATACTGGAAAGTTTGCTCTTTTTCTGGTCACTAAAAAAGATTGAAATGAACTTATCTGAGATGTAGATAGGAAATCATTCATAAATTAAGCTGAGGGTTTATAGAAGAACACAACCTTTAACAAATATGCTGCATCATAATAAGGGGCTGAAGAACCAAAGGGACGGTCCCCACTGAAATCACAAATGCAATAATAAAATAAATCATAGCTAAATTAAGCCAATAGAGTGTGAAATACATCTCACTTCTATCTGTGGAAGACATAGCTTGATATTTAATAAAGCCCTAATATTGGCAAACCAATATCTGTTAAACCCAGTGTTATCAAAGCGTGACTGTTGACCTTTATGCTGCCATTTTAGTGTTTCTCTTGTCTTTTATCCTACAGTACTCTTTTCTCTCTGCAGTATCTCTTTCAGGCACACACATGCACACGCACACACACACACACACACTGTGTCTCTTTCTCTTTGTGCCTGGCTTGCAATGTTTTTGACGCCAGCGAGAGGTAAATGTTGGCCCTCCGAGTGTTGGTGCAGTCAGTCGTGGTGTTCTGGATATAAACGTAGCTTTAGTCAGGACTGCCTCTGATCTGCCTAATCTCCCCGGGCTGGATTACAGGTTGGGCTCTAATCCGTGAAGTGGGGTCTCTGTGAATGTGCCTCGGAGTGCTCTAATCCAGAGACTGTCAGGTGCTTTAGATGAAAGCTAATTGCATGTCACAGTTTGGGGACCATAACGCCGGCGACAACAGAGCGAGTTCATCACAACAACAAGACATCGGTCTGATGGTGACTGTGAACGCACTTCAGATCATCTTGGAAGAAAATAGTGAAGAAATCCCCTCCAAAAAAAACAAAACTCCATTGACATCTCCTTTTACAAATTATTCATAACATGAAGTCACAGAAACTGACGCTGCCTCCCAAAACACACTGTTGCAGGCAATCTAATTTCCTGGTGACAAGATGATCAAATTTGGAACGTCTAATCCTACTCGGATTTGAATTGTTTAGGAAGTTTTCTTTACATTTTACACCTTAAAATATTTTATCCACACTCACACACACACACACACGCACACATCCGCTGTCACTAATTAGCCTGACAGTCACTTAAAGCAGCTCAAAGCAGTTTCCTAATATCCCTTGATCTGGTTTCGAGACTCCATTGAGACTGAAACCCAGTTACTGAGAAGCATCAGTAATTATGGCAAGAGGAAAATTATATTTCATTTGATCATTAGAGACTACAGTCTTTTCAGATCTCAGAATAGAAATATTCATGAAAAATAAATGGGGATTAGAGTCTGGATTACGGGTCAAAGATTATTTTTGGTGATTATTGGAAACATGTAAAACTGAATTTATGTTTAAACTCACATGGGATCAAGTGTTATAAATCCATCCAAGCAAAACCTGTACATGTATTTCGAATGAAGGTCACTAGCTTTTCCAAAACATCATGTTTGACCTTGTAACACCGAATAAAGATCTGGCATCGTGTAACTATTATCTGACATCAGCTGCTGTGTTAACCTACTGTATACAAAAGCAATTATTTGAACCATTGAAAATCAACATAAACAAACAACCTGAAATATTATTAAACCCTAGAAAAAAGCCTATACAATGTTCAATGTAATAATGGGCTTTATAGCTGCCTAGCTGATAGTCCATAAGATACTGTTTCACCGAGCTTTTACATCCTAAGGAGCTTTATGTTTGACTATAATGGTGCCAATAAATCCTGAACAGGAAGCCTCCCTCATCCTCACCCTCACTATCTTTTTACAATACATCACCAGTGAGGCCAACGTGACAGACTTTTGTTTCCAGCAATGGAAGACAAAAGGAGGTGTTCATTAATACAGTTTAACTGCCCCGCTGCGCAAGGAAACTGCTGAAAATCATATTTCTATTCTCCTCGTCATGACAATCACTCTGCACTGAAGGTCCTGCAGCTTTCCTTTTTCTCCTATAAAACCTTACCACTGCAAAGATTTGATCTCCGATTGTTTGAAAGGCTTCGGTTAGACTCCGTGTATCATGCTGCCTATTAAAATAAGTTCAGGTTATGTCGGTTTTTTCACAGAGTTAGAGAGACGTTACAGCTACTAAGCCAAAGTCTCCACAATGCCACTAACGGTTCTTTCACATCAGGTCATTCATCTTCAAGGACTCTTCAAAAACAACTGCAGGCCATCTTTATAAACTCCTTCACTCTGAAGCCAAGTGCATAAAAAGAATGTGTACTTCAGAGAGATAACACCTCCCGCACGATATCTAAAGTATTACAATGTCATATAGTGAACTTTCTGAATAAGAGAAGACCTTATGTTCAGAGTATCGATCGCGGGGCGGGGGTACAAAATGTAAACGCTTCGACCAGATAGATCTGCTGTCACGTTCCTCGGCTGGGGTTTGGACATCAATGTCACAAGCCTCAGCGGGGTGAAGGGGGAATCTTAGCTCTCTCATCTGTGTGATTGTTAGACGAGAGACACAGAAGGAATCATCCATCATCCATTCAGGCCACATTCAGCAGGTGCTGTTGCATCATGTCTGCTCCCGAGAAGCGCTTCATTCATCTCGATGTATGGCAGGCATACCCTTAATCTTGATTAAGACGAACAGGCACAAGACGGTTTCCAACTCTAAGACTTGGTTACAGTATTAACACAGGTTTCTTTAGAGGTGATCTTTGCTTGTGATGGATACAGTTTGTTGGTGTTTTCTTACTGCTGCAAGATTGATTGTGGTGCTGTTTGTGAGTTGGCAGGACTTCCCACAAACATATCAACAGATATTTAACACGAAGCAGATAGTGTCTACACAACGCTAATGCCAGACAGAACGTCAACATTGAGCAATTCTGCAAAAACCTGGTTTACGCAAGGCTACAGAATGAGTGTGGTTCTGGTCACATCTACCACTGTCCACCACCAATGTCAATATAAATTAAACAATATATGTTCTGGCTCGCTAAACGAAGACTTTGTTATTTCAGGCATTGGAACTTATTTGGTGAAATGTGTGAATTTGACGCAGAAAATGTTATTGTTTACATTCACCAAGACTCACTTTATTTTACAAAGAGACATTAATCAAAGAAAATGATATTGACAAAGGCCCCACCATATCTGTCTGATAATATATATAGACTATTCTGCACTATTTCTATTCTATTTTATTTACTTGCACTATCATCTGTTTTATTGTGTTGCACTGTTGGAGGAGCCTGTGACGTAAGATTTTCATTGTCAGAACTACACTGCAGCTATGCAAAACAGAAGCCTTGAATCTTGAATCTAATATATTTTTTTAACTTTAAAAGGTTGTTACCACATTTTTTTAAATAAAATAGTTCGATAAGCATGCAGTATCAGTAGTAATGGTGATTTTGTTTTTGTTTGTTTTGTTCTTCCAGGTGACCAGTGCTGATTCACCAAGTACAGGAAATTCAGCCTTGAGAGAAAGCTCAAAATCCAAAGTGAAGACTTACTGGTCTGAAGGCAGCAAGGCAGTCTCCATCAGCCGCCTGCTGTCCCAGAGCTTCTATGGCAAAGAGAACTTCACCTCTCTGGATCTGAACTATGACGAGGCCGACTCGTTCTCTAAACGGGACCAGTGGAGCTGGCTTTACAACGCGTCCAACCCCCGCGACCCTCGATCCAGGACGAAGCGGAGGCCCATCGTCAAGACCGGCAAGTTCAAGAAGATGTTCGGTTGGGGAGACTTCCACTCCAACATCAAGACGGTGAAGCTCAACCTTCTCATCACTGGTAAAATCGTGGATCACGGTAACGGGACATTCAGCGTCTACTTCCGCCACAACTCCACCGGTCAGGGCAATGTTTCCGTTGGACTCGTTCCTCCAACCAAAGCGGTGGAGTTCCAGGTCCACCAGCCGTTCCACCACAATCACCACCAGCAGCAGCAGCAGCAGCAGCAGCAGACGGCTCTGGAGACCAAGGACAACAAGCTGTTCAACTGCAGGGTGGAGTACGAGAAGGTGGAGAAGGGCACCAGGAACTCGCTGTGTGCCCACGACCCCTCGCAGAGCTGCCCTCAGGAGCAGACCCAGAGCCACTTGTCCTGGCTGTGCTCCAAGCCCTTCAAAGTAATCTGCATCTTCATCACCTTCTACAGCACCGACTACAAGCTGGTGCAGAAGGTGTGTCCAGACTACAACTACCACAGTGACACCCCCTACCTCCCCACCGGGTGATCACAAGACCAGACAAGGACAAAAAAAAGAAGAAAAAAAGATGCTGGGACAGGCTGTCGGATCTTGAGCTATGTCAGATTATTTGAAGGAAAATGAAGTCAAGACACTTGAAACGTTGAGAGGTATTATTACAGCTAACATATCCTTGATGCAAGACTGATATTGCTCCAACGAACAGACCCACCCAGAGGTCATTATGAGAGCATTAAGGGAAGCATTTATAGGCTTGCAATACTCTTATTATATGCATAGCTGCTTACATTGAAAGGACATTCTCAAGCCAACCGCAAACATATGCTGATTGTATTTATGTAAATATTGTGGGTTCCACAAAAAGACCAGAAAACAATTTTATTAATGTTTTCTCCTGCTAATTTGGTTGTTTATGTTGATAGTGCATTTCCGTCTCAATCACGCTTTCTGTCTTTTCCAATCAGTCTCTGGTAATCATTGCAAACACGTAAATGTCAATGCAAATAAGAAGAATCTGTCAGTATGCATTAGAGTGCATAATGGAAAAAGCAAACATATTTTGAGTGGTGTTGTTTTCTGCAGTGTGATTGTTGTGAGTGAGTATACCTCTCTGATAGTGTTGTTGGAATCTCGTCCATTTTCATGCATGAACCAAATGTGGTAAACAGCTGAATAACGTCCATCTATATTTCCATGTTATTGCAGCTGTCAGAAATAATCCTCATCATGTCACCGGAGAAAAAAAAGGTATAAAAGTCTTTCTATTTTGTGTATTGTGTTAGCAGTTCTTAAGCCACAGCAAATGACACCAATGGAGGCTCAAAGTCAAACGCAAGCAAGTAAATGTGGTGATAAATAAATACAACCTGCAGAAGACACAACATTAGAGAGACACACACGATCCTTCTTTTTGCATTGCTCCTTAAAAAATAAACGTATGTGTACTTCTGTTTTCTTAGTCCTGCACTTCAATTTTAGACGTTTAGCGTGCTCTTTTTCGTGACTAAAACAAGTCGAGTATAATAACCTTAACTCCTGCCTCACTAAAATAACAAGCAGAGATGACAGAGCCACAACATCCCTGCTGTAAAGGAATATTTTAGTCTTGTTAAAGTATATAGAGTTTAGTGACTTGTCCTCGGGAATCTGTTTAATATGGTTGAAGTGTATTCCTGCCTGTAATGTGATCCATAGCTTCTCAGGAAGACACAGGTCAAGAGGTCATCTGATGTCTTGTGGGGGAGAAGCTTGGCTCATGTGGGTTTACAATGCAACGAGTCTCGACATCTGGCATGCATTAAAGGAAAACCCGCGTGTTTTAGGGCCCTCCTCTTCTCTCATGTATAGATGGGTGCTTGGCGCTTTTGGGCAGAGTTGGCTGGTATCTTGCAGGGAACTGTAATATGCTGTGAACTCTCCGGCCGTTCAGGCTCTCAATAAATATCAGTGTATTGACAGGCGAATCCAGTTTCACTCATTTCATGATTGGCTCAACATTGCTGCAAAGAAGTTTTATCTTCACAACCTGCAATATCCAAAACTATCTGTATACCTTGGAGTAATCATTTATAAAGCGTGCTGAATTATGGGCGACAAACGGGGTCAAACATAGAAATAAGAAGAGGCAACATTGGTGTTCATCTAAAAAAGAACAATGTGAGAGGTGGTATGTTGTGTTTCCTGCTCCAGAGGAGACACCACATACACCAAACAGCAGGAGCTAATCACACATTCCACCTATCCAACATTTGCACCTCTGGTTATCAAAAAAAAAAGAGAAATTCTGGATGAGACTAACACTGGCTGTTAATGATATTGGATGTTCCAATTGGCTATTAAACCTTCATTACATAAATTGGGAGCCACTGGCTCCATGTGAAGCATAGAGGGAATGAACACAGTGAAAGTGGGAGCTCTGAAGAGTCAACACCATCCAAAGAAGGAATTAAAGTGCCGATGGAAAACCTGTAAAAAAAAGCACAAATGTGCACCTAGGGGCGCAATCACTGCTGTCTATTTAAATTCAGTGCTCTGACACAGTGTACGCTATATATGCAACTCAGTAACTGCTAATGGCAGCCTGGACGACATCCAATATGCCAACATGGGGTGTATTTTCTGACAAGGCAGGCCAAAGAATAGGGGTCTGCCTGTGGGATGAGTGAGCATAAAGAGGAATTTATGATGTGGAGGAACAAGGCTGGCAGAAATCACTGGAAGCACCTGACTCGTAAATTGAGAGCATGTTTCTGTCACCCAGAAGAAGGAATGACTAATGTCTCAGATTGCTGTTTGGGCCCGTTCTTTCATCTCAATAAAGTCACTTTGATATCCCTCCCCCCTACCCAAATGTGCCAGGGACAGTTTGTTCAGCTTCAGAGAATTAAAGCAGCACTTTTGTGAAACAATGCAGCCTCATTATGCACATAATCTTACAAGTGTAAACAGTGTTTGGGTGTGAGAGCAACTATGAGATGGATCTGTTCCCGACTGATGCTGTCTGAGGGCAACAGCAATGTACTGTGTGTACAAGCCACATTATTAATGGACAGATGTATTCATAGATATCATTTAAAGCTGCACTACTAAACCCTTAAACAGCGAAACAAATGACTTACGTAATGTGAATTGTGTGACAAACCCACACGATGCTGAACGGCGTTATACCATCTTTAAGCTCATTGTTTTGGTTTTCATGGCCCACAATTTCACCATTTTGATTCACTCTCATTTCGCTCATCGACCCCAGCAGCAGGCACCTGTTTTTACAGGAACGCTCTCTGTACGATTACTGCCCAGCACCAAACAGACAATGTTAGCTACAAGCTAGTGTACATAATGTAACGTTTAGCAGCTAAAGAGGCTGATAATTTCCCTCGGGAGTTGGTAGAAAGCAAAGGAGTGTGAGTATTTTACTTCAATTTGCAAGGTGGCCAGAAACACCCATGAATACTAACATTTTTCTGTATCTGCGTAAATGAAAATGTTGTCAAACTAATGAATAAATGTAGGCTTAAGAGTTTGAACATTTTCTTTGTAAATCGGCATTTTGTGTGTTTCTAATCTAAAAGTAATTGCAGATATCATGCTGTTTTACTCCAAACTTTACTGCTAAAAACAATATTTAGCATTTGGAAGAAATTAATACCTTAGATTTAGTAGTTTAGTCTAGTATTAGTCCTTTTATTAAAATATCTGTCAATCAAATGGGAGGGAATGTAAGTTCCAATTTTATGTTCTGGCTTTAAGCGCTATGGGCTAATCTTTTGTTAACTTTCAGATCACTGATCGTACCTTCAATACAACTTAATTTGACGATTAAATAGGGGGGATGAATAAAGAAGAGATATCTAATTAAAACACAGAGATTAAGCTCAATCCAATCTTAAATATCTAATAACTTAAATTCAGATGCAAATCTCTGTTTTGAGAGTAATTTACCAAAAGTGGGAGAGGACAGCTTCTTCTTTAAAAGCCAAGATTTCTTAAATGTTGTTCATCTGAAAGCACCAGTTTATCCAGAAACAAGAAGAACCTCCAAGGAATGGTCGGTTTATGTATGAATGAAAGCGACATCATTACAACCCGGCAGTGTTTGAACGTCTAAGTTATCTTCGGGTCCAGATCTTCTCCCTTGGTTCAGTCGTCCTGGGCCGGAGCCATTCATGCCTGCCGTCTCTCCCCCACAATCCCTGATTAATGTGGTCTGGGCGGGAGCTGTCAGAAATGGCAGAGAGAATCATGGGATTTCTCCTTCAGAGTCCCAATGACACCCAGCAGCTGCAGGAGTAAACAGATGACTAACCACTGGCCTTTTGGCAGCCTGTGGAGATTGACACGGAAGGAGGGCTGCGAACGCCGCTTTGACATTTAGGTGGATTAGAAGTTCTTGGGTTCTGCTCTCGTGGTGTCAGAGGTGGTTGGCATAGTAATTATTTGTGTCTTGGTTTTTATCCGCTTGACCCCCAACTGCAGTGAAAATGTACAGATATGTTTTTCTTCCACTTACAGACAAGTGAAATGTTTATTGTAAAACATCCTGACGAGCCTCATTTACAAGCAAATCACATTTTGTTTGCACTGCTACAGAGGAAATAATACGTGTCTTACAACAAGCAATTGTCATTTCAGATCATGTGCTGCTGCAGATTTCATTTAAAATCTGGGGCTGAAGCTGTCCTGGGGCACAGTTTTGTGTGAGGTATTGACATATTAAAGGCTCCATCAGACAATGGCTCGTGTTTTTTTCCCTCTTTTTTTTCAAATCACAAATAAATTACTCTCCTCAAAACACTATTACTCCGCCGGAAATGAAAAGTCACTCGTTGTGAATGTCTCATATCAGGTAAAAACTGGAGAGAATTAATTAACCTTTGTTATTTTAATTGCTTTAGTGACAGCTGTCCTTTGGTGCCGGAGCTATCCTAATGCACATACTGTGGGCTTGTCAATTACTTTCCCAGTGAATAGATTAAAACGCCACAGAGGAGAGAGTCATTTCATTAGTCAGACTTAATGCCCCTCAGACATAACCAGGTACGAACACTTTGCCCCTAAATATGCAGAAAAATGAACAATACTATTAAGCCCCTATGAATCGAATGAATGTGGCAACGTGAAATTAAGTTTACGCTCTATTTGACTCTGTCCTGTTGCTATTATTTCATTTGGTATACAGATTTCTCTTTGGAACATTGTGATAAATAAGAATATTTTTAGCCTTTTAATAAAGGTCTCGCAGACTGAAATGCGGGGAACCTGAGTGCATGGCACAGCTAATTGCTCTAATGGATGTTAGAATCGTAATGCTGTCAATTCTTATGGTTCTGGATAATGGCTGACAGCAGCGACTGTCTAATTCTCCCATTTTGCTCTTTGCACATCTATGATCAAATGCTCCTCAGCTCATCATGAATCTGAAAGAAATTAGACCGCTTTCAAATATCTGTCAGCTGGATGTCTCGGCTGCGTTCAGCACTAAAATGCACAAATCTCCACTCCTTAGCACATGATATGAAGACAGGAGGCACATTATCAGGCAGCTAAAACCTCTTCTTTGACGGACGGGGAGGATTTTGGCAGATACTCGTGCATGTACAGTATGAGTATCAGGGGCACAAATTATAATGAATACAAAATAAGCTTACATTCTCAAGATTGCTGATGTTACAGAATGTTAAGAAATAGTGAGGAATTCAACAATTACAGATAAAGGGTGTTGTGCTTTACTGAACATCTTCAGGGTTCACTATAGCACAGATCCATCATGGGTTTACCTTAACCTGGACCAAGGGGTGGAAAACCAACAGACATTTTCCACTTAAAATGTGTGACAGTTTTGAGGCAGATTGGGTTACAATTGCAATATTTGAGTATTGGTAAGTACCACAGTATTATAGAGAATCATTTTAACAGTGGGCATAAGCAACCAAATGTCTTTAGTTGGATTTGAACCCAGATGTTTTATAACAATGGGTATTGTGATAAGTTAACTCAAAATTACATAGGTGGCTGGAACCAGTGGTTTCTAAAGTATTTAATTTTATATTTATATTATTTGTTGGTACTGAAACAGTTAATTGAAGAAAACAAATATTCTGATCAATTAATTGTTTCAGCTATGTTAGGGCTGCAACTAATTAGTTCTGCTCAAATATCACAAGCATTTGAAAAAGATATGCTCATTGCAAGTTAACCGAACCTGAAGGTGATTGTTTTTTGTTCTTCTGGCACACACCCAATCCTATTACACTTGCAATGAGATAAAACTACACAATTCTTGTGTTTGAGAAGCTGGAAGAAGAAACTATTCAGTATTTCTGCTGGATGATTGACTTTAAAAGATCCAAAATTCTTTCCTCAAGTAATAGTTTTAACACTTATTGAGACAATTGTATCCATTTTGTCCACTTTCAAAAACATAAAGAATATGGAGGTAAAAAATAAAAGTATGTAATAATAATGTATCAAGCAGGAGTGTTCAAACTTCCCAACTGTTCCACAAATTGCTGTTTTCTCCATTTGATATGGTTGTAATTTTAATATCTCTGGATTATGGACTGTTCAACAAAACAAGTGATTTGATTTTGTCTCCTCAGGCTACAGGAAATTGTGTTGGACATTCTTTTTCAAAACCTTTTATGGACTATGATGATAAAATAACAAATAATTAAAAGCAAATGAAGAGATTGATTCATTGTTAATAAAAATAATTATTAGTTAAAGGCCTTAACAAATCTGATTATAGGAGGAGCTAATCCTCTTTAACTTCATACAGTCTTTTGTTTATCCTTTAGAGTGAGTACACAGGTGCAGTTCTTCTGTATTTATACTTTATGTTTCATGAAATTGAACATTTGAAGAGTTAATGTATGATATCATTGCTTTTAAAGACGTAGAGGCAAGCATATTGAAGAAAGTGTAAGTGATTTTATGCTTCTAAAACCTTCCTGTTTCCAAAATAGATGTTAAAATGTTACAAATATATATATCCTTTATTTAACCAGGTACAAATAAATAACTTAACTAAATGATTTACTATAACTGATAATATTAATGATAATCGTCCCTGCAGAACATTGCTACCTTTGACTTCAGAATCTTAGTACTAAGTTGTATTTGTTAATCAGATTTGTGCTCATCAGGTTTCTCATCAGTCTTGTATTTTGGGGGGAGGACAGGGAACATCAATGTGAAGTTTCCCAATTCTTTTGAGATGTAGGTTTAACAAACCAGACGCACAAGTATTGATGTCAAAGGTGTGTTTGCATTTCACAATGACATGAGATATAAGAGGATTACATGGCTCATGAATATGGCCCGTTTCTATCCTCTTCTTTTGCTATCAGACATCTTCATCTCTATCCATAACAGCCTGTCGAACGGCACAAAGACTGATGTGCTCGTCTCTGAATACCTCCGATTTAATTTCAGTTAAGAAAAAAATGTTGTCTGATCTGCTGAAAATAAGTGTGTGTGTGTGTGTGTCTGTGTCTGAGTGTGTGTGGTCCTTTCACAAGCAGCTGCATCTCACACAAAGAGCAACTAGTTTAGAATCTATTTTTATGTCACATAATGCTGTCAGTGTATATTCCTTGAAACAACAGCAGAAAGAGGTGATGATTACTGAATATCACCTTGTCAAAAACCTCACAGATGTATGGAGGTAGGTGATGCTATTTATACTACACAATAAACACACTTATATTCTGCTCCATAATTGACATCTTCAAAAGTTCATTCAAAATCACCAAGGTGTTAATCTTCACCACAACACCTGGTTATTTGTGTCGAAACATCAAGGATTTGCAGTCAGTGTTAATTGTGAGTGCCCATACGAAAAAGCTGTCCTCATGATGAGAAGACCATTTTCCCGTGTCACAGCCCAAATATATAGGAGAGTTTTCCTTCACCGTCCTGCCTTTAAAACAGGCTGGCAGGTAAAACAATCAGGGCCAGCCTGCACCGCGCCCGGGCTTCGTTTGCCATTGATTTATATCTTAAACAACCTCTCCTGGTGCTTCCACTGCTAAAGGTGAGACGCACAGCCAGTGTTTGTGACAGAGATGGACTAGGTGCGGTGGCAAGAGAGAGAGGGATGATGCGGTTTTAAAAAATGCATCACCATTAAATCAAAGAGTAACCTTGAATGAGTTCAGGCCAGTGCTGGCATGGTGACACGCTCTGCCCTCCTCAGCGTCCGGTGCCACGGAGCGTGCCAAGCAGCGGGGAGAGAGAGAAAGCTGCAACGCGGTGATACAGGTTAGAGCGGTGGTGCTGGGTAGCAGGCTAGCTCCACGCAGACCAAGGGCCCTCACACTGACATTGTGTTCAAGTTTGAGCTCAACATGTTGGAGACAAACGTATATAGTCTGAGAGACGGTGATGTCCTTGCAAACTGCCATGGAAAAGTTGACAACAAAACCTTGTTATCACTTGAACTTGTGAAAAAATGTGTGCACAGATGGTGCAAAAAACAGAAGTTCAACATTCGTGATACCTGAAGTTTGACTAAAACCTGCTCTGACCTTTTTCTCTTTGTCTCATAATCTTGCTTATATGTCCAATACAATTTTTTTTTTTTTTTAAAAGGGTTTAGGGTAAAGAAATGTTTTCATAATGAGAAAATACCTAATGTGAATATGAGATTACTTGTATTATTCCTGTGCGCTGCAAGGCAAACTCCCCAAGCTATTACATGGGTTTGAGCAGAGCAGACTACAAAGCATTAGAGTGTAGCCTAGAGGAGGACAAATTAAACCCCACTGGTCCTTCAGCTACAACAGCTGAACTTTACATATTACTCGCTCATGCAGATTACTAAATCAAGGAACTACATTTATTTACGCTTTTTAATAAAGCACCAAAGCCTCAGAGGAATTTCTTTTTTATTAAGACGCCTGGTAAAATGGCTGTGCAACTGCTGAGTCCCTCTAAAGTACCCATATTTCCAGTAAATAATGTCTTCTGGGCTGTTATGGTATACATAAAACAGATGCCGGTGCATGAGGACAGACTGAAGTAGTGTGCATATATTAGACATAAAAATGTGTTGCAACATCCTTTTAGATTAGATTTCTGGGCAGAAAACTATTTGCGGTATATAACTTATTTTTAAATCTAACTTCCTCTCCACTTCTCCCACATTCATTGAGACATGTCATCCATCTATCTCGGCCTGCGGCTGCAGTAGTTTCTCGACCATGAGTGGCTGCTGCAGCGGGGCTGTATTTCAGCATGTTGAAGTGCATGGAGAATTCCCATGAAGGGTAAGGGATTATGGATTTTGGCCCTCTAAGCTGCCTGGATGCCCAGTGAGGATGTCTCTGAGCGTAGTAATCTTCAAACACCACGCAGAGTGATGAGTGGGCACTGAGGACTTCTACTCAGGATCTAAATGTGTTCCAGCAAGTTACTGGTGAGAGAGAGAGAGAGAGAGAGAAAACACCATTTGGTGCAGAAATGGAAAGGATCGACGCAGTGCTCCTTCAGGCGAAAAGAGACACTTTTGATCCTGTGACCCGTTTTTGAGCTATAGTGTGCATCGAAAACTCGCGTCGAGCAAGGGATCACATTGGAGTGGTACAAATGTAAATGTCATGGTTCTCCATCACCACACATAACTGCGAATAGAAAAAGTCAATTGAGCAATTTTTGGGGTCGGGTCGGGCACTCTCCGGGGGCTGCAAACCTTCATAATGAGGGCACGCTCAAGTCTGGTTTAGACTGTGTGTCCCAGAAAATGTGCTTGCCAATCTGGCATGAGCTGGTGTACAGTTTGAGAATGAAAGAGGAGGCTCTGAAATACAAATAACATCTCACAAGTGAAGCACAGAACAAAAAGTAGGAGTAAGGAAATGTCAGAGAAAATCAATAGTGACGTCCCTGATCAATATCAGAAAGGAATTTCTCTGACCTCGGACTTGATTGAATTAAACCCCCAACAGCATCACTTAATTTAAGGCCCTGATTGTTTTCCTGTCTTATTTAAGTGAACTCAAATTGCTTTGATACCATCTTGAATGTGGAGATAAGGTGGGTAAGTGCAGGAGGGGGATCAGATGGGGTGAAGGACACCAGTCTTTATGGAGATGATATCCTCTCTTCAAGAGACGCATCTATCTACCTGCTCGTATCACAAGCCTTGAGATGCAGTCAGGGGTCAGGGATGGAAATGTTCCCTGGCATGCTAGAGAACTTCCTTTGGCGAATCGGACTTTATTACGGTACTAAAAATGCAAAATAACCCACTGTAAAAAACATGCGTGTTTCCGTGTTGCACAGAGGGTGGAAAGCAGCTGTATGATGCAGAAAGTGACCTCAGGCTGTTCAAGGATCAAAGGGTTCAACATTACTTTGGTGATAATCAAATTAAGTCTGCAAAGCTCAACATAAAAAGCATTTTCCAAATATAAATACACATACCGCTCTTTACACGTACTCCAGTTTACTGATCAGTTCAATTGTCCGCATGCTGCTCACACACTCCTCCTGACAGTGCAGCACAAATACTGTCCAAGGCAACAAACAGGTACATCAATTTGGAGCATGACAAGAAATTCCCTTTAGGTGACAACAAAATGTACATGCCATTAGATCAGCTGCAGTATAGTGTGATGAAATAAATTGAAGCCAACAGATGAAAGCTCGGGGGCCTCACACGGGAGAGAGGAGACTATAAAAAGGTGCACTTCCCTTCTTTTTATGTTACACTGCCATCCTTTGGACAGATACAGAACTAAGCACCGCTAGAGGTTTCATGAGCTGAGTGATGGTGGTCTGCACCAGGCTGCTGGAGAAACGGGATGTTGCAATTTTGGTGCAATTAGTAATTAATTGAAGGAGTTTAATTTACCATTGCTTGAATATGGATGATTGCTTTACTACTATTTATTCTGCTATATGATTGTATGGTGCTATAATGACAATACTGCCACTCTTGATATGATGACAGCTATTTGAAGTCATGTACCATTTGCTTTATTTAGCTTGAACCATAAATTATTATAATCGTGTACCTTCTTTATCTATCTGTGCCTAAACAGACACTATAATGAGGGGTTCATTAAATGCTTATTTTTATTAGGCCTATCTAATTTACATAACGTATAATTTTGTATAATTCTTATCCGATTGAATTTTTCTCAATGACATCTTCAAATGTCCTAATGCTAGTTTGTACCATGTAAAGCAAGGTGGTTTAAAGAAAGTAGATGTATTATTATTATGATTAAGATTATGATTATTATTTTATTTTTTATGTCGGATTATCATTATTGTTTTGCTAGTCTACAACCGCACGAGACAATCAGTGTTTATATTAGTAATATCTGTTTGCACGAGACAAACATCTGAACGTGATGCGCGAGGAATCAGGGGAGCGCCGCTGATGACGTCAGTTGCATGCAGAAGTGAATGAGCAGCTGTGTGTACACACTACAGCAGGGCCTACATCCAGAGCTGCAGCGCGAGCAACGATGGCAGGAATATAACGACATTTCATTTCATACATATAATCAGGTACGTGTGTGATATTCCCTTATTTTCTGATTTGATATATGCTCATTTATATCGTGATATCTAAAGGCGACGCTTCGTGTCCGTTCAGTGAGCTACAGCAAACCAGGCGTTGTGTTTATTCTGGTGCGGCGGGGATGTATTGTACTCGTATTTATATAGGCTGCGTCATTATGCGCTGGTTCATTTACCTCTAAGTGCATATTAATCTAAAAGCATTTCTTCCTTCCTTGTTATTAAGGTGGCGCGTTCATCGCATCCCATCATCACATTAAAATGAGTCGTGATGACGCGCGAGCTGTTTGTAAAATAATTAATTATTCATGTCAGCTGAAGGACGGCAGGGTTTGCACTTCTGGAAAACATCCGGTTACTTAGTTAATGTTTTCAAATCCTCCCTCAAAATCTGAACATCTACTCGGTTGTGAAATTATCTCTGGTTAATTAATGGTTACCACACCAGGGAGTAATGGTAGAAATACAAAATAAACCTCATTCACACCTTGTTATGAGTCTGACAGGTCAGATATCACATTGTGCTCCAGCCAGTGAGTTTGAGTCTCTTGCTTAAGGTGTTCAGAGGTGGAATAAGTATACTAATTGTTGAGGTACTTTCCTTTGTAGTTTCCTTTTGAAGCTACTTTATACTTCTACTATTCTACAACATTATTTTCTTCGCTTTAACTGACAGGTTGTAACTTTACAGTATTGATTTAACCAAGTATCCATCATATTCTGCAATGTACAAAATTAGACACAAAAAAAAAACAAGCTGCAATTGATTTATAACAATAAGCATTCTGCTGAGTTTTGTTTGCTCAAAATTTGGCAAAATGTAAAAGAAAACAAAGTGTTACCACTGACCCCCCGTTCCTCACTACATCTGCTATCCATGAGCTATTTCATCCACTCCGCTTTCTCCACAGGAAATCTGCAAAAAATGGAGAGAGGACATTTGTGAGTACATATAAACTTTTGTGTTCACACTATTTTCCATACCAATCCATGAGGTTATACAGCAACAGTCACAACATGGGTTCATCCTCTGTGTCATTGCAGTGGCTACTCCCAAGACTATCTTGATCGCTTTATCCAAAGCCAAGACTCGTCTGTTGTGAACAAGTTCCAGCAGAAGTACTGGAAGACAAAACAGACGCTCATCAAGGTCACCGGGAAGAAAGAGGACGAACACGTGGTTGCGTCAGATGCAGAACTGGACGGCAAGCTGGAGGTGAGGAGGAATATGAAAATGTGGTAGTTTTACTTAGTGACTAAGGGAACAGAAAGTCAGGCCGCAGTCGCATCACAGAAACATTAAGACACAGTGGGGAAACTTCCCCTCAGGCATACTGCAGTGACTTAAATGGCTTTTTGATTCACACTATGCTAGGATTAGCTTGAGGCTTAAAACGTACATTAGGCTGCCTGTCCGACCGCCATCATCTAAACCTCCATTTCAGGAGCCAAGTGAGTTTATGGCTGAAATCGATAGCTTATAAAAGCTGGGAAAACAGCCTTAATTTAGGGCAGGGCCTCGATGAGCGCTGTGATAAACTAAAATAACTTCATGTTTTTAACCTTTATGTAGCATTTTAAGACTTCTATTTTTACCTCATAAAAGACTTTAGGTTGCTCAAATTCACTTGTAGATTGAAATCCTTGAAATTAATGAAGTATTATAGATTTAAGGTGATATCGGTGATCATCATATTCAGGCAATGTATACACAACTTGCTAAACTGAGCATTACCCCTACAATTATCAGGCATTTTGATTTTAAGCTGATTTATTTTACCCCACAGGTTTTTCACTCCATCCAGAGAACATGCATGGAGCTGCTAAAGGTCATTGAGCAGTACCAGAGGAGGATATGCTGTAAGTATTTGCTCAAATAGAACATTAATAATAAAAGTATGAACTCTCAACAGAGTGCATGCAAGCCCATATTCCATAAACATCAGTGCTCCATGGAATGCTTTGTTAAAGTGCTTTAGCATGTAAATATGTTATTATATTGTTAACATTTTAACTTCAGACACAAACACATAAATATATCTGTTTCTACCATCTCTACTATGCAGTCCTTTCCCAAGAGGAGAACGAGCTGGGACGCTTCCTGCGCTCCCAGGGCTCGCAGGATAAAACCAGAGCTGGAAAGATCATGCAGGCCACGGGGAAGGCTCTCTGCTTCTCTTCCCAACAGAGGTAGGCAACATGCGGACAATTGTGAGTACATGAAAGGTGTGTAACACACATCCAGATCATTTACATACAAGTTCCAGCTGCACTAGATAAAGTAAAGGTCAGAAATGTTGGTAAACTATCACCCAAAAATATGGTGATGTTACTGAAAATATGGAGTGTTTTAATTGCCCAGCTGTGAACCCAGAGTTAGTTATGTTGGGAAACTTCAGCCCACAGGATTCGTATAATAACAAGATCAAAGCAGAAGACGTTTCCTCTACAGCAAAATGACACACAAAAAACAACGATTGTAATGATTTGATTGCTGAATTTGTGCCACACCCTGCTAACTGAAAACAATTAATCGAAACAACCACACCTAATGACTCATAATACTCAAGTGTAACATTTTCAGGGTCATACCCTTAAAATACAAATGTAAACAAATCTTATGTTTGTCAAGAGCATTGGTAGCTCTTATGTTCTGCTAGTGATTTGGTTTATCAAATGTAAATATAGTAAATATTACTACTTTTCCTTTGTTTAGAATGTACTTTGTGTCTTTACCAAGAGGGATAAACACCATTTGGTTTAACTGACTCTTCAAGGGGTCTATGATTGACTTTACTATTTAATTTTGCCAGACACCCCTGCTGGGGTTGGAAAAGCCTTTCCCCTTGTGGCTTCAAATGATTCAGCAGGCTTTATTATGAACAATAAAAGGTCAAAATTGAATTCAAGATTGTTGATGACATGAGATATGATCAACTACTCTAAGACCAAGGCTGTAATGAGAATGTTAAACTACTCACGTGCTTTAATTGAATACTTCATTTACACTCTACATCCTTCACAGATTGGCCCTGAGAAACCCTCTGTGCCGCTTGTACCAGGAGGTGGAAACGTTTCGCTATCGAGCGATCTCAGACACGTGGCTGACGGTGAACCGGATGGAGCAGTCCAGGACTGAATACCGCGGAGCGCTGCTTTGGATGAAGGACGTTTCACAGGAGCTGGATCCGGATACTAGTAAACAGATGGAGAAATTTCGCAAGGTTTGTCTTAGGACAGGAGGAAGAGTCAAAGGTCAGACAAATTGTCCTTTTTCACAGCAGACATTTTCATATTTTAAAATGGAAATCACAGATGTAACTAAGAAAATTGCGTTTCATGAAGATTTGCTTTTTCCAGTTTTCCAATGACGTTATCAACGTTGCTTTCCTACTATGACAAATCAATGTCTGATGTGAAAAACATTTATCTACCTGGGCAATCGCTCTTCAAGGTTTTTAGCCTCCACAGAGTCATGAAAACAGAAATTCAATTCAAGTTTATTTATATAGTCCAATATCACAAATCATATTTGTCTCAGAGGGCTTCACAAATCAACACACACAATGTAAAAGCAATGGAAAACAATGGAAAAACAACAAACATATCTTACAAGATAAATGTGAAAATACCAATGAAAAAGGTACATAACACAAATACAGTTAGAGTACAATAATTAAAATTCCATAACACCAAGTGATGTCAGAAACCTGCCAACACAGTGTGTGAGAGAAAGATAGCATATTCCGTCTGCTCCAACAAGCTATCTGCTGGAGGACTACCCATTTGTATCATTAATTAATCTGTTCATTATTTTTTCAATTAAATATTCGGTCTAAAAAATGTCAGGAAATATTGGAAAATATCAAAGCCTGAAGGAGACATCTTCGTATGTTGTATGCTTGATAAGTATTTCAAAGATCACCAGCTAACTGAGTAATTGACTAATCGTTTCAGCCATAATTTGCTGCAGTTCCTAAGGCCGCACAAACAGCACAAAGCAGGAAAAATAAAAGTTAAAAACAGCCACTAGAGGGCGGAACACACCATCCAATGCTGGCTATTGATCAATGCCACTGTATCAAGTACCCAGCATGCTCTTTTCTGCTGACACTTGCACAAAAGTCAACTCCACATTTTGTGTGTTCACAGTTTGACCCCGTGTGATACATAATACTGGGTTCTTATCTTCAGTTGGGAAATGTTCTTATCTGTTTTATCTCAGGTTCAGGCCCAGGTGCGCACTACAAAAACAAGCTTTGACAAATTGAAGACCGATGTCTGCCAGAAAGTGGACCTGCTGGGAGCCAGTCGCTGCAACCTCCTGTCTCACGTCTTAACCACATATCAGGTATACCACAAATCCCAGCTGTTTGCATACACTCCACTGATCTTGAATAGGGTGTTTTCAAAGACTGTGCCACATGCGGTTAAGCCAGGAAGGAAGACAAACATAAAGGGAACAAAGACACGGAGATGTAACTGTCAGACACAAGGATGTGAATCACTGTTTCCTCTGTTTTCAGACGACACTTTTGCACTTCTGGGAGAAGACATCCCACACTATGGCAGCCATTCATGAAAGCTTCAAGGGCTGTCAGCATTATGAGTTCTCCACTCTTAAGGTCAGAGAACGTCTTGACCTGAGCAGATAAGACCTACATTCAGACACTTAAGTTCTCAAGAATCAGCAACTAACCATGATCAGCGACTTTCTTTCAGACCTTACAAGGCCCCATGGACAAGATCGCTAAGAAAAAAGGGAAGAAGAGAATTAAAGCAGAGGCTGAAGATGGAAAGAAAGCAGAGCCCACAGACGACCAGTGAGTAATCTCATCCTGATCTTTCCTCATGCAGGTAGACCAAACATGTGCATAACGACAGGGACATCTGAGGATCTGTTTATCAACACTGAACCAGCCTGGAAATAGTATCTTACCCAACAGCTTCTTTCTGTATGGGTCAAATGCTATGAACTGATTTGATGTCATCTTTACAGACTCGTCTCATTAGAGAATGAAACCGGCGATAAGACCAGGGAAGGTAAAACACAATGCTACCAAATCTATGTAACTGCAATATGTTTTACAGTATTACATTATCTGGAAATAAACTGCAACTAACAATGATTTAACGATCAGTCTATAAAATGTAAAGCCCAATTTGATGCTTTAAAGTTGTTTGTTTTGTCTGACCAACAGACCAAAAAGATATCCAGTTAACTTTAATAGAGCAGTAATATAACAGTCAAATAATAACATTTGATCATTTAATACAGGTAACTTTTTTGACATTTCTACCTAAAAAAACAACTATTAACTATGAATTTGATGCCAATGAACTAATCAGCTCTTTCTCATTAAGACATATCAAGATAAATGTAACACCTATGCCCCCAATGTACCAATGAAAGCACAGCATAGTTTTGGGGGAAATGAGACACAAGTTAATGCAGCCAGTTAACAGAGAAATATTCTGTAACATCACCATATTGTTATTCGTTATTGCTTACTCTGTGTCTGATCATTACAGGGCATGGAGATAGTCTCTCTGCCTACTTAGAGTTCGAGGGAGAGGAGAAGGACAGCATGGCGTTGCTGAATGAGATCCTGGGCAGTACGTCTGTGGACGAGGGCGACTTCTCCAGAGAGTGGACCGAAGTGTTTGGAGACATGGAGGAGGGATCAGCATCAGGCCGAGCAGCCGAGGCTCAGCAGAAGGAAAACTCCTTCTTTCTACCTTCTCATTTATTGGACCAGAGCTTGAATAATCTGCAGTCTTCCCTCTCAGGTCAGAAATAATACTTTGTGTGCATTTGTGCTTGTGTGAGCCAGAGAAGAGGGACATGTTGGGCTTTTTAGATGTATCTGAATGACTTACATTTAAATTAGCCACCCTTATCCTAAATTAATTCTGAATTTATATATTACTGAAACTAAATAATAATCTATATTGTGTATCCATTAATGAGTGCATTTACCAAAATAGCTACTTATCCCATTGTAGCAAACTCTTTCCACAAATGGAAAAGAGTGGATTTAAACTGATGCATGTCACATCTGTCAATGTAATAGAATAAGGCTATAACAAACTGCCATATAGATTTGCTTAACTGTAGGTAATTCCCAACTACTTTCCATTTCCTGTGGGCCTGGGCAATGGCTGCTAGCACCTCATCTGGTTTTGTTAATTTGGTTGGAAGGGTTTTGAGTTGCCTCACTATGAAGGTGTGAAAAACCTACAGTATGTTTGTGTGTATCCCCTGGCTTTAGTATAACAGTCACCAAGGTAGTAGTTTAGAAAGTGTGTGACATTAAACTATAGTTCCTGCATGATTTAGAGTCAGTTTTGAAGACAGGCTTTTTCTAAGCAGGGAAAAAGCAGGTAGTGGTTGGGATCTGTAGCAGGCAAGATGGCAATGAGTTTTGAAAGAGAGGCTGAGAGCCCGGCTGGTCCACAAAGCACACTGAATGTAATAGTTGTTACAGATTGAAGTCCAAATTACAGACCCCAGGGAAGTCACAATTACAATATGAGGTCCCAGGAACTGTCAACAGAGTTCAATCAGAGCTGCGTGAATGTACAGAACTTGGAAAAAGTATAGATTGATTTTAAAGCACTGAATGAGCATAATGCTAATTCAAGCTGTAAACAGTTTGGCAGCAGTACACACAGGCAGGGCTGACAAAATAACTTTTGACAGCATGCAAGGCAAACATCAGGCGCAAGCTAAAAACTAATTTAACACTTACAAATCTGACTTCTCAAAACGTATCGTACACCTATTGATCAACATTCAAATGAAGTTTGCTGTTCTGGGTAAAAATGCAGGGAAGACTTTGTTCAAGAGGGCTTGTTCTTGAAAACTAAATGAGGGTTTTTGCTGTTATTAAAGATATTACAGAAATCATCACATGGGCCTGGCCTCCATTTGACCTAAAACATTAGAGCCCAAAACATGCAAATCCTTGAAAGAATCAGATTTTGAGCATACAGCCCAAACAGCAAGATCGAAAGAAAAATGGCTTCAGACCAAGAATGTGAAATAAACCACAACAAATCTTCAAGGAGGAAAATCCCCAAATATTCACATGAGTTATGAGACCAGTTAGAGGGGAGCTGCATTTACACATTAAAGCTTCAAAACTAAAACTATTAAACATTTCAGCAGGATTTCATATTTAAAAATGTTGGTGTTATTCACTCATAATTCCTGCTTCAACATAAGGTCTTGCTGAAAATGTCAATAAGAAGGGTACAGTGAAGGCAACAGTAGTAGAGGGTGCTGGAGCTGAACGTCTATATTGCACTAATACAAATATCTAAATTATTTATAATGTTATTTAGTCCTTTAAGCCTGTTTGACTCTTTTGTTTGTATTTGGCGCATTGTTTGTTACAAAACACACCAGCACATTCCAGCGCTCTCCCTGGGGGCCTTTAGTGTTGCTACATACTGTATTCTCTGGATCCACACAAGGATAAAAGACAAATAAATGTGCCTGAAACAAGACCTCAAAGTTGTAATTGCAACTTCTGGCATGTATCTATTAATCCCCTAATATGATTTTGCAGTGATAAATGTTTATAATATTTCTGTTTGTTGGTCTCTGACACGATATTCTTCCACATCAGCGAAGTGTGATGATTTATTTTGTGGATCATGCTTTGGCACGTTAAGCGATTAATCTAAAAATGTGCATCGTGTTCATTTCAGATCGGGCCGGGATCATTCCACAGCCCGTCGCCCAGGCAACGCAGCACTCATCTGGAGCCAATCAGGACTCTTCTAAGGCAGCAGTGAAAGGTAGGGCCGAGCCAAATGAATAAAACAGAGGAAAGAAAAGATGAATTCAAAGAGACGTATTCAACTGGAAGCTGTGATTATGGGGACTTTCAGAGAGTTTGTGGTTTTTTGTATTCATGGTTTCGTATATTAGCCAGACGCAGTATTTAAAGGCAGGGGTTATTATTTATCTTTCTTAGCCAAGGACTGCTTACAAGATAAAGAATAACTGGTAACTTTCTCATTAATGTCCCTTGGAATAATTGTATGCAACCTATTCTTTACTGTAGTCTTAGTTATGTGAAATAACTATTTTTAGAATGAAAATAAATTTGAATTAGTTTTAGATTTTAAAAATATACATATTTATCGAATGATAAATTCTCTTTGTATTAAAAAAAGTATACATTGTAAGTCAAGGGAATGACCCTCACTGGTGTTGATATTTTCAGATGTGTGTGTGTGTGTGTGTGACAGTTACCCCTTCTTTACTCGCTTCACAGACAAAGCAGGGACGTCAGCAGACCTCTCAGCGTGGTTCAACCTGTTCGCCGACTTGGACCCGCTCTCAAATCCAGATGCTGTTGGCAAAACTGACCTGGAGCACGAACTTCACAACGCGTAGTTATACGACCAACACATGGTGATCTGAAATGGGTTCCTTTGTTGGTTGGTACAGCAGAATATCACTTTCACACAACCAGTGAAAAATCTGTCGAAACACACACACACAAAATGGTCTTCTCTTGAGGCATCAAGTAGACATTCTGCCAATCATGAAGTCAATTAACTCACCTCAAACTCATACCCAAATATTTGTGGCGATTTACGAAATATAGAAGCAAACTTAATATCTTTGGGTTTGGACAGTTGGCTAGAACACAATATAACAACCAGTGGAATGGGTATTTTCACTAAATCCAAAAAGTTAAATCTTAGAATTAAAAATAAATCACTACCTTTTTGTTAAACCACACACTAATGGTCCCTTATTATAATGATTGCTTCTTTATAAAAACATAAAGGCAGGTACAAGCTTTCACAAAATGCCATATCATTACAGTATCTTATTATAACGACATGTATTTTGTTATAACGGGAGACATGTCATAACAAGTCATTGATCAGATTGTTTCTCTTGGTGGCAGTATTCTGCAAAGTGTTCAACTAACAACTAGCAGCTGTAGTTCTTCCCATTGTGAAGAAAAGAAAGATTTACAAGCTGACCTTTTAGGCCGTTTGCCTCTTCTGCTTTGGTTCAAAATAAAGGTTTATCATCGATACCTCAGTATGAGATCTGAAACAAGAAGCCTTCTACATTTGCTGCCTTGACATCTGTAGTCTCTAGTATCATTCTCCACAAGTCCAGGTGTTAACGAAATGCTGCAACATAGTGAGAAAAGTTAGTGCAGTCAAGAAGAAATATTCAAAAATAAACTGATACATCATTTATTCTGCCAGCCATCATCCTCCACTGAGAATTATTTGCAACTATTTCACGAAGCACTTAAACAGGTGGACTAAGAGCCAATGTTTCCTAGAGATGTATTATTTTTGAAATGTGTTTGCTACATACTGTCTTTGTTAAGCTTTGTTGAAGATATTGCAGAATATATAAACATATCATTCATGTTTTAGTGCATGTTGCATGTTTTATGTTCTTCAGTAAGTGTCATTGAATGGATAATGCGTGTTATTGTGAGACTTTTCATCCATTTATTTAACTCACTTGCTTCGCTCGCATTAAAAAAAAGAGGCAATTTTCAGTGGATCATTTTCAGAGCCAACGTAGACAGCAAGTTGGATAATCATGAAAATACAATCAAGTTGTTCTGATTCACATTACAATGCTGCATACATTATATGTCAGGTTAAGAGTCTTAATCTGATAACAAATAAACAATATAGAACCTCATCATTATTATAATTGGATTCCTTAGGTATATTATATTTATTTTGGGTGCAACTATGATGTTATAAGCCATGTGACATGTGTTAATATTGAATATAAACCAAATACATTGATTGCCTTACCTTGACTCCTACTTGTACTTAAATGCCATGCTTCGAAATACTGATTCTAATTGTTGATGTGTCTGTCTGTCTAAGGCCTTCAAAAAGATGACATATCAATGCAAAAAGAGACTTTTTTTTGGTTTTCTTTATTGAAAAACACACGATCTACATAAAAATGCATTGTACACAAGAGAACGGAGTCATCGTTGCCAAACATGGCAACCATTTCAACTGCACTGCACAATGAGCGTGTGAATCAAATCAGAAATAGTATGAGTGAAACTCTTCAAGCTGCAAGCAGAGGAGAGGATTTCAACGTACTTTGTGTGGAACGTGTTGCATTCTGTTCAAATGTGTGTTTTGGTGAGCGAAGGGCCGACGTTTTGGAATGAAACATTTACAATTGTATCACTCCCATTCAAGTTCACCTGGTCTAAAATAGTCGTGCTATTTTAAATAGTTGAGCATGGGCTGGTGATAAAGCTTAAGGTAACGTAAGGGCACATCTGGCTGGATCCGTATCTTGAGTCAAACTGTTACACAACAATTGTAAGTGTAGCTTTAGTACAAACAAAAATCAATTGCACACTAAAGGTCTGATTGTTTTAACTTATAAAATAGTCTTAAATAAAAAATAGTGATTATCATTTCACTTCCAAGTAAGTGCTAAGGCTTCAATGATTATCGCGTTTGTTTAAAACACTTTGAACCAGTGTTTATATGTAGCTAAAATGTTTGTACTGTAAACAAAACAAAATGCACAAACATTCTGCTTCTGGCAGACATTGTGCCTGTTGTGTCCCAAAGCCAAGACATGCCGGTCTTGGCTTTGCAATTTGCTTTGGTACTTATTTAACTAAGGGGATAATCAGATGACATAACTGTCACCTTCTCAGTTTGGGAGGGTGTAGCTTATGCAGCTAGCTCTGCTAACTCAAGTCCTCACGGTTGACCTATGCAACAGCGTCTCTGGAATGTGTCGTAGCACCTAAAACTCTAACCTGAACAAGATAATGCAAAAGTCCTTGGTGTGACACCAATTGGTCGATTCAGTCTCTAATTATCTCCCCCTCCAGTGAAAACAAAACACTCAACATTTCTGGAAAAAGACTGGAATGTCTTCAGAAGGTCATACACACCGGGGAAAGGCAACATAGTCCAAGCAAATACATTCCACATGACCCGAGTTATTATTTTGTGTAGTGTGGGGCAATAAAACAAGGCAATGGGGTGGTTGTGTGCTTTGTGATTGGTTATTTGGTCAGTGAGAAACGGCTGATATTTTGTGTTGAGCTCATTAATAGTGAGCAGACCAGAGAAGCAGATCTCGGCCTGTCGGCCTGCTGGGTGCAACGCTGAAGCAACTGCTGCTTTCACTAAGACATTGTGCTACAATACTTTAACATAAACAAACATGTCTTAACAAGTGCAAACATTGTAGTTAATGTGGGGCGATGTACTCTGACTGCAAGGCATCCTGATATACTAAAAACATGAATCGTGCATTACCCACCCTGTCAAAAAGCTCACATATATATGTGCTTAAGATTATCTTGCTAGCTAACAGTAGTAGAATTCCTCTGATACTTCATAGCGGTCTGTTGTGATTGTTGAACATTTTTCTTTTTTTTGTAATTTAGTCTTAAAATATTGTCATCGGTCACAATTATTATAGCAGTAGTATGTTGTTTTGCAAGGAAGGCGTAGCTGTTTTTGTTATGGGTGTTTTGTCACAGTACAGAGCAGAAGGCTAGGTTAGTGATGGGTGAAAGGAGGCGGGGCCAAGGTCAGAACACTCCTCACAACGACCAAACCACCGAGCCTGTGCAGCAGGATGCCGGTACCGTTATCCCACTTGGTGTTTGTCCTTTCTCGACCTGGACACTCCCTGCTGGCTAACGTTAATATAAGTGCAAGGTTTTTTTTTGTTTTTAGTTTTTGATCCATGCCACCTAACTATAGCAAGTGGTTTGGTTAGAGATACCTGAGAACTAGCTGGTGAGGACAAGCTGTGCTGAGCCATCTGCCCCTGCCTCTGCGTCGGGGCTCTGGCTCTCTGGGCCTGTGCTCGGGGCGCTGCTCCAGTCAGCCGAGGCCGCAAAGGTAGCTAGTGGTGCGCAGGGCAGAGCTGGGGTCACCTGAGGCCCTGGGCTGTCGTTGCCATGGAGACTGGGGGTGGCGGAGGAGTAGGACGAGGGAGAGACGGGGGAGAAGAGGGAGGTGCAGAGGAGTTTGACAGGGCAGAAGGCAGACCCCCTGGGAATGAAGTTCACCTTGTTTTTGTCGGGGCACGAGAAGAGAGGGAAGCCTTTTGATTTGCCAGACCTAAAGACAAGAGCGTTTGGATTCAATACACCTGCCCTGATCCCTGCCACCCACAATGCTAATGGGCTAGTACAGTAAACTGCTCTCTTCTTTTGTTTGTCTTCCACACAGGGTGCATTCAAAAACACATACAGATTGTAAAATGAAAAACAAGAAAAAATACTTACACCATCTCCTCGAACACTTTGATCTTCTCACAGCCCTCTGGAGGTTCCCGTTTGAACATGTAGCTGTTGTTAGGTTTGGGAGATGTGGCAAATTTGGGGAGAGGAGAACTGCACAGGCCGTCTGGAAATAAAGTAAAGAATACAACGTAAAAAAAGGGATAATAAACTGATCAATCTTGCAGCTGCAATCAGACTCACTCACTAGTTTAGTAACGGACGTTGTCTGGTTGCCGTTGTGTTTCTCTATATTTGCGTTTGCTGTGTCAGCCATATCTGTAGCTTCCTCTTGAATGCGCGATTACGATTTGGCATCCTGTCACTACGTTTTTACATGTTGGAGCTAAGAATAAATAACTGTCAAAATGATGATTCTTTTTTCGGGTGGAGATGTATTGTGTTTGTTTAATACCAAAGAACAGTCTAAGTAACTCTCTGTAAGTCGTCACTTTTAGATGCATGTCAGTATCAAAAGATACATAAGCAATAAAAAACTAAAAACTAAAACAAGTGCAAGTTAGCTCTGCATAGCCCAACAAAATATATGTATTGCTTATACTGTATGTCTTTAAAGAGCACTGCCTTGATTAAATAGCACTCTGATAACATTGTCAGAGTCATGTTTGACAGTAAAACAAACAAGGTTGCACACTTCCCACGACATTGAAATAGACTTTGTTGTGTAAACTAGTTCCCCTCTAAAGCTGCATGCAGGGCCGGCCCGGACCAATTTGCTGCTAGGCAAGATTTTACAAATCACTCCCCTTTCAAACTGTATTCTTGTTTATTAATAACAACCTTTTTTTACTGTCATCAAGTATTTTATACCTGTTTTTCATTTATTCTCTTATTTTTTTATAACTATAATGATCATATAAAGGTGTGCCTTTACCTCACTGAGCTGAGGTTATCAGAGCCTCTCGGTCTTTCAGGAGAGAGCTCTCTAAAGCTCTCCCCCCCCCCGCGGCCGCTTACACAGTAGATTCCAATGTTAATAAAAGCACACAGAAGCTGTATATGTTTTTTGGGAGTTTGATTTATTTTAAATGAACACAAATACAAAATTAAAACCTATAATTGCACACTAAAACCATTATTTCAAAAAAAGAACTATTTCACATGAACCTCTGGTTTTTACTGGGGCTAGGGCAGTTCAACTTGATTGGGGGGGTGGGGGTGCGCCATAGTTTATGGGCGCTGTACGCAATATAGGCGTAGTTCTGTTAGTATAAGATAATAAGATGTACTTTGTTGATCCAAAATCGGGAAATTGTGTTAAAAAAAAAGAAGTTTTTTTAAAATGTCTAACTTTTTCTTCGGCACCCCCGATGGGTTGAAGCGACCTTGATTTGCCTATACTGCCTATGCCAAGGGCCGGCCCTGGCTGCATGTATGAAACAAAAAGGCCCACCTTTGTCCATTTCCTCTGCAGAGCAGGGGCTTCCATCAGGAGAGTGGGCCTGGTCGGAGCTGCAGGGGCGGGGCGAGGGGCTCGAGTCCCCGCTTGAAGGGGCCTGAGTGTCCGTGTCACGTGTGTCCCCGCTGCTGCTGTAGTGATGCAGAGGGAAGGGGGCGCGGCGGCCATCTACCACATCCATGGCCTGTGAGGTCAGAGTACAGGTGGTCAGAGCAGGTGGTGAGAGGTCACATGTGAGCATGCATTGATCCTAACATGTCAGAGTGACAGTACTTAGCGATTAGAGAGAACAGTAACTCAGAGTCAGACTCAATCAGCTTCAACAGGCAACGTGTCCTTGAAAACTGTTTAAGCGTTCCTGTGCAATTCCTGCTCAGTCACTGGATGATGTCAGTCTGGGTTAAGAGCGTCAGCTATAATGTCTGGAACTAAAAAGCCTATAGTGTGTTTGTCTGTTTGTTTAAAGGGTCAATGGAGAAGCAAACACGACAGCAGATGGTTGTTCTTGACAGTAATTGAACAGTGTGATGTGCAGAGTTCTGCTTCGGCAAAATGCTCTCAAATGGTAGAGCAGGAAAGACAAATGGCTTGGTGCACAGCAGGCTGTAAATCTGTGCTGGTGTGTTATTTAAACTGTTTGTGTGCGCGCGTGTCTGTGCCTTTCTAAGAGGGGAGTTTTACAGACCTGCCAAGGTTCACTACCCCACATCAGACAGGATTTACGGATGCACATTGCCGGACTTTACAGGACTGCCTTTACGTGCAATAGCTTTTAAGCATCGACTAAAAGAGCTATTTTTGACCATGAGCATATTCATGTATACAAGAGTTATGTTTGCCTGGTTTTGAGAGAAACTCTTTCTCTCAGGTTTCTTAAGTCATTACAATTGAAATAAAAAGCCTGTTCCAGTGTTTTAAAAAAAAACCATTACTAACATAATCAAATATTTTACAGATTCAGAGAGTTTCAATGACTGTTGACCGACGTAAAGAGCATCAATTGACGCCTGCAGGACATTAGACGCACTATAGAGAGAAATAAAAGGGACAAAAGCCATGTGTTGATCCAGGCAGATAATTTGATGACAATGATGCTTTACTGGAGAGATACACACCCCTCAATGTGACCTCTAAACTAAGATAAATAGAAATAAAAAACTTAAATTAGTAATTTTCTTTTGTGTTACATTATGTGTCAATTTCCTTACTGGTCGGCCTGATAAGGACAGATAAACTGTGTAGGCCATATTTGTAGCCGATTTTAATTAGGCTGCATTGATTCTATTTCATTATTACATGTTACTTGTTAGACGCTTTTATCCAAAGCGACTTACAAACTCTATACTGTGGGCAATCCCCACAGGAGCAATTTGGGGTAAAGTGTCTTTCCCAGGGACACAACGACATGCTGACTGCAGCGGGATTTGAACCTGTGACCCCCTGATCTGAACACCAACGCACTGTGCCACACGCCCCCCACATTTGCAGCTATTATGCTGTTCTATTCACAGACACAGAAATACTTTTGCTGTCCGACATTCCTACTCAGAATTCCAACTATGAAGCTGCCTTAAACAAGTTTCCCCAACGTGGCTGCTCTTTTCTAAAGTCTGTATGATGTCCCATGAATCTGAGACTCAACCCAACTGAGACCAAAGATAAGTTAAGACTTAGCTTGAAATAGAAACATTGGCTAGTGTCAAGTGAGGTGTGTAGTGAGTTGTAAAAACTAATCTCACACATTTGTAGTTCAATAAGCACTTTGAATACAGTTCAAAATCAGCTGGAGCCAGCGTTTCTGCCAGGGGGGCATCTTGCCATCATTTGACTGTGCCCTGTGTGTGTGTGTGTGTGTGTGTGTGTGTGTGTGTGTGTGTGTGTGTGTGTGTGTGTGTGTGTGTGTGTGTGTGTGTGTGTGTGTGTGTGTGTGTGTGTGTGTGTGTGTGTGTGTGTGTGTGTGTGTGTGTGTGTGTGTGTGTGTGTGTGTGTGTGTGTGTACACATCCCTACCTGTATGCCCTGCTCCCAGTCCTCTCTGATGAACACATTCTCCAGCTCGTGGCTGATGCCCTCCACACTGCTCGGCACCCTGCATATGAGGGACTTTGGCACAGGGATTGTTGACAGGGCTGATGACGTTCCTTTATACTGGGAAGACACAAACATATGAAATATTAGGATATAAATGAATAACCTTGAAAATAGAACAATTATCTTTGGTCACAACTTCTCACTTAGATGGAAAATGACAAAACAAAAGAATCCTCTCAGTTCAAATAGATTGTTCAATGATATGTATTAAACGGCATGTGTGTTTCACTTTGGCTCGGTGACACCAATGTCAGCTTGTGGTGTTTAAGTGTTGCTGATCTCATTTATGAGACATTCACCGGATGGAGCCGTTCAGTTTGAAATGGATTAAATATTATATGAAATAAATACATTGTTGTAATCTACCACATGTGGGTATATGAGGCATAGCATATCACTACTTTTCCCACAGAGGTTGATTTGTCCTGTTGCTGGGCTTCTGTTAATAAATGAAGTGCAAACAAGCTGAAGACAGGACATGCCCGGACACATTCCCTCTCCTCTCATTAACAAAACCTCCTCAGTCATACACAGTGCAGAATACAACATCACAGACTGGTGTTTTGATCCAATACAGACTATACACAAGTCAAAAATACCTACACCTTTTCTCAAATAGGGACTACTTAGTTATAGCATGCTGATTATCTTAAGCTTTATATACTAAACTTAAACTAATGCAGTAAATAGAAAATGTGCTTTACATTTAATTCCATTAAACGTGTAATGTGAGAGGCATCTTTCTTAACCCTGGTATGTTAATATGTATTTATCTTATCCTTAGTAGCTGAGATATGGTTTGGTCTCCATCTGTTTCATTTGTATGTTTACCTTATCACATATCAGCTGTCAGGGCTTACCTTGGATCACCAAAGTCAGGGTTAGATGATGTTCTCATCTGAAAAGAGCATGCCAGTGACTGTGTGTGACCTGGTATGAATAGCTCACCTGTGATGGGCAGGCAGTGCCATGCTGCGCCTGCTGCTGCAGCTGCAGAGAGCTCTGCTCCCGGTCTTTGCTCTGACAGCTTACCTTCTTGCTGCGCTGCAACTGCAGTCTCAGTTTAGCAATCTGCTGAAGGACAAGTAAGATCACGTCAGAAAATTACAGATCACACCTGTCCTGTCAAGGTAATAGTTCAGTAACCAGGGGAATTAGAACCTTTCCCAACAGAGAAGTAAATGAAAGCAGAAGGTGGTAAGTACATTTGCTTCCATTTTGGGTCGAAAACAACTGTTATTTTCCTAATTAATCAACAATTGAAAAGAGTCACAATTAACTAAAGGCCAAAGCTATCAGTTTAATTAATAATATACAAATAAACTACAATTTTAAGACAAGAAAGATCAAATAAACTTGCAAATCCTCACATTTGAGAAGCTGGAACTATCAGAAGTTGCATTTATACGTTTTATCAGTTATCAAAATAGTTGCTGATTAACTGTCCGTCAGTAAACTGATGTATTAATGGACCAAAAGCAGCTCTAATCCCATGTGTTGGCCTAAACATTGTTTTATTGAGGTTCCTCCTTTTTGCAGCATTTCTGGTGATGCAAGAACTTAGGTCAATGGGTGCTTCTGGCCCAGGGTCTGCCTCAAAACAGGATACCCTTTGTGAGCCTAACAGACGCAGTTGTACTATGCAGACAAAGGTGTGGTCCTCAATGCTGATCTTGTAATCCTGGCAACACAGTCAACAAAGAGACTTGCTCTTTTCACAGACGTCCTCCCACACATGTGATCGCAGAGGTTCAAGAGCTAGGAGACAGTTCACTACATTCATTGAGTGACCGCAAGTCCAGGCAATCCCCATGTCATCTCAGAGGAAGAGAGAGAGCTTTTCCTGGCTGTGCTACGCTATTGATCGTACTTGGCCAAGTCCCTGGGATCGTCTTTACATTTCTCTAGCTGGCCTAGTTTTAGTGTATGACGACATTTATGCTTTATTCATTCTGAAGTTAACAGTGAGATTTGATGAGATCATTTGTGAGTCCATAGCCAGGGAATAGGGTTTGACTTCTTATGTAGCTGGATCTATCCATGTGTCTCTTTCTGTCTTGTGTAAACAGAATTCAGAATTGATTCACAGTAATGCCTTGACACTTACATTTTTCATCTTAGCAATGCAATAGTAATGCAAGTAACATCCTATTTTTGAGTTGAAGATGCCTCATCCAGATCTGTAACTTAACACACAGACAACGGTAACGGTTGCCTGGCCAGGTGACAAACAAAGTGAAGGGAAAGTCTGTTCCATTAAAAGCACATTTCAGACTATCATACTTGTGTTTAATAAACAATTAACGAACTTCCACATCTTGGTCATAAAGCTATTTAATGAAGGAAGTCCTGTGGGCTGATCTTTAGATTTACGTCGATTTTTAAATGTGTTTTTTAAAGTTCTGGTCAATACTAAAAAACTAAGACATCTGATCAACCGTGAATATTTTAGAACTAAATATTGATCACTAAGAGATTAGAAAACAGTAAAATAGCATAGTGTTGCACAGTGATGTGTAAGGCTTTAAAGTAACATGAGTTCCCATGACGAAGTTCCCTCACTGTAAGTTAATGCAGGAACCATATGGCACTCGAGAGGAGTTCCTACACTGTCGCTCAAAAACGAGCGGCCATAATGAGATGCAAGAGTTTCAGTTGAATGGGAAGCGGAGGGGAGAAGGAGGTTACATTTAGACTGTGGCCTGGACAGAGACCTAATAGCTCCATGTGGTCGGGCTGGTTGGCCACTAAGCCATGCAGAGAGACAGGAGTGGAAAACCAAGCTTAAGGAGAATCATATTTAGGCTGACCTCAGACACTGACAAATAAAACACATTTTGAATAAATGGAATGAACCACAAAAATGACAAAAACATGCTCTTTGAACTGAGTGTTTGGAGCAAGTGTGCTCTAGCTTAGTGTCAGACGGTTTGCTAACACTACTCCACTGTGTAAATCCTCCATCTGTGGGGCTGTTGTCAGGAGCAGCTGTGACTTTGGATGAAGCAAGGTTAAGGCTGGTGAATCTACCTCTTTGAGGTGGTCCGCGCTGCCCCAGGAGGCTGACCGCTGGTGAGGACTTCCCTGTTCTGCTCCCTCATCAATCCACAGACCCGGAGTCTGAAACACATAAATACACATAGTCACAAAACCGCATGAAACACAACTCAATTTCATTTCCTCCAACACAGACACAGCTCTTCTGATACATGCTCCACGTGAACTGTAGGACTCTGTGGCCACCAAGAAGCATATCTTATGTTGCACATGCTCACAAAGATAAGTATCTCCTTGAAAGGCTAGGATTAACTAACCTGCAGTTTCTGAGATGCGTTTGCATGGCAGGGTGGCCTAATGTTTACAGAGATCAGAAAACAAAAGGTCACAATGGAGTCCTTGTTGAGTCTTGGTGCATGTGCCCATTACAAATGTTGTGGTATGAAATGTCTTTATATGTACATGGTTGCCATGAATGTGTTTGCACAATGAAATACAGTTAGGATCAGTGATATATACACACACACACTAGTTTTTAGCTATTTCAATTCAGATATACTTAAAGTAAACAAAAACTTAAGACACGTAAGACACTAAAAGACCTTTCTAAAAATACTGAGAAAGGTGTCGATACACCAATAAGATGACCTCACTGTGTGCCTCAGGGTGTGAGCATCCACCAAATTCCTTAAACCATTTGGCTAAACAGTTGAGAAAGATGTGGTTGAAAGCAGAAAGGAGTGCCGTGTGCTCAAAGTGAAACTGGAGTGTGGAAACAATGACATTGAGGAAAACAGTCATGAGATACTCTCCCTCGGGAAATAACTCAATCAAACAGGAAAAACAAAAGTCATAGCATTTTTGATTGCTTCCATTAGTAAGCCTGGTAAAGAGAAATACATCAGGGTCTGCATATAAAAACAATGTCTTTATGTAAGGACTAAACCAAGAAACCCAGGTTAACCTTGTTACAAGGACTTCACTATTAGCTGCTGCTGGTCTCCAACTTTTCACCTTAAAGAGCAACTTGCAGGTTAGAGACACCAGTGAATAAATGTGTAGGAAAATTATGAATACACTAGATTTTCAAAAAAATATACAGAAATATAGACTACAGTGACACCTGGCGTCGTTTTAGTAAGACATTTTCACTTCCGCATAAAAAAGCCTCAGCACGTGACTTCCCGCGTGTGACGTAACATGGGGGAGAGCGGCCGGTCTAACGTATGAATAAACATGGATCACAATGCTAGTTTTGACACAGAAGAGGCTGAAAATATATATTCGAATGCATATGATTATAATGATGAGCCTGCTATGCGTCCAAGAGACCAGGAGCAGCCAAGGATTAGAAAAAATAACGGCCATCGGAGAGAAATAGAGCTTTGGTGTGTGGAGAACCAGTGGATAACAGGGCAGCTGTCTTGGTGAGTGACCGGCGTTAGCTACAGTTAATGTTAGCTAACGTCAGTCACATCAAAACATTGTAAAGTTAGCAATCCTATATCAGGCTATAACTAAAGTAGTATTGATAATATAGTAACGTTACTGGCAGGACTGTTGATACTGATCCATAACAGAAACTAATAAGCAAGTATCAGCCGTATCCCGCGTTACCTAATGCAACTCCACACTACGGTGCTGTGTACCGGAGGGGAGACGCGAGATACGGCTGATACTTGACGATCTGGCGGAGAAAGGTTGTGGAGCCTCCGTTGATGCTTGATGGAAAGCAGGTGTGTAGTCGGGGAGGGTGCACAGCTGATTGCAGCAGGTGAGAGGAGGTTGAGCCGGGAGCCAGGAGTGACAGCCACCACGCCCACACAAACAACACAGACCGGGGGAAACAAACACAAAGGAGACGGCTGGAGCAGTACAGCCACCACAGCGTTACCTAATGCAACTCCACACTACGTCTTTACGGTGCCGTGTACCGGAGGGGAGAGAGAGAGAGCAGCGAAGGGGGGGAGAGAGATGTAATTCTTTCACACACAGTGACGTCACGAGCTACCCACATTGCAACACGCGCCATATATATATATATATATATATATATATATATATATATATATAAATACGCCATTTTCATGGAGGTGCAAATATCCTGGAAGTGCAAATATAAACAGCTAGCTAACGTAGCCAGGCAGAGCGCACTAGGTTTTTTTTCTGAATTAACGACCGAAGAAATCGCTGCATGTCTTCGGATTACATCTCTGGACTTGAGGGGTGTGCTCTAGGTCGTTACCAGCGTAAACTAGAGCTGTGTGGGTTGTCGGATTGCCCTTACAGACTGCCTGCAGATGTATGGAAAAACGACCCTTGAAAGTGGACTTCGTCGATGTTGGCTGCATCTACGTCTAATTTCTAGAAACACCAGGTGAATACCCCACTTGTCACAATAATATTATCATGCCAATGCATATATGTGGTATTTTAGAGTTGACTAGATATTGATTAAGGCAATAGATTATGATATTCAGTACAGGAAGCTTAGCAACACCTAGACGGTGTACGGCTGCCTGCTTGCACCTCGCGTAAAACGGCGGATACCGGAAGTACGGTGTCGCCCTCGGCCCAATACCCGTATGTGTGTGTGAAAGAATACGGTTTCCTGATAAAGCTGTGGAGAGTATGTGCTGCAGCGAGGTGGATGCACAACGCACCCAGGAACGAACGCTAGCTCCGGTCCTTTTCCCGTGAGGGAAACTGTAGACTCGATGTCCTGACAGGCTCGAGTTTGTGCAACCTGCACAAACACAAGCTCACCATGATTACAAATGGTGAAATGCAATGTAAAATTACAGAAAAAATACCAGCTCACTAAATCACAACCGCTCAAATCAACTACAAACTACTACCACGGATTGGGCAGAGAACGAGTCCGAGAAAGTTGCTCCCCCATGTGACGTAATATGACGCGTTTGACGTATGACGTTAAAAAAAAGCAGTTTTTAGTAGCAGAGCTCAAAACGGCTCCTTTTCCTCTGAATTCCTGCTCTTATGTCTTGTAAAACATATCAAATCCTGCATTAACATTTTTAATTGTAATTTTCAGGCAAGGTTAAGCATAAATGTAGTAAAAAAAAAAACCTGCAAATTGCTCTTTAAGTAAGTCTATAAATAAGTTTGAACTATTTAGCCTATACACACACACAACTCTGATTTGGCAGATTATGTACAGCACAATGCTAGGTTTAGCCTAAATCAACAAGTCTACAGAGACATTTTGTGTCATCACCAATGAAAAGAACATCTGATATACAAACCATTCCCTTTCAGAGAACATACAGGCAGTTCTCTCTCACTGTCTTTTAGACCTCTTCTGCATAAACAAGGAAACAGTTAAGTTATGTAAATATATGCAAAAACAGAAACAGACTGAGAATGCTTCATAGCCTGAAACCACATATTTCCCCTGATTATGCATATCAACAGTTCCTCAAACATCTGACGTTTTATAGTCAGCACAGCCTACGAAACATCTTAAATGTCAGTGTCTTCACACTGCCTTATGTCTGACCCGACACCAACAGAAAAACCTCTATGACTCTCCAACTAAGGCACAAACCTTGCCCTATCACACTGTGAATAATGAGGAACACCCGCGTGAAGCCGTTAGCGCTGGATAGCTTGCGCTGGTTGCCCAGAAAAGGACAGCGGATGAAATGGGGGCTTGTGCTCTCATAAAGAGCCCACTGTGCCTGGCCACGCTGTATGGCAGATGTGTAGCTAGCCTTTAGCATTAACATTTTGAGCATGGCCTATGCAGTGGCTTGTGCTGTTTGATGCCTCTGCCAGGCATTGACGGAGTGGATGCTGCAGCTTAGTCTGTTCATTCAGAATGCAGAATGCTGCAAAAGGGCAGACGGGCTTTGTGGAGCTGTGGACTTTGCTGTTGAGGAAAAACTAAGTTCTCACAGATGTTCAATGACGTCAAATAGGGAATGCAACTTGCTACTTGTAACTCAATGAAATGTGAGACGCTTTCAATATGGCAGTAAACGAGGGCTGCAAAAATACTGGTAATAATAAAAAACATAGAATCAAAAGAAAAAAGGGCTCAAGGTAGTTATTCACAAGTGGAATGTTTCTTCACCTCCGAAAGATGCTGTTTTTCAACTTCATAAGCCCTAAATCAAATAAATCCTTTCATTTCATTTCAAACCTTTATTTACCCAGGTGTATCCCATTGAGATCATTGATCTCTTTTTCAAGGGAGACCTGCTCAAGTAGGTTCCACATGAAACATAAAAACATAAACAGAACAACAAAAAGGACATCTTACATCTTATCATTTTTAACTTAACATATCGCAATGATGTGTGCTTAGTGTTAGTGGTGACCGCAGCTTTTAGAGCAAACAACTTAACAGCTAATGAGAACAAAGGAGGTGAGAATAATCCCTGCAACTAGTTCCCTGGTTGTTAAATCAATTCCAAACACTTATTGTTTTAGACATAACATTTTACATTTTATACATGAATCCTTGCTTTTGTTTCAAGTCTTCAGAAAGCTAATGCATGCCGAGATGTCTCGGGCCATAGGTGTCAATATAAGGGCAACACCTTTCTTTATAGTGGATATTTCACTTTGCAATAAATGACTTATTTCCACCCAGATATAGAGAGTAAAACAAGACGGTTCAAATACTGCAGGTTATCTTAATTGACGCTCTTCTTCCCACACAAATGCTCGGTTAACAAGAACACCCACCTCTATTTTCCTCAGGGGCCTTTTAATCAACTAGCTCTTTAACTTCCGTCCCGAGATGTGTGCTGTGTAGACGTATGCACCAGGTGTTGTTCCTGATAAGGCACTCCCCTGCAGATACAACTGTTACCGTAGCCTGCAGCTTGCTTCCCATTAGGATTCCTCCTCAAAGGGTTACATGCAGGCAACATCCTCAAGAATCCAGTTCTGTTCCAAAGCAGGAAATAATGACTGGGCTACATCAGAATGACGGTGGAATTTGTGCTAGATTAGCTTAGAATGCATGCCGGGACATGAGAGCAGCCACTGCTATTATTTGATGGTGTTCAGAGGCCAAATGGGGTCTGGTGTCGTTCCATTAGGAGGAGGATTAGCTGGTCACTTTTTAATTAGCAAAAGGGGAATGACAAAACACCTGCATATATTTGAGCAACTTAGCAAGTTGACAGGAAAATGCTGAAAACATCGTAGTACTTGTTTTCCTACTTGCAGTAAGATGCTTTCTGGCTCTATTCAATCAACATGTGTGTATTCGACTAAGGTATAGTATAACGTTATCATGATGTGTTAATGTTTAATTTATTCACGTTGACAGTAATTAGAAAGAGATTTTTTCAAAAGCAATATATAATACATTTTTGAGAGGGACCTGTAAAACCTGCATTTGTGGCCACATGTGTTTGGCTCCAAAGTCCATAGCAGACATCTTCTCCTTTGATATTCCAGTCCTATAAAAGAGACTGCTAAAGCAGATTTCCATTGGCGTGAAAAACTGTTTGTCTTTTTGTTTGGTTTTTCAGATTACAAATGAAGATAAATAATTTCCTCTCACGCATTTTCAGAACTCAAAATGCCTCTCTGTGGTCAGCTTGCCATCACCTGTAGTCTTTGTGTTGTGTTTCAAGTGCAATCTTTAACAAAAACTGCAAGGACAGGCAAACTATTTGATCAGTCTGCCTTTGTCGGTTCTAGTTCTTTGAGGTCTGCGTGGTTTGTCAGGGCCCTAATCTTCATACAGACATTCTCTGTGTTCTGAAACCACAGGGCCTAGGGCACACAGGCCTAGCCCGGAACAGTGATTAGCATATGTATGGGCCCTCTGCTCCTCAACTCCCACACAAAAGGCAGGCGAGCCGTGCAGCCACGAGGGCCAGGTGGTAAGCAGTGGGATTTCTCCTCGACTCAGGCGTGGCCTGGGGGACAGGTGCAAACAACTTCACCTCCATGCAAGGCTACATAACGGCTCAAAGGAGAGGCTGTCTTCAACTTGAGCAATGACCAACAAAAGAGGCCAGGGACCTTTTGTGTGCTGCTCTCTGCTGCTGCTGTCGTCGTCTTATAGAAAGAGTTTTGCCCAGGCATAGCTTTCTAACAGGAAGTGGTCTCTCACTATCCTTGAGGGAGTTTAATCGCACAAGGATTGTCAAGTGTGTCACACTCCCCCACATCATTACACATGGCTAAATGTTTTCACATCTCATATTTCCACAGCTCTGACAGATATAAATCTCTTAAACGTTGTTTTCGTTCATGTCCACCTTCAATCAGGTATTTGCTGATAAGGCTGGAAAAATATGGTCAAATGTGGCGAAAAAAGGATCTACAAAATCACTGGCCAAATGTTTATTCTGCAATAACCTTTTTCAAGGCCTGATAATTATGGAATAGATTCTCCATACTTGTCCTGTCTTTGCAGTACTGCACAGGAACCCTGTAATAAGAGGTCTTTACTCTGCATGCATACAGCCACTTCAAGAGATCTTATAGGCCCTCACACCACTTCCTCAGCCAACACACAAAGACATTCGAGGCAAATGACGGGTTCAAAGGAATGAAGCCCATGTAAATTAGGCTTGGCGGGCTTCATTCAGACACATGAAAGGCTTCTTTAAGCAAAGAGGGTGCAGCCCTTGTCATGATCATGCATAGTCAATATTCTTTCATGACAGAAACCCACCAGACACCAACACCCGCCAACAAATGTACTTCTTAGAGAGAAACTGCATCTAGGCACTAGGCAGTCAACAGGGCAAGATTAGTGAGCTGCTTTCCAGGAATACTGTGGCGATGTGAATTAGGAAAACCATGTCTATTATTCCTTATCAAGTATTAAAAGGTAGTGCTTTGAGGACATTTCAGTAACTGCAAAGTCCACCAGATAATCAAAACCTTTGTCCACATTGTTTAAATACGTCTCCTTGACCTAGCACTGAAACAGAAACAAACAGTTACATTGAAGTCTTAACTGCCATTCTTTTTTAGCGAGAAATGAAAAGTGAATGTGGAATTTGGGGATTTACCAGACACTGTGGACAAGCTGTGAGCCCTATGGCCATATTCAGATACGTTAAGGTCTTTTTTCTGTCAAACTAAGATAATTAATTGCAAATCATATTTGCAGCACGGAGGAGAAGGAGGAGCGTGCGAGGGAGCTCATCCAGATGAAGCAGCAGATAGCCACGCTGATGTTTCCTGGTTTTATGTTGAAAAGTGTTCCCCTGTTCTGTTGCTGATTGTGTGCACCTGGTGCCCTGTGTTATCTCCTCCCCCCTCACCTGTGTCCTGTTGGTTTGATTAGTGTGGGTGTGTATTTAGGCTCTGTTGCCCTGTCTGTTTGGAGGCTGGTAGTGTGGTGGCTGGTGACTGTGCGCACAGGAGCAGCAGATTGAGGCTGTGTCATATCATAAGTGTATGAGTTCATAAATGCCCACACCGGGTTGTATTTTTGGACGTTCTGCCTCTGCCTCCTTGCTTGGTCGGGCCGCTCAATTGTCAGCTTTACTCAAAACCAAAATTACAATATGATGATTCATCAATCGTCATCACATCAACAATTCAAAGATGACGATGGTGATGGTTCCATGATGACGACACATGTGACCTTTTAGTGATGTAGTGCTTCCTCCCTTTGTCTGTGATTTCTTCAATCTGGAACCACGGACACTGCAGTCACTTGGCACGCTCCTTAAAGGAGACATGTCATGGCCATTTCCACGGATCATAATTCCATTGTTGAGGTCTACTAGAATAGATTTATATTGTGCAATTTTCCAAACTCACATTTGTTTCTCAAACAGCATCTCTGTAAACTACGTGTATTCACTGAATTTCACTCTCTGCCTTTAACGGCTCGTTGTAGCTCCAATAGCTCCAGCCCCCACCCTCCCTGGGAGCACAGTGTGCTCTGATTGGTCGGGACGTGGTGAATCGCGCTGAGCTCCGTGGAGGTGTGGTTTCCTTGTTTAGCGATACACAGCTAAACACAGCCAAACTCACCCTGAGCACACACAAAGTCACAGCCGAAGTAAAAACAATAAGTGTGGCTTGATATTGAGTAAGAAAAAGGTTGATAAACGCTGTGAGAATGGGTCTGCAGAGAGAATGGGTCTGCAGAGAGAATTTCGCCGCAATCCCAACTGTCTGTTATCAGCCTGCAGCCAGGGAGGAGAAATCAGCTTAGCTGCCTGCACTGAGTGTGTGAGGAAGTCCGTGGATTGGTCAATTTGGACCAATCAGCGGGGGCTTAACGTAACGGCTCCGCGGACGTAACCTAACGGCTCCACGGATTGGTCCATTTCGTTCCGGGTACGGGTTGACATCATGCCGTATCCGGAAGAATCAAATGGACAATGACGTATCTCCAACGAGGCGTTTTGGGGAGGTCTTTTCTGTGTTAGAGTTTTACTCGCTACAGGGTGTACTTTGAGGGTTGTTGACTCTGAAGACTGTTTACATGCATACAAACCTTCATAACACACAAGGGGACGGGTAATAACCGGAAAAGCATGACATGTCTCCTTTAATATTAACATTATGAATTTGCTTTCCAAGGCTACAGCAGCTAAGACTCATGGATGCTACTGCTTAGAGGCACCCATGATAATCGGTTAACATTTGAAAAAGGTCGAGGCTACTCCATGAGTCACCAGGATTATTACGTTATCTTTGGGAGTCCTATATTTCTATGTTTAATAACATTAACATATCATTTAAAACATTTGTATGTACCTGTGTGGCTTTGTCTTTCATACAGGAGGGGTAGGGTCCGTGGGAGTCCCGAGGCCACTGGCCGGTGAGGTACGGCCCTGTGATGGCGTCCAGTGAAGATGTCCGCCTGATGGCACTGGAGCTTCGAACCTGTAACTTGGACCTTTCTGCTGTGAAAAGAACAAAGTGATGGGGTGAGACACACAAGCACCCACACAGGCATCAGCACCAAGAAAGACAAACTCCCAGAGGCATCAACATACAGTGTGATCAATCTCTCAGTGCAAATAATTAGCCAAGGACTCAGGGCCATACACGTATAATGGTTTACATTGTTGGCAGATAATCGTGTTAAACCTGAAACAAAACACAATGACATCATGAAAGCCCTTCTGACAAAATGTGTTTTTTGTACTTGGCCTAGTTTCTTTGCCTGTGGTAAAGTTGTAGCACAAACGGGATTGTGTGTAAATGTTTACTAGAAATATATTTCCGTCAATCACAGAATGAAATATTACAAAAATGAAGACAATATCTCCAAAAACAATATAAAAACACAATACAGTATAATCAACACTTCACCTTGAATACTGCAATGTACAGTTAATAATGGAGATAAAACCGTATACGGCAAACTCTTCTTGTTCTCAAAGTGTGGACAATTGTTTCTAATCTCTTAAGTATTAGCTGAAGGCAAACAACATGTTTTGAGAGCTAAGGCCTGAAGTAAATGTAAATGGCTGAGCAGGAGCATCTGATGTTATGAGAGCAGTCTGCTGTGAGCCAGAACAGTTAACCACACACCACCCACATAAGAACTCATAAACAACCACACCACAATGCACATCAAACCTGCCTGCATCCACTCAACATTCCTGCAGTGACACGCACAAAAAAAAGAAGAAGAGAGAAACAAAATACGCAATGCCAAAGGTTGGATAGCATGATAGTGCAGTAACAGTTGGATTAAATGCAATAGCCTCAATTACACTTTGTGTGATCCCAGAAGCAAATGCTCCTTCTTTTCCGTATCAAAGACAGACAAAAAAGAGATAGCGCCATGATTTTGAGGAAACATTGACTCCATTCCCTGTCTGAGTAGGTTTAAGCAGAGGCCCTTCCAACGTGAACACACAGACTAACACACACAGACTAAACTATCTAGATGAGGCACCCCTCTCCTTGCAAAACTACATAGGCATCATTGTTGTTCTTTGTTCACAGAATACACGGGGCCTACCCACCCAAAGGTATTGCCTAAGTAAGCTTACTGGGCTACAGTAAAATTCCCTGAAGCATTGTAGACAAAGGAAGCAGGCTAAATGTCCATCAATATTGATACAGGCCAAGCCAGTGCTCTCAGAACCAGGACTGGGGTTATTTTCCATCGTCTCCCCACTTGCCAAAATAGAATAATCTTGTGATGAGAAAAAAGAAACGGTGAGAAAGAAGGCATCAAAGCAGTCCATCTGCTGATTTCAGGGGAGCATGAGTGGAGTTGTGTGACATTAAAAAGGAATACTTCTGGTTGCATTTGAATAAGAACTTTCCTTAGCCGGAGCTACTGTGAAAGAGTCCCTGCCTTTAGAGGGGATAAACGGTGCTTTATTAACTGTAGAGGCAAATGTGAAAACAAACATGTGGTCCAGATCAGTAAACCATAGCAGAATGGTTTCCTGTAGGTTTTCACAAGTCTGGTTGAAGGGAAAAATAGTTTAACTTCATCTTGTGATCACATTTGTAACAAAAAGCACGTTTGGTATCCCAGAAATGCTCAATTCAATTAGAGCAGGATTAAAGGATTTAGGGGTTTGCACTCTCAGGCAGCCCTTCCAGTTATACATCATTTTAGTTTATCCATTAGCTAAACCTGGTAGGTCTTATATGCAACCTATATTTACATATGGAGATGGTCTTGGAGATGTTTTAATTCAGTCGGAAATGCTCAAACTACCAAAAATACATGCAATCGATCGCCCACCCTCAAGACAGTGCAAACGTGGCCATTGTTAAGAAGAGGTGCAAGACGGAAATCTAAACAATGAATACAGTGTCCCAGTATACTTAGGGCTGTGCAATTAATCGTATTTTAATCTCGATTACGATTTTGGCTTGCAACGATTACGGAAACAACGTCATCGAAATAAAACAATTGTTTATTTATTTTGTATTATTATTTATTGTGTTTTCAGTTGAATTATACTTAAAGTTCAGGGTAATCAACTGTTAAAAACATACAACAAACAATAAATAAATTGATGTTTTCAAAGTAAATGAATAATCGTGATATCAATTATTGACCAAAATAATCGTAATTATGATTTTTGCCATAATCGAGCAGCCCTACTTATATTACAGAAAGGACTAAAACTAGTTATTTGCCATGGTATTAATATTCATCATACTTTTGACTCTAATATATAGAATACTGTCGATTCTGTTCATATGTATGATACTACGTGTTTATTTACAATGCCCTATCACTAAACTATGATTAGAGGACTGTCTTTTTAATTTGTAGCTGTAATACGAACAGTGACTGCAATATGAATAATGATATTAATATTTCCCAGGAACTTATAAAGTTATGAGTTCAGCATCTGTCTCTCAGCTGTTCAGAATATGGCTAGTGAGCATTGTTAGCAGTTATCAGTCAATGAGTCCAGTGGGTACCTCCCACAACAGGCTATGTGTCTCAATGGGCGATGAGGGTATGCTATGAATGCTAACGATTTCAACTTTTACCACTGAGAAGAATCCAAAAACCTACCATCAAGTTTGAGGTTCAACCAGATGTTGTGCAGGTTTGGTTGATAAAACAACAGAGAACACAGCACATTTCCACATGTGGTCCTACTCTGCAGTTTGAATGTGTGACAATGAAGCAGGGCCGTTTCAGCACAGCTGGCACTTTGACAGAGAGCAGGACTATCATTGTTGGGACAGTGAATCATGTCATGCTGGTGAACCGAAAAAGTCATGATATGGATTATTATACTAGGGGTATGCAAACAACATGTACAACAGCATGTCAATTATATATGTTTTGTATTAGCCATGTAGAAAAGCTTAAAAGAAAAGTTCCCTTTTTCCTGAATGTTGGCACAAATCTCAATATGTTGTGTATGTAGGTGACTTTTTGGCGCTAACATTAATGATACTGCACGGCATTTTGGACCCACCAAATGGCAAGCATTATGTCTTTGGGTGGGTCCAAAATACTACGATGAATGATATATTACAAAGCGCAAATCCTCCAACTTCGTTTCTAAGCTGGCATGAAGTGATGAAAGATGTTAATGACTAAATCATGTTTGCAATTTTTGAATGTTAGTAGCCACCAAACCCACACTGATATGATCATAGTCCTCATCAGAGGCCTCTTGTGCATGTTTGTACTGTGAGGTCATGGCAATGAAGCTGGGTCAAGTCTCCATCATCACCACTAACATGAGACACTGGTGTGGGTGAGAGGTCGTCCTTTCAGAGGATTGAGGTATGCGTGGCATGCCACTGGGGTGGGAAATCAACACCAACCACTAGGCAAACACGGGTGAAATGTGTCGTGCCTGGTAGGTCTACCCACTCAGTTGTTATGGAATAGACTTCCTTTCCTGCCTTGCATGGTACACTGGTCAAGGTTGGAGGTCATCTCTTTCAAAGAACTGAGGAATGTGAAGCATGTCACAAACATACAATTCCAAATCAAACACTATCCGGTATGATACAAGAGGGCAGCACTTTTGGCTAAGAGGGAGAAACGTTTAAACATGACTAATGAAGCTTTGATCAAGCTGGTGCAATGTAGTGGTCTCATGGTGTGTTGGAATATGGGACCTAAACTAACTAAGTACAGAACACTCTTGTGCTGAGTATATATATATCTGGTGCTTTTCATGGGAACTGGTGTGGTGTCCGACATGCCCACTCATGTTTTCAGTCCTAAAAAGGAATCTCTTCTTATCTCAAAATACTGAAAAACAAGCTGTGTATTCTTTGATGAAGAAATGTAGTTCTGGCCTTCAAAAAGATACCGCTACCAGTCTGTAAATTAAGCTACAGCTTCAATATATGGCAAAAAAAGGCTGTCCCATAAAGGAGATTTAGTGGAAGACTGTGAAATGCAGATACAGGGCTGCTTGGACTCTCGTGTCCTTCTTCAGTTTGTCTCTATTCAAAAAGCAACTAAGCATGACATGACGACATAGCACAGACCTCTGTTATCCACGTGGAAGAGAACATGGTGAGGCTCAACAGATGTTCTGAATGTGCCATGAGTGCTCCATGCTGCATCAATGGAGTGAGGTCAAAAAAAGCAACACCTGACTTTTCACTCAGCGCTCTGACTACTGGGACTGACGTGGCCCCTTTATACAACTGAAAGCATGTCTTTCTGCCAATTCTCTCCTCCCCCTCTGCCCTGTCAAAAGTCCATGGGAAATAAGAGAGCCAAAAGTGCAATCTATTCTCTGACACTATTGTGTAAGTGAATGCTAGGCTGAATAGTTAATGGATCAACCTTCTGCAAATCAAGAGACTATCATGCTCCAGCTTACCCCTTCAAATATAATAGTTTACCTTATTCTCTATTGAAATATTCTAATGAAAATTCCGATCGATATCTTCGTTACAGGAAAGTTACTATGACAAGTTATAACTTGCCAACAGCACATGGTGACATGGCATTTACTGGCCTTTATAGGATAAAATAGCAAAAGAAAATAGATTTTACCTCTGGAAACCGGAGAGTCTGGGGGACAGGAGGAGTCCTTATTTTCGGGGGAAAGTCTTTGCTTAGCATTTGCACTTCCCGAAATGAGTGAGGGACTGGAAGGGGGACTGGAGCCTCGGCTGTTCGTGGTTCCACCGTAAAGGGTCTGCGACCCCCGCGTGGGGCTGCTCGGACCCCCGCGCAGGAGCTGGTAGGGCACGGTGGCTCGGATGGGGTGCAAACGGCAGCTGCTGCTGTTGTTGTTGAAGGAGCCTGGGGAGCCCGCATTGCTGCGTCTTACCCTCGGCTGCTGGAGCGAGTTGCTGGGGGCTGACATCCTTCGAAACTGGCTGTAATTCCTATCACAGGAAGAAAGACGTACTGCCAAAGTTGCTGCTTCTCTGGAGGAGGAGGTGGTGGTGGGGGAACGGTAAGATAAACATTAGCTAGTTAGCAACAAAAAACGTTAGCTTCCTTTTTTTAAGTCAACTCATGCGCTCAAAATGACAAAAACTCGCAATTGTTGGTGATAACTTACCTGTAAGATACTAACACATGACGATGTAAGCTCTAACAACTACAATAGTAACTTTAAAAGTTGTTTATGATACTTCTTGAGACGTTTAATTCTTGTTTTCAAGCTCTCTTCCCCATCATGTCCACTCACTAAATGACAGTTGTTACGGCCAGACTACTGGCTGTTGCCTGTGGGCGGGCTACGCTACTCATTTCTGAGCTTCTCATTGGATAGTGACGATGTACAGTAACTTCGCTGATTGGTGCCAGTATGTCTATGGATCGTACTTTCATCCAATCAGGTAAGAAATGTCTTACTAGTGTGGAAAGTTTTTTTTGTCAAGGAAATTGAGATGTGAAAGATATCCTTTGATTTTACTCTTTACCATTGCACCAGTGTATTATTTGTTTTACAATGTACAGAAACGGCCTTATTTGAGACGTAGTATGTTGCTCGTCATTGTGAAAAATACAGTTGCAATATAATTATTCAGCAGATGGTATCACAAATGTAAATGTTCAAATTATTTTTGTTTTCTATTGAACACTACTAACTTCAGTGATTCACACTATATATGATAAATAAATATATGAATGATAAACATATATTTATTACAGCATTGTATACAGTGTACAGACATAGTTTGACCTGTAGAATCCACGCTGTACAAAGTTCTTTCATAACTACTTATATATGTATTTGCTTATCTTAGATAAGCCTGTGTAAGCTTGATCAAACAAGACTATGAAGGTAGATATGGTGCAAAATGCGAGAGCGTGTAAAACCTGATGTGAGCACTTGCAGAAAACAAATCTGAGCTTGTGTGCATACATTTACACTTGTATAAAATATCCACGTAACTGTGAACCAAATGTACACTTGTATAAAATATCCACGTAACTGTGAACCAAATTTGAAGTCACAGAAGAAGAAAAAAAGTGAACTTAGTTCACTTGCAGAAAAATACATATTTTTAAAATATATTTTCCATTACAACTGCAACTTGGTTATTACAACCTCTCAAATCAGTCATTACAACTTGACGAATCTGCTCTGTGGCAGTATAAATCGACGAATCTGCGGTCTTGACTTTTGCTACACTTCTTGCGATAAATGTGTCGCAAAAGTAATTTTCACCTGTAGATGTGGGGGGAGGGAGGGGGGTTGGAGCGAAGGGGCGGAGCCATCAGAACAACGAGGCTTGGGTCAGTCACACAGTCACAGCCAATATGCATAGCCAGGTCTAACCGGATGACTGCGAGGCTAACGGTTTGCTAACGGTTCGTGTCGCTACCGCTGACATGGCGCGTCAATCAACGGTAAATGTTGCCCATTACTTGCCCAGTATTACTTTGAATATTATTATTGTGATTGAGGATTAAATCCGCTTTGAAGACCACCGTTTTATATCGTGCAGTTTAGCGGCAAAATAACGTCAGTTAGCCAGCTAACGCTAGCTTTGTTGAGTTTATGCTAGCTAAACAAGTAGTGGTTGTAGTCTACAGCAGTAATTAATGTATTATAGCCTACTGCTTTGGCACTAACGGTTGATAACCGTTTATGAAAAATAAAAACAATTGAACTGTACTGAAATAATGACACGTTTTATAATTGTCTTGGGCTCCTGCTGTGTTTTTAAAGCCTTTGTAAATTATCCATGCTATTTTCTATTTAGAATGAAGACTTCAGAATCTTAAAATCCCTTCACGTTTGTATGCAATTGTGCTAAATTCAACTCTGGAATCAAGCAAATATTAATATGTTTGCATGACATTAGTTATTTATATTTTGATATCACTTAATTATACGTTTGATACATTTAAGTCAAGCTAAGGTACATGTGATGGTAGCAAGTTAGTACTCTTACCTGTGATGCCTCCTCCAAACAGAATAATAACCAGACTGTATCATTAAAACTAAGTACCAGTTCTAGATCCTTGACTTTAGACAAACAATTCAAAAGACAAAATGTATTTAAAGACCAATCTTTATTTGAATGTGCCTCTTAACCTGATATATTAGTTATACAGTAATAGTATTGATAATCTAAAAAAACTGAGTAACTCAACAGTTAACTTTATATTTCTTATTGTCCAAAGCATTTATTATTTTCATTTTTCCCCTCTCATATTCAGTGTGGACGGATTGAGACAGCGTGGTGTCCAGAGGGCTGCAGAGACTTCAGGGAGAAACCTCCGTGTGATGGACGTCCAGTCTGTTGGTTTGGAGAGGACTGAGGGTCTTTCCTCAGCGAGGAGGACCAGGCCTGATGGAGGAGGACCAGGCCTGATGGAGGAGCTGATACCACCTGGATCGGACATTATCCTTTAAAAAACACCTGGAAGAAGTCAAGGCCAAGGTGACGCCCAGGGTCGCGCTGATCCGCCGCCTCGCTGGAACAACCTGGGGAGCCTCCGCTAAGACACTGCGAATATCCACTCAAGCCCTGGTCTTCTCTGTAGCGGAATACTGCGCCCCAGTCTGGAGCAGAAGCCCTCATGCGAGAAAGGTCGACGTGGTTATCAATACCTCCCTCCGAATAATAACTGGATGCTTAAAGCCTACCCCTGTGTCCCTCTTGTAGTCCTCGCGGGAATAGCACCGGCCGGCCTCTGACGGGAGGCTGCCACCCTCGCCCTGGCCAGGAAGGCACAAAAGTATGACTGGCACATCCTGCACAACACCACAATAACACCAGCACCTCCAAGCAGACTCAAGTCCCGCCACCCCTACAACAAAGCAGCTCAAGAGATGCTCAACTCCACCTCTGAGGACATCTCCAGAGATGCATGGTTGGCAGCAGCTTGGAAGCAGGAGTGGGAGTCAGCCGGGCCCTCCCGAATCCACCGTTACATCTGGGACCCAGGAGATGGCGCCATTGGAGGAGACGACCTACCGCGCCGGCAGTGGACCACTCTGAACCGTCTACGAACTGGGGTCGGTCGCTTTAAAACATCGATGAAGACGTGGGGCTTGGCGGACAGTGCAGCATGCGAGTGCGGTGATCCTGAGCAGACCGCTGTCCATATAATCACCATCTGCCCCTTATATAGACCACCCTCGGAAGCCAGCCTCTTCGACCTAGGACCAGAGATGCGGGCAAGGCTACACGACACCGAGTTGGACCTCTAACGTTACACGAAAGAAGACCACCGCACAGGCCTAGTCTGTCACGTTATTTGACTAAATGTGTTTACTTATACATTTAATAGATTTACACCTTCTGTCCATATGTGCTTTTTATTTAAAACATGTTTGATTAACTTTTGGTTCACATTTCAATAAATTGTATTTGTATTTGCATTCCTTTTGTCCATTATTCTTATTGAAAATGTTAGATTACACATTCACATCTGACTGAAGATTGGCCCATTTATTTGTGATGTTGCAAACTCTGAGGTACAAGGCACAAGTGATGTGAAGCTCATAAAGCGAGGCAAATAGAAATAATCAGCTGATGAAGTGTAGATGTGGAAATAGATGCATCCCATCAGCAGACTGTGTTTTTCGCCACACTTTATAAGCCTGACTATAACCACCCCTTCTCTGAGGTGCAGGCAGCGTCACAAACAAATTATGGTCCTGACTACAAAAATATTCGGTGTGCAGATCTTTGTTTTCACAATATAAGTAGCTTCTTAGTGAATGTCCTGTACTGGTCTTAAAATCTCATAACATCAGCCTTTAATGTTCCTCTTGGATGTTCTTCTTGACCCTCAGAGAAAGAGGAGATGCTGAGTCGTGTCTTTCAGGCATGTCCTTTCCTAACAAAAATGACAGGAAACATAAAACATTATTGCAGAACAAGTGTGTTATTTATGAAAGAGGTGTGTTTAGGGGCTGTTGATATAATTATTTTGTAATTGTAATCAGATTATGAATGAACAGTATGAAATTCATCAACATTGAAATATATGCTATTATCAAAATAATATTTAACTGTTATCAAACCGTAGTGCAACTGTAGAAGCTTGCTCTGTTGTCTCACTGAAAGAATAACTTTTACCACGTTTTTAACAGACAATATTGAGAGATAAATAGTAACAGTTCTCACTATGTGTTAAATAGCTTTGCCTTCAATACATTAAATTAGAAAGCTGACAGTCATATTGCTTGTTAACATCTAAATGTAACCTTTTGCATGGAAAAAACCCTCAACTTCACTGATGTGTAGGTGATCTAGTATTTAGTATTGTTTAATGGAATGTATATCAGTGTATTCAAGTCAATACTTCATTTATTTAAACCAATATTCTTGATTCTTTGTACAGTATGAAAAAAAGAGTCTTTGTACCTGTGCTGAAGTTCACTGCTGTGAGTAGTCCAGTTCTGTCTCTCACTCTGGTCCAGCCTGTCTGCATCAACTGGACACCTTAAACAAACAGATATATATGTAAAGTACCATGTGTACAAACAATATAACTGATTATCTTCTGTTGAACATGTTGGATTGTGTATTGTCCGAGTCAGGGTCCTTTTTATTTTACTGTAACTTTGGAAGTTGGGTTACCAATGCTTACTGTTTATTTGATACCCATTTGGTAATACAATTAATAAAAACAACAAGGTTTGGGTTTGTTCTTCAGATGTCTGTGACGTTAACGTGTAAACTCAATAATGAACTCCAGCTCAACGAACCATATTGTAATATCTAAGTAATCATCTTGAAGTATGACATTAATAATTGTAATATACACACATCTTATTGTGAGGTTGATTTCACATACACTACTTCGACGTTAGCTAAATAGCATGGATAATTTACAAAGGCTTTAAAAACACAGCAGGAGCCCAAGACAATTATAAAACTTGTCATTATTTCAGTACAGTTCAATTGGTTTTATTTTCATAAACGGTTATCAACCGTTAGTGCCAAAGCAGTAGGCTATAATACATTAATTACTGCTGTAGACTACAACCACTACTTGTTTAGCTAGCATACACTCAACAAAGCTAGCGTTAGCTGGCTAACTGACGTTATTTTGCCGCTAAACTGCACGATATAAAACGGTGGTCTTCAAAGCGGATGTAATCCTCAATCACAATAATAATATTCAAAGTAATGGGCAAAACTTACCGTCGATTGACGCGCCATGTCAGCGGACTGGTAGCGACACGAACCGTTAGCCCCCCCGCAGACATCCGGTTCGACCTGACTGTGGCTGTGACTGTGACTGACCTGACCCAGCGCCATATAGACTGCGATTCTATCTATATGGCGCTGACCTGACCCAGCCCAAGCCTCGTCGTTCTGATAGCTCCGCCCCTTCGCTCCAACCCCCCTCCCTCCCCCACATCTACCATGGATGTATAATACAGGTGAAAATTACTTTTGAGACACATTTATCGCAAGTGTAGCAAAAATCAAGACCGCAGATTCGTCGATTTATACTGCCACAGAGCAGATTCGTCAAGTTGTAATGACTGATTTGAGAGGTTGTAATAACCAAGTTGCAGTTGTAATGGAAAATATATTTTAAAAATATGTATTTTTCTGCAAGTGAACATTTCATCACTAAGTTCATTTTTTTTCTACAAGCTACAAAACTTTTTTTTCTTCTGTGACTTCAAATGTGGTTCAGTTACGTGGATATTTTTTACAAGTGTAAATTTGGTTCACAGTCACGTGGATATTTTATACAAGTGTACATTTGGTTCACAGTTACGTGGATATTTTATACAAGTGTACATTTGGTTCACAGTTACGTGGATATTTTATACAAGTGTAAATGTATGCACACAAGCTCAGATTTTTTTTCTGCAAGTGCTCACATCAGGTTTTACACGCTCTCGCATTTTGCACCATATCTACCTTCATACAAGACCACCAAGGTTGATTTGAATTATATTGAGAATGTTGATCAACTTTGTTTTTTAAGGTCAAGAGTGAATTTCATTGTAATATCATCCAATATGGAGCATTTTTTCCGCATACGCCACCTGCTGAGAAACATAATGATGAGACTTAAAGCTCCGCAACATCTACTAATGAACCTTGAGGTAAGATTGCGTTGACACAAGCTGTTCAAACTCAAGAATGAATTTTCAATCTAATAAAATGTATTACTTGCCTAGTTCCGAGGTCCAAAATCTATTGTTATTCAATGCTGTCCTTCCTTCTGCCTGCACTGGTCTGTGATTCTGTGGGAGTTCCCATGGGAGAATAAGGTGACTCAATGCTTTGAAGCAAAGATAAAGAAAGCACATGATAGAAACCCCACGCCATCTGTCTGAAACTGATAATGTAAAAATAAACCATGGAAAACTTATGGAAAACAACCCATTCAGCAGTGCTCCAATTTGTCAGTCGGAATTTATTTAAAAGAAACACTGAAAGGGTGAAATTCCAGCCACCCTGTTTTTTGGGATGCAACACGGCTCGCCAATTTGTCAGCTACACTCCAAAATAGTTCACTAAAGGGCACGCAGGCCTATAAAACCTCCCACACCGGGAAGAGATCCTGGGGAAAGCAGTAGCTCCTGTGCACCCTCCTCCTCCTCCTCCATGACTAAGTGATTTAGCCAGGTCTGGTGCAGGCCGCCTCTCACTAACAATGCCTCCCTACGCTAGTGACAGAGCGGGGAGGGTGGCAGAGAAAGAGAGTAAACCCATTTACAATGCGGCTTACACACGGCCGTCCCCCCATAGACGGCACCCATCCTTGGATTGATGTGTGGTGTGCATAGTTTTTGGGTGCAATTTGGGCACCACAGAGGGAGAAAGAAAGAGAGGGCAAGTTTGTGTATGTCGAAGGCTGTACGAGGGGGGGGTCCAGGGCTCAGGCTGTCTGTTCCCTCGCCCTTTCTTTGAGTCAATAGTGTTCCGGCAGCTGAGGTTCTTTATGGGGGGAACAATCTGGAGGGTCTTGTTAGAGTGCCGAGCAGCTGCTGTTTTCTGGCGAGCTTCTTTCATGGACCACAGGCCTGGAGTCTGCTGATGAATACAGACGCACCCTCCCACCCTTCCTCCTCATCACCCTTCACCCCCTACCTTATCCCATTCCCCATCCTATACCCCATAACCACCCCTCACACTGGAAGCCATCCCGCACAATGCCAGATGAAGAGTGGCACAGAAGAACATAAAGAGAGTGTGGCCCCGGCCCCCGGGGGACCGCCCTTCACCCCGGACAATGCTTTCATGAGGTATGTGAAGATACTTTCTTAAGACAAACACAGACGTTAAAAAGTGTATTAAAACACGAGAAAATTAAATATATCTTGGACATCTTGGCACCTTTGAGCACATCTTTACAAGCTGAAATGTGATTTATTTTATTAGATGACATTAAACCATAACACACACACACACACACTGCCTCCCTTCTTCATATAGGGCTCAGTTACAACATTACATTCACTAGACTATAACTTAACAGCGTCCCATTCTATTTAAGCAGCTGCTGCAGAAGAGGACCCTGCTTGCACCCTTCGTCCCTTGCCCAGTTGTCGGTGTGGTGGGTGTAGCAGTAAACCCACGCTGGTTGGCTTGGGCGGGTGTTGGACTTCACTTTCCGACAAGCTTCTCCTGTTTAGCTGCTGTCTGAAGGCACCAGGTTCCCTGTGGTGTCCAGCTGCATGCATTTACACGTGCAACCAGACACTGGGCACTCTGTATGTTCTCTGTAAAAGACACATTAAGGTCAATAAAAAAAGTGTAAATACAGAAGATGGCCAAAAGAGTACAGAAGGGCCTGGCAGGTAAGTGTACCTTTCATTCATCCATTTATTTGAATTCTGATATGACCATTTAAAATAATAAATCAGGCAATCTTTTAATTTAACAGGATCCACACATGGACCTAACATTACAATTACTTTTAAAGTTAGGTGGTAATTTAGAACAGAAGTGATTTTATATCGAATTGCTTTGCCTTCCATAACAGTCACAGAGAGAATACATTATTTTAAAGAGAACGATGAAAGTGCTACACAACCGAAAGAGCAAAGACTAGCTTTTATTTATTTTTCTTTACAATGTAAGGGCTAATGGACAAAAGGTACACGGACCATAGCAGGAAACAAGTTCACAATCCTGTCTGAAAAAAGCCACACATCTGCAGCATGGAGAGAGAGCTTACTTGAACCAGCTGAGCATGTGTCCTGCGTGGCCGCCATGACGACAGTTGTGACACCAGGTGAACCAGTTGTTGAACTGAGCGAGTTTGTTTTCCCTTGTCAAGTCCAACCTCTCGTCTGACTTCCCTGTTCCTGCCAGAAAAAGATATTCATCTACAAGTCAGTATCAACAATCTATAAACTGTACTATCTATGTCAACGTAGTGTTCTGTCTGCTGCCGTCTGGCAGGCGGTACCGCAGCATCCGCACAAAAACCACCAGACTCAGGGACAGTTTCATCCCACAGGCCACAAGACTGTTAAATACCTGAGCTCTGTTAAGTGCTCTGATAAACATTTATGTTGTCATCTTGCAATATACTAATTTATATAAATAGTTATCACCGCAATGAACTATATTTAATTTAGTCTTAATTTACATTATTTAATTTCATATTCTGTTCTTGTACATATCCCATATTCTATTGACATGTATAAAAAAGTGTAAATACAGAAGATGGCCAAAAGAGTACAGAAGTATTTTGTATTTTATATTATATCTGTTGCATTGTTGGAAGAGCTCAGGTCAGAAGAATTGTTTTGCTATTTCTATACTGTAGCTATTTCTATGACAATGAAACCTTTGAATTTGGATTAGTATGTGTAAAAGCAAAGCAATAAATAAATAGGAACTGGATTGGCCACTGAACGTCCAGGTGCTACTGCCTCTTAATGCTGAACAAAGTCCACACAATCTCCCCTGCAAATGCTCAGTTAAGTATTATAAACACTTAAGCTGCTCCAAGAGGCCTGCCTGTAAGTATCAACGGAGCATCTGTCCACATAGGTCAGTTTACCTGGGCAGTTAGAGACAGGTGTGCCCATGTTCATGAGGCAGAGGGCACAGCGTGGCAGCGGTTTCCTGCAGCCGGGGCAACTGGTGACTTTTGACTTGGTGGGCGAGCCGCTGACCCCGTACTGGCTGAATCCGCGGCCCTGATGAGGCATCACCGAGCAGCTGTAGGAAATAGACTTGCCACAGAAGTTGCAGCTCACGAACACCTGTCGCACAAGAACAAACACAAAGGTCGGTTGATAAGGGACGGCGGACACAAAGGTAAAATCAACAAGCACACGCTCACCAGCTGTCTGATTTTCACTTTGAGGTGAGAGGAAGATAAGCATTAGATAATACTGCAATAATCTGAAAATGCTTAACTGTGAATATTGGAATGTCATAGTGTAGTTAGTAGGTCGTGCTAAGGTTCGCTTTGTACTCATAATCGCAAGTAGAAATATTTTGTGCAGTATGTGTATTAACTGGAACAGAGAGGATAACTAAGATTGTTGTGCTAAATAGAACAGGTTTTATGACAAGAATTGGAGAGGAGAGCAGTGGGTGTTACAAGCTTGGCACGACTTACCTTTGCTGTAATAAACAGTACAAGCGTCCTATTTCATCATGAGGGGAGTAATATCCAAGACAGTAAAAAAACAGGACAGACGGCTTGTGTTTGCCAGGGCCCTATCACATTAAAGTCAAACATGCATTTTCCAAAAAGTTATCAAATCTATCAAGTAACATATTATAATTGAAATGATCAAATACAAAAATATATTGCTGCATGTTTTGGTAAAAAAAAATTCTGATATTGTTTATCTTGAAACAGCCCGAAATAGTGAATATTGCTCTGGAAGAGTTTCAAGAGCCAAAGGAATGCTTTAAAAATTCCTTTCAACCTTCATTCACTTTCACTTAAAGGTAGGTAATTCACTTCAGAAACACTTGTTGTTATATTCCATGGAATGTTCTTAACATCCCGATAGCAATGAATATATTAAATGCTTTGACAATAAATACATTAAAAAATGTCATCTGTGGAAGCCGTAGTACTGTAAAAAACATATTTTCACCGGCCCGGCTAAAATAACTGGATGGCCTACCTATCTGTCAGCCTTCCATCTCGTGCACAAACTTATCTCGTGCCCTCATTGGTCATGTGTGCGTTCGTGTGTGTTGGAGGAGGGGCTCTGTAAGGAAGTCTGAAGGAAGGGGCAGATTTTTTTTCCGCTGCGTACTTTCAAATTCTAGCACACTCTAGCGGGTTTCTCCATTCTTACCTACCCTACCTTTAAATACATTCAACCAGCAATGATATAAAACATAGAGTAGAAGCAAATCCTCACACAATAGAAAGCCTTCTTGGTTGATACATTTCTTTAATGAATGATCCATTTTTTTTTAATTTGTTGTCAGTGGATTTCATATCAGCCCCACAGTTAATAAATATATATTTGTATTATACAATAATAAAGAAATCTTCCCCAGATGTGTGTTACCTGGGCCAGTGGTTTGGAGCTGGGGTCCAGTTTGCCTCTATGGATGTCAAACTCGGCCCGTTTGTGCCAGAATCGCCACGCATCCAACAGGTTGCGGTAGTTTTCGATCCAGCATTGGACTCGGGGGTCTTTCAACACTTCACCTGGGGAACCCTGTTGGAAGAAACCTTATCTCAGCCTTATTTCACATTCTCACCTCAGTTTACACAAGGCACAGCAAAGTACATCCCTAATACAAATAGACAATGTGTCCTGGGACAAAATAACTTCTAAGTTTACTCTTCCTGCACCCATCACTCTGGAGGAATGTGGACATGTATGTCAGGTAAATGCAATTACTAAAAAAGGTGCTGGTGGATGCCTTGTACACTGCCGTTTTCTTTTGGAGCAGGTTAGAACAAGAAAGTAAAGCAAACATTGAGTAGTTCCACCACTCCTTTTATTACGTTTTCTTTATAGAAACAAATGCAAGAGAGCTAACAACTCCAATGAGGCTTGCATAACATGTTATTAGTTTTGGCAATTGTGTTTAGAATAACAGCTGTGACCTTTTAGAGGCAAGTTTTAGCATATGCTTTGATTTTTCAAAGGGTGTGATCAGACAAAATCAGTTTGTGTTTGCAGTTTTGGGTTTAGTTCATTTAAGTTACTAATGATTAAACCATTTATTTGTGGGTCTCTTATTGTCGTGTGATGGGAATGTTCTGTGTGCTTAACCAATAAGAATCAAGTTTGCATGGCAATTAAAAAACTATAATTTAATCTAAAAGAACATCAGTGACAATTACAGACATTACTAAATGTATTAAAGTAAACATCAACCTGTGCAGGGATGATACACTCATTTAAATGTGAGATGGGAGGCAATATACTATACTACAGTTTATGTAGGAGAGTTTTATCAGTGTTGCTATAGGGGTTATTGCATTTATTTCAAGTGGATTATATTACATATCTGGAGGGTCTGTAAGATTTCCCCAGGCACAAAACAAGCCTGTTTAGCATCAGTATGCACCCTTCTCTTCACATGGGGGCATTCGTCATTATAAGCTAACACTAAGCAAATGTACATGAACTTCAATTTTAGATGATTATAGTAGTAGCGGGGAGACAGAGGGGAGCAGCACATGCTCATTATTAATGTGATCATTTTTAGTTGGAGGGCCAATCATACTTTATGTGAAAAGAGTGTGCTTCTCACAATGACACACTACTTTTCATAACTTCTGTGTGTACCTTCAGCATGGAGAAGCTGGCGGTCTGAACGTCTCCGGTGAGGTCCACGTAGCTCTCCATGAGGTCCACGCCATCTTTGGTCAGACCCGTCAGCAGGATGCCCTCCAGGTTGCCCGCCTCCTTCATCTCATTGGTTAATTTGTCAATGTATCGAGGCAGCTGCAGCCACAAATGTATCAAGTCAGAGAAGAATGCAACATAATCATGCACTTGTAAAGCAAGTCATCAGGAAATGGTGTAAAGGGATGTGACTTTACACAAAATATGCAGGATAACAGTGTGGAAATATGTGCTTTGTATTGTTTTACCTGTGCATCGCTGAGGAACATACAGGCAAAGGCTACTCGGTCCCGCACAGCAACACTGCTCTCATACTGAAATCAATCAAATACAAAATATACATTTCTAAATCACAATTGACAGTACATTGCATATGTGTCTCCATATTGGCACAAACAAATGCTCTGCTTGTTCATTTAAAACCTCTGCTCTGTGTCAAGGGATTGAAGGCAATTATTACACCCAATTATTCTAAAAGCCAAGATGGTCAAAGTGACTGTTGTTATCATCCCGGTGGGGTCTTCACTTCGGGCCGGGAGAGATCTAAAGAGAGAAATAAATGAGACAGCAGCTGGTGGCCAGAATCTGATGTAACTGAAGGAGCACAAACATACACCCTGTTCTCCAAGGACCGAGTGTATGTTTTCTACTTTTTGCTAGGTGTTTTATGACTCGAAACAAATGTCTTCCTGTACACCTGAGGATTTCCCAATAAAGACTGCTGGAATATTAACGACCTATTCATCACTGTGTTAAGAATATGACACTTTTTTGTATCAGATAGGAACAAAACAGGCACTGTTCCGTGAGAAATGAGTGCCAGCTTTAGCACTTTTTCTTTTCATTAACTTTCCTGTTTGCAATAGAGCTATGAAATTCCATGACAGTAAGAGATTTAATACCAGCACGCCATCATAGGCTCCAGGTTCGCTGGTGAGAAAGGCAAACATGACGCAGAGGTAGGGGTTCTTCAGCTGCAGCCTCAGAGAGCTGCACATCTCCCTCCACAGGGAGGACTTCTCGTCCGTGTAGCCGGACAGAGCCATGGCAACCACATTCAGGTTCAGGTCACCTGTGAATAAGTCAGACAGGCAGGTTTCTCCACCATGTGCAAAGTCTGTACTGTTTATGCTGGGCTTAGGACGGAAGGAAAGTTTGACTGAGCTTCTGAGACTATTGTTCAAGGTGAGCTAGCTTTGTGGTTCAATTCAAAATAACAATAAGACTTTTATGGTTAGGTCAAATTAATAACAAATACCACTTGTATGTCTGCAAGCCAAGTATATAGCTACAAATGCAGAAGCCAGGTAGCTTAGCTTAGCATAAAGACAAGACAAAAGGTTAAACAGAAAGCAAAGATCTGTCCAAAGGTTTAAAAATAATCATTTACCAGCACAATTACCACTCTCTTCTTTTTTTACAAATCAGCTTTGTACATATTTAACAAACAAGATATAACATGTCAATAGAGCACAAGAGGGTGTGTTAGGTGGATATATGTTCAACCCTTGGAACATGTCAGAATAAATGATGACTATATGCTTGTATATGTTTGCAGATGAGAATCAGTTCATTGAGCCAGAGCAGCTGACCCTAACAGATGAGATCTCTCCACTGACACTTCTTATCTAACGAGTCACCTCATCAGTCATGTGCAGGAAACCTTCATTAGAACAAACAGCAGAGAAACATTTGACCTACATTGGTGGAAATGTTCTTAGTAAGGCGTGTGTAAACAACAGCCTTCTCTCATTTTCATTAGACCTCAGTGTGAAAAGCACTGCAGGATAAGTGTTGTGTGAAAAACAAGGTTCTCCTGCTGTTACATTGTTGAAATTCCTCAAGACATTATTTACTGAAAGGCTCTGAAGAAAAACAGGCACTTTATGTTTATCCGGAATTATATATTAACTAGACTTTAATTTACTTAGTCGAACTAAGGCAACAAACCTTTATAAATGATGCTTACATAATAATTGTTGAAGCCTGTATATACAAGGTTAAGCATGACACTATAACACATAATAATGCAGAGGTAGATCACTGAAGAAAGAATGGCATTTCAATGAGAGAGAATTTAGGATATTATTGGGATATATATATTTTTTAAATCCTCTGGGGCAGAGAGAGGAGCTGTGGATTATTGTTATTGATTAATGCATCAGTGTTTCTTAGGGTCAAAAACACTAAACTCACAACTTAAAATGAAAGCGTTTAGTTCACAATGTGAAAAGTGATAGTAGATATAGATTATTTGCAATTTGGTGCTATATATTTAAAAATATATATTAATAAAAATAAAAAAATTATAATTTTGAATTTCAGGGGGGGCGCGGGGCTCCGTTGGTGGGTCGCAGCGCCCCTCAAAGACAATGGTAGGGGAAACACTGGAGTTAATATGAATGTATGCACATTTAAAAAGACCCAACATTTACATTAACATTTGAGTGTGTCAGACAGTCTTTCCCTGACACCTTCCTCCCCCTCCTCTCCCTCCTCCCCCTCCACAGGGCGGCAGCACTCACCCTTCTCGGCGGTGGCTCCCTTGTTGAGGATCTGGATGGCCCGGCGGATGTCCAGGTTGAACAGAGCCACGGCGGACGCCCGCTCCCACTCCCGCTCCTGCTCCAGGGATCGCAGGAATACCTCCACATCGATGTCGGGACCCCTGCTGATCCAGCCACAGAGCCTCAGTGAGAGGCAGCGCTCCTCGCTGTGGTACCGCGGGACGTCTGACTGCCGCTCTGAGCCGCTCCAGCACCTGCGACTCTCTGTCGTGCCTGGGGGAACCAGGAATACACAGAACATTCAATGAGTACATTGTCCCAGTCGTGCAAAGTACTATTCATTTAAGATAATACATCTTAATAAAACGTACAAATACTAATAAACCAAGGTCTGATTCTCCAACATTCAACATTTTGTGATTACATTTGTAAGAGGTTCAGAGGACTTACCTGAGGTGGTCTTAACAATGTTCTTGATCCCCGAGTAGACGACGGACTGTTTGTTCCCCTGCAGCTTCAGCTCAATGTCCTCTGCACACTGCTTCATATGTGATACTTATATAGGAATTGTAACTGATAATGCAGTTGAAAAACCATAATGAATTAACAACTACTGCAACACTTTATCACAACAATCAACAGTTGAACTGTGGCTAGAAATCATTAGACCATTTTACTTTCTACCATTATAAAAATAAGTCAAAAACCTACAGTAAGCCTTCATATATCCTACACCATGAAGATTGTCTTCTATAGTTAGTTAAGCACAACTGTTTAACATGTATTGAGCTGTGTTGCTATCAAACCCAGAAGTTCTGAATCCCAGGAGTTTGTCATTGACGTCAAAAAGGATATAAAACAGATCATACCAAAGTGACTTGAGCTGGGGGTCACTCCCTCCCGCCAACAAGTGGTTCTTCCACACCTGGACGGTGTCGTGCCCGTACCTGGATTGAGCCCTCTGCCTCATCTTAGTGGCGATGTCTTTCTCAATCACGCTGTCCACTCCTTCAGCTCCGTCCTCCACACAGTCGTACAGGTGTCTGCCACACGCCCACATGAGCGAGGTGGTGGAGCTCCAGGCCAGCGAGATACGTTCGAACACGGTGAAGTCAGTCATGACCCGGTTGGCTGCAGAGACCACCACCATGCGGTTTTGAGAGGACGGGTGCCAGGCGAAGCTGCCGATCTGGCTTTCATAGGGCTGCACGCTTCGCTCGATGATGGTGGGCTCCGTCTCGTCGCCGATGGGTGTAGGAGTGTGCTGCATGTCGTACAGGCGGATGATGTTGCTGTCACGAGTCAAAGTGGCCAGTAGGCCATTACGGGTTGGACACCAGGCCACCTGAAACAAGAAAAATTGACTTTTCATGCTTTCCTAAGTGACTTTAAATTGTACTGATCTTTAATATTTTAATGAACTACTAGCAGGGTAAATCACAAGTTTTATCACAATACAATATCTGCTCAAATCAAAAGGCCTGCCATGAACAATTGTGATTATATTCAAATCAGGAGCCGGCTATTGATATGAGACAATACAACATGAAAATTCAAAACCTGTACATTGTACATTTAACTTTACATTTTTCAACCAACCAAAAAAACAGAAGTGCCATGGGAGTTTCAAAATAAGTTGATGATATGTATAAATGTTTTCACTTTGCTTCATGACATTGGAACGTTGTTATCATTGAAATGATACATTGATCCAGATTGATAAATTGTTACATCCCTAAAAACTACATCCTGAGAATCAAATGAAATCCATAAGACACAATTATTTAATTAATTGAACTACACCAAGTTCAAACATTTTGCTCATGTCTTCAGGATCAAACTGCATCCTACCTTAATGAGAGGCTTAGGCTGCTCAGAGAGCGTGAGCACAGGCTTCTCAAACTTCCTCAGATCCCAGATGGCAACCTGGCCCTCGTAGAAGGAGGCCACACGGTCATGGAAGTGCGGGTCGACTGTTACCCCCTGGATGGCCTTAGTGTTGACAAACGTTTTCTGGCTCGTGTTTCTCAGGTCGAATATTGCCAGGTTCCGGTGCATGCCAGCCAACAGCAGCTTTGGGTCACGAAGCAGCCAGCAGAGGGAGAGGCAAGCATCGTTCTGACCTAACTCATACAATGGTTTGGTCACCACTGAGCTCGAGTCCAAATCCACAGATGAGAGACGAATCTTCTCAGAGGATACACTGGCCTCTGGGGAGTACTTACTGCTAATGTCCCAAATGAGGACAGAGAAGTCTGCTCTGTGCTTGTCCAACCCAGCAGCCAGTAAGTTGCTGTCCACAGGGTTCCAGGCTAAAGTGTTGCATTGACGGGCGTGCTTGGGTACAAACTCTTTCCCAACAAGCTCTTTACATGTGGAGTTGTGGCTTTGACCCAAGCTGGTGAGCACCACTCTGCCGTTAGCTTGGCCCACAGCGAGCAAACACTCAGGCTCATGCTTTGGGTACCAGGCCACACATTTCATGTACGGGGTGTCAGAATTAATGGCTAGTAAAGTAGCAGCAGTTTCTTCAGAGAGAGGGAGAGTGCCAGCCTTGGTCTCTGAGTTTCCCACAGGTCCAATACGGTACAGTCCCAGCTCAGAGTCACAGATGACATATCGGTCCGGGTGGTGGGGAGACCACAGGATGTCCGGCTTGGAGCCACTCATGATTCAGAAGCAGCTAGAGGGCTCCCAAGGAAATCTGCCTTCTACAACCTGGAGATTGGAGAGATTGACAAAGAGTTTAGCACATGGATCATTCCATAACAACTTGCAAGTTCATGTCATGGGTTTGATATTGTGATCCTCATCAATTGCCAATTTTTTACTGAATTGGGTTGTTAGAATAAAAAATAAAAAAGATATGCTAAATTATTATCATATTTTGATATCCGTGTTAGATCAAATACATACAAATCATTATAAATATTAGAAAAGAAATACCTTCACAACTTTTTTCTTTGAGATCAGAAGTAATTTGGTCCTGTATAAAATTGTTATGTCACATATCTTACTATATATAGCTTTAGAACTGACACACCCACATTCAAAGATATATTTTAACTGTATATTATGCCAATAAGGATTACTTCAATTTCCTTTTTTTATGGAAAAGTGTCCTTTGTTATTTGTTGTACTTGACTGACTCCCTGACTGATATATTACATTCAGAAGTAAGGTAGATATTTGGACTATGTTGACTTTAAAGTGTTCTATCTTTTTCATCTCATGGGCAAATAATAGTGACATTTCACACCTCGTCTTATGGATGGGTGCAGTAGGCTACAGGGCACTGAGAAATAACATAGAGATGTTACAGTAACGTTGACGTGTAAGTTAACTGCTCATGTAAATCTGAATTACTGCGGTCGATTCAAAAAAGTTAGAAAAACCATGCTAACTAACTAGTTAGCGACGTATTGGTTTAAGGTAAATACGCCACTTGAAGATAACGATGTAGTTAATGTCATTTTCGCGAATGTGTTACAATAGTTAAGACCAAAGTCTAAAGTGTGTTGACATGCTAACTCAACTAAGCTAACGCTAATGCTAACGAGTGAAGGGCGAGCTAAACATGGCAGTTTAACCAGCAACGGAAAACATTTGCTAACTCTTTGCAACATTAACAATATTGCGTTACTTACAAATACGGAGAGTGTTTAAATGAGCGGAGGATTTGCGATTTAGCATCCACATGTCTGACAGGGACACTTCTTTTGGAGCCCTTCTGGATGTTGTTGTGTGTTACACCAAAACATATCCGTCTGATAGAAATGTCACATTCCCAAAGTTCCGGGTAAACGAGGTTACGCCTGCAGTTCACCACCAGAAGGCGCCGTAACCAAAGTATAAATACACAGAAAGGAGAGCCTCATTCAAACCCCATCGTATCATTAGAACATGTATGATAATGGATTAACATTTAGCAGATATTTAAAAAATATGTTTTCCAGAAAAGTAGTCAGAGTACATACATAACTTACAAATAGGGTTTATAGATGTAGGCCTAGGATGCATGGGCTACTACTGCATCTGGCTTTAGCATGAAGTCAAGTGGAAAAGGAAAATATTTTCATGTGGGACCTTTACGCACAGCATCCAAACAGTCTCCATGTGCAACAGCCAAAAACTAAATTAACTTTAGTGCTGAGTTACTTATTTGCACTGTAGGAGACTGTCTTCTCACTCCAGGGATGCAAACACAGGTATGGTGAAAAAAGAGAGAACTATTCGAAGCAGAAAAAAACAGCGTAATATACCATCTGACAAAGGCCTGTGCTATAATGCTTCTTATAATTAACTGGCTGTTCTTTATCATATACTCAGATCAATTGGAGACAGAGATGTTAAGTTATAAATCAAGGGTTTTTATTATTATTTACAGCAGGGGTGGGGAACCTTTTTCCTTTCAATTTTTACAACATCCTCCGAGGGCCGTACAAATGATTGAACTCAACTTCTGCTTAAAAATACTAAAATCATAGCCCATTCATTTCGCCTTTCTTTCATGCTGTGCAAAGAAAAAGCAACCTCTGAAACCAGATATCTCACCATGACTCGTGCATGCATGCACATGCACGGTGTGGCATGACCACCACAACAGAAAGATATGGACACAAGATGTGTGCAAATGAATTCAGTTTCCTATCCATGTGAACATGATTTAAATGGAGGGGGACCTAACCTCCTCTAGGGGGCATGCTCCCCCGGGAAGATTTGTTTTTAAATGTTGAAGTTAAAAGCATCAATCTGGTGCACTTTGAGAGCAACATCAGGAGATCTATGGATACATCTCTCAACACCCATATGAAACAGAACTGGAAGCAGATTTTTCTTTTTGGATATTTTACAAATCACTCCCCTTTCAAACTCTAGTCTTGTTATTTTTAACAACTTTTTTGTTACCGTCATATAGTATTTTATACCTGTTTTTCATTTAGTCTCTAATGTCTCATTAATAACTATAATGATCATATCAAGGTGTGCCTTAACCTCACTGAGCTGAGGTTATTTGAGCCTCTCAGGAGAGAGCTCTCTTCCACCTGGTTGTAGAAAAGCTTCACACATCCGATCACTTCTTCATTTCATTCTCTTTACCCCTTTCCAAACATAACAAACTAATCTCTTCTCATCCTGCACCTGTCCACCGTAACCTCCGTTCCCTCTCCCCCTCTACCTTTGCCTCATCGGTGCTCTCAGCCCTCCCTTCCTCTGACTCGTTCCAACTTCTGCCTCCAAACTCTGCTGCAGAAACTCTCCTCTCTACTCTCTCATCCTCTCTGGACTCTCTCTGTCCTCTCACATCTCTGCAGCCTCGTCAGTCCCCTCCTGCTCCCTGGCTAAATGACGCACTGCGTGCTAATAGAACCATCCTTCGGGCAGCAGAGCGGAAACGGTGGAAATCCAAACACCATGACGACCTCCTAACCTATCAGGCTCTCCTCTCCTCTTTCTCTGCTTCGATCTCTCAGGCAAAAAGCACTTTCTTTCAAGATAAGTTCCAATCCCAAAAAACTATTTTCCATCTTCTCCACCCTCTTGGACCCTCCCAAAGCCCCTTCCCCCTCCTCCCTTCTGTCAAGCGACTTTGTTAACTACTTTGAAAAAAAGGTTGATGATATTCGCTCTTCTTTTTCTGACTCACCTTTACTCACCGCTGGGTCACCAGACCCTCCCTTCACCCACACACTAACCTCCTTCTCCCCTCTCTCTCCAAGTGCGGTTCTTACCCTCATTACTTCTACCCGCCCTACCACCTGTCCTCTGGACCCTATCCCTTCAAACCTCCTTCAGACTATCGCTCCTGATATTCTACCGTTTCTCACCCATTCTATCAACACTTCTCTAACTTCTGGTCACTTTCCAAACAGTCTCAAGGAGGCAAGAGTAAACCCTCTCCTAACGAAACCCACTCTCAACCCGTCTGATGTTATAAACTACAGGCCTGTCTCTCTCCTCCCGTTCCTGTCTAAAACACTTGAACGCGCTGTTTTTAAACAACTCTCCTGTTATCTCCATCAGAACAACCTTCTGGATCCACACCAGTCTGGTTTCAAGGCAGGTCACTCCACAGAAACTGCTCTCCTTGCTGTCTCTGAGGAACTGCACACTGCCAAAGCAGCATCCCTCTCCTCTGTCATCATCCTTTTGGACCTGTCTGCTGCATTCGACATGGTGAACCATCAGATCCTCCTTCGCACTCTCCAAAAACTTGGAGTTTCAGGCACTGCACTTTCCCTCCTCACCTCATACCTCAAAGACCGTACCTACAGGGTAACTTGGAGAGGGTCCGAGTCTGACCCTTGTCAATTAACTACAGGGGTCCCTCAGGGTTCTGTTCTTGGTCCCCTCCTCTTCTCCTTGTACACAAACTCGCTCGGATCAGTCATTAGCCCGCATGATTTTTCATACCACTGCTACGTTGATGATACCCAACTAATTGTGTCCTTTCCCCGCTCAGAGACCCAGGTCGTCGCACACATCTCTGCTTGTCTAGCTGACATCTCTCAGTGGATGTCTGCTCATCACCTCCAGCTCAACCTTGACAAGACTGAACTGCTTTTCCTTCCGGGAAAAGATTGCCCCACTCTTGACCTAACAATCAACATCGGCACCTCTGTTGTTTCCCCGACTCTGACTGCAAGGAATCTGGGTGTGATCCTAGATAACAAACTGTCCTTCACTGCAAACATCGCTGCTACAACCCGCTGCTGCAGATACACACTTTACAACATCAGGAGGATACGTCCCCAGCTGTCCCAGAAAGCAACGCAGGTTCTGGTTCAGGCTCTCGTCATCTCACGCCTAGACTACTGCAACTCCCTCCTGGCTGGTCTACCTGCATGTGCCATCCGACCTCTGCAGCTCATCCAGAATGCAGCGGCTCGTCTGGTCTTCAACCTTCTAAAATGTTCCCACACCACTCCGCTCCTCCGCTCACTTCACTGGCTTCCAGTAATTGCTAGAATCCACTTCAAAACAATGGTACTTGCATACCATGCTGCGAATGGATCTGGCCCTTCCTACATCCAGGACATAGTTAAACTGTACACCCCAGCGCGTGCACTTCGCTCTGCATCAGCCAAACGACTCGCTGCGAGGGGGACCCAAGTTCCCATCAGCAAAAACAAAATGGTGGAATGAGCTCCCCATTGAAATCAGGACAGCAGATAGCTTGCACATCTTCTGGCGCAGACTGAAAACTCATCTCTTTCGACTGCACTTCAAGCGATAGAATTACTAACAAAGAACTGCTAACAGAGCACTTATATACTAATAAAGGACTGGCTTATCTATAGCCAGTTGAGTAGCACTTGAAATATTTGGCTCTATGAAACCTGATGTACTTATATGATTCTGTTTTCTTCAAGGTTGTATCTTCCTGGTCGAATGTACTTATTGTAAGTCGCTTTGGATAAAAGCGTCAGCTAAATGCAATGTAAAAAAGCTCTTTAAATTCGTTAGCATAGCTAGCTAACCAGATGCTATTAAAAGATTGCCACTGTGCTTTCAACTAAAGACACAGCCACGCAAACACTGCGGCGTGTACGGCTCCTTATGGGTACTACAATATTTGAAGAGCTGGAGTGGCGTTCCGGTGCTCTCCGTCAGCACTCCTTTATGAGGTGTGATTTATAAGGTGTGACTTGTACCAAAGAACAGATAACTAAGCTGACTGAGCGGAGAACTAACGTGTCAACGTCAGTGGCGGAGCCAGGAAATGTTCAGTGGGGTGGCCAGGATGGAACCAGTGATAATTTTGGGGTGGCATTGAAATCGCTATTATATGAACATAAAAATACATCTCACTATAAAATAAGGGGTTATTTAAGGACCCTACAACACACCTCTACCTCTTTATTTGAGATTAAGTGGTGGAATAGATCAAATAATATTCAGTAAATCTATTTCGTATTCCCACAGGCAAAGTATCAACGAAGCTTACATTATACAAATGTAATGCAATATACAGACTGTTTAGCTTATGGTGATCAGCAGCCCTATGAGCTCATTCTCTCAGTGTATCATCAGGAATACAGAGACACACACACATCATTTAAATAAGAGTTTTTAAATTAAATGATTGGTTAAGAATAAACATCTTAAAGTAAATAACAATAAACAATAGCCTTTAACCCTGTAAGGCCCCCGGTTGTAATTTTACAACATTACTTTAAGCTATCCAAAAAAGTCAGTAAATGTTTTTGTTTTTTTAAAAGACTACATTTACATAGTCAAAAGGTCCTTTTGTTCAGCCTCACAATGCTATTGGGTAGTAAATGTGTTTATAGGTCCTGCCCTCTGGCCATACATATAAGACTTACATTCCTGACAATAGATCTCAATAGTCATCTTTTATGGTGTAAATGCCTTTTTAATAACATTTTGAATGGAACATTCTCAACACGAATGCATCAATCCAAATTAATACAACTTAAATATGTGGAGAATACTGTGTTTGAAATGTATAATTGAAATGAGATGTTAGCTTTTTGTTTTGATATACAGTGGGGCAAAAAAGTATTTAGTCAGCCACCAATTGTGCAAGTTCTCCCACTTAAAAAGATGAGAGAGGCCTGTAATTTTCATCCTAGGTACACTTCAACTATGAGAGACATAAGCTAAATGGACTATTGGACATTCTGTTCAGATTTATTTCTCTGTCCCCTCTGCAAAAAAATTGATTGGCAGAAGAGCGTTCATGTTCAAAGCCCCAACTGACTGGAATACTTTACCTGCTGCTATTAGATCTTTTGCATCATT